GTATTATTTTTTAGGGTAAACTATTTTTTTAGTCACGTAACTCGACCTCCTTATCATTTTAATCTCGTATGTGGACTATGTCGCAAACTTCTCCCATAACTGAAAAATTTTCATTGTTTTAGTCCTCCTACGCCGGAAACGCCCACGTTGCTCGCCGAAGGCCACGTGTCCGTCAGGTCAGCTACTCCTGGCGGACATGTGGATTTGTTTTAATTTTTTAAAATTTATTTGTAAGTTAATTTTTAGTTTTATTTTCCTTTTTTAATTTTTTTATTTGGTCCAATTAAAAAAAAATTAAAAGAAATAAATAAAATAATAAATAAATAAATAAAATCTACGTGTCCGCAGTGAAAAGTTATCGGTATTAAAACAACTCGGCCATTGATCTCCAACTATTGTAAAGGGAATTTTAAGCTAAAGAAAATTATGCTCTAGTAAGTTCTTGCATAGAGTTCTCCTTTTCTAGATGTGAGTTTAGAAACCTAAAATCAACACAGAGAATATGACATGCAGATCGAATTATGTTCCAACAAGCGATCACATGCTTCTGGCTGGACTTATAGTTTGCTATTGTTATTACTACATATGAAAACATATGTTTTAGATTAAAGGTAATGTGGTGCTTATGCTTAGAAGGTGTTTACTTCATTCATAACCCATTAGAAGGTTTATTAGTTGATTAAAGCTCCAAACAAATATAAAAATTAAAAGAGTATCAATATCCACTTAATGTTTAAATGATTACATATGAAAAGTAGTGAATGTTGTATAAGTTAGATGTGTAATGAAGTTGTACATAGACTTCTTTTGCCGCTAACTAAATCAACCATAAGATGTCCAACAACTATATACGACAAAGTAAGTTATAGTATATCGAACCATATAAAACAAAAAAACATAACTAAAATTATAACATTTTCTGTGAAAAACAATGATATCGATGTTTGGTGTATTCATTTGTGCATGTTAAAAAGTTCACGAAACTACCAAAAAGAAAATTAAGAAATATCACTGTCGACAATATTTAACTTTTCAAGTGTATTGAAAAACTAAAGAAAAAAATATGGAATACATTTCAAATTATTTTCAACATATTAACCTTTATATTTAATATTAGCATTCAAATTTTGAAATAACTGAAAATATATATTGTGAATAATTGTTCCGTAAAATGAAGATAAAGATAAAAATTATTAATATGATATATGATGAGTTTCCTGAAATTATGGAAAGTCTGACTGCTTTAATTATTTTGTAACAGAAATATTCTTATATTTAAAAAGTTCAACAACAGCCAACAGTGAATAAGAACATAATGACAAAAATGATAGCTGGCAATATCCCTACATTTTAGGGCTATATAATTAAATCTGCAGTTTGCATTGTCATAGTGACAACAGAAGAAAAAGATCCTCTCTTCCTTATTTGTTCAGCTTGTTTCCAACTGCTCTGAGCATCTTGTGCCTCAGTGAGGTGCTTCTGTTTGCAGGATTTGGTGTTATTTCTTTCTTTGTTGTGGTGAGAGATGTTTTGAGATTTTAAATCGCTTTTCAATATAAATCACTTACCTGTATATGTTTGTTGTTGTGCAGACAAAACAGAGAAGACAATGGACTGCGGATTGAATGTAGGAGGTTCGGACAAGGCGGGCCCATCGAAAAGGGAATTAAAGGGGAAGCAAATTGTAGTTGGCAAGGGAGACAATGTGGATGGCGAAAAGGTGAAGACAAAGGGTGGGGGGAAGCCGCCATTGCCTCCAACACATACTCTCACTCTCGATAAAGCCGTCGAGAATGAACTGAATCTCAATCGGAGCGTGGACCCCACTGACGTCGACAACCTCAGAAAGCTTCGGAGGTGTCTCTCTCTCACTCCCTTTCTCTCTCTCTTCACAACCTTGAAAAAACCCTAAGAATCGATGTTTTTGTGATGGTATGGTTGCAGGAGGTTATCGAACAGGCTCTCGTCTCAGAGGTTTCGAGAGAAACGATCTGGCTACGCAAACCAGCTTAAGAAGTCCGTAGAGGAATTACAGGTAATATCTAAGATTGTTTGGTTCTCCTCTGTACAACTAACCAATGAGAAAATAAAACAATTTGCAGAAATCTATAGCCGATATGTCAGTACAGGTGGAAGCCATAAAAGAGCAAAACAAAGCTCTAAGCCAAGAAAGGGATAGCCTCCAATCCCTCATCCAGACTCGCTTAGTCGAAGCAGACCACTGCCAAAGTACAACACTCCTCATAAACACATTTTATGTTCTTACTTTTCTTTTTTACACACACACAACCCTCCTAATATGTAAGGTCGAAAATATTAATTGTGTGAGTTGGGGCAGGGTCCATTAACCAGAAGCTGGAAGAACTCAACCTGCTAGGAATGGCGAGCCAGCAAGATTTACCCATCTTATCTGCAAATGTGACTCAGATGCTACAGTTGCTGCAGGTGGAGCCCTATCTAGGGCAGGCCTTAGTCGAACCCCCTGGTGGAGGCCATGGGAGCGCTGCTGCTCCGCTGCCATTTATGACTGCACCTTGCCAACCATTAGAGGAGCAAGGAGCGGAGGGAGGAGATGGAGTAGATGATGAATTCATCGATCAATTCATCAACTACGAAGCTCTTGATTCCTAATGCGTTAACTAGATACTGTAAAATGCACTCATTCAGGAATTTAAATACATGGAAAATTCAAATATATCATTTTAGATTAGTTTAATTTGTAGAAATTAAATTTCATTACTTTTTTCTTTACATTTCAACTCTATCAATGTACAATTAAACTAATCGCAAAAGAAATGTTAATCTGATATTTATGTTTCTGTTTGTTTTGCGGCTAAAGGCCGAGTACATTGATACTGTATACTGCAAATTTTTATTTTTTTTCTATCTTTTCTCAAAGTTTAATATACTTCTAATATTCTATTTTATTATATATTTTAAATAAATTATTATATTAATATATATATATTTAAATTTTATTTATAATTAAATTTACAACATAACATTCATTATGAATATATATTTTAGAAGACTAGTTAAAACATTTAAAATATAATTCAAACTTATTTTTTAACTAAATAATTAAGTTATAATGCAACTTACAACCAAATAACATTTTTATTATTCAATAATAAAAGCAAACTTCTAATAATAGTTTCAAACTTGTAACCAAAAACATATGGGTGTATAGCTAAACATTTTTTCATGCTTAATTAAATCATTCCACATCAAAAAGATTAATCCGGCAAAAAACAATTTTAACAAGTGGGAGTCCATAAAAAAATTATTTTTTATATTTTTTGTTTAAATAATATATTAGATACGATTGTTTGTAAGATTAAATATTTGAATAATAAATTAAATTTGATGTTTTATAAAATTAAAATAATATATTTTAATAAATATATCTAAATAACTTTTCCTAAACTACCACATGGTTATGATAACAAACTAGTGATTGGGTTAAAGGGAAAATGGCTTGGAAAATGGGTTTAGGTAAATGGACCGATCTGGTGGGCCGGACTAAGGAGTGGACCAATTAATATATTATTGATTAAACTTCGAGCGGCCAATATTTCCAACAACTTCTGGTAGTGAAAGGAACAATAGAGTTGAACTCGATCGAGTTTGAAGAATGTGGAAGGTCTAGTCGAAATGGATAGGAGACACGACGGCATTGCTCAATATGGGTGTGTGTACTTGTGAGATTTTAATTTTGAATAGTAAAATTTTGAATTGAAAGAGTTGTTTGATGTGATATAAATATATATTTTTAATGTAAAATTAAATTTTAGTTTAATAAAATAAATAAAATTTACGTGTTTAATTTCATATTTTTGGAAGGAAAAGAAAGTTTGAATAGTAAAATCAGATATAAAATTTACAAAGTAAACACACCCTATGATTTTTATTAAAAAAATTATGAAAAAATATTTATGTAAAAATATTCTAAAAATATTTTTTAAATAAATCGTTGAAATGTAAATGATTAAATTTTTTTCAAAAATAAATCTTTTAATTTGGTAAATTTTGATTATTGAGAAATTTTGTATATTAGAATATATATATATATATATATATATCAAACTTATCCCACATTATAAAAAGCAACAATTTAATAAAAATAATTGAGGATAACTTGCATTAAACATCATAAAGTTGTTATAACGACAACATACTTATCAATTCCGAACATCATTTCGTTTTGAATGTGAAATTCGAAAAGTAATTAATTGTTGGTGTTTATATACATTTAAGTAAATTTTTCTTTCCATATATAATGTAACAAATAATTTTAAAATATTTCTTAATTAAAATGTTATTTAATTAATTTTATGAATACCCAAACTACTTGGATTAATATCAACCCTATAATTAGATATAAAATCCATGAAATGGTGAGCGATGGTCCTGAATTCTTTATAATGTCATGAGTTAGAAGTAAGAGCGTACTCGAAGAATAATGGTCGTAGTTACTGTATTGATTTTGATCAATGTTAATTTTTTCAATTAGCACATAAAATAGTCATCTATCACAGATAAAACAAATAGACATTTCGAATAAAATCAATGTGTTTTTTGTTTATATTCGTAGGTGTATTGTACATATAAGTATGTTAGGAGTTAAGACTATAATTAATAGTAATATGTGTTGAGTAAGATTATATTATATTTCGTATTAAAATAATATATTTTATTCGAAAAATGCAGAATCTATTTTCTTAAATTTTTATATATCTAGTAGTTGGAATATCGATATCAGGAGGGAGGGAGTGATTATTTATTTTTTTATTTTACATTCAAATTTAAACTTATTTAAAAATAAAAAATAATGGAGTAATAGTAAATAAATGCAATATAAATTTGGATAGCAGTAAATACCTTCCTGCCTTATCTGACCTGAGTTCTTTCTCACTGTATCGTCAACGTTGTCTCTTCTTCGATTGGATGGGGATGGCCATCCATTGATTGATCGATTATTTATGCCGTTCCCTTTCCGTTTCCCCTTTTGTTTTCTGTCTCTGTTTCTGTTTTTCTCCTCCTCTCTCTCTCAGTTTCAGTTTCAGTCTCAATCTACTGCTGCTGCGGCTTTAGCGTCTTCTCAACCAACTCTCTCTCACTCGGTAATTGGCTTGCTCTTTGCTAATCCTGTCTTTGTTTCTTCTGTTTGTTCTTGTTTTTTTTTTATCAATCCTGGTCGAATGGATTAATGAGAAATTAAGGAAAGTGTAATATGCATTTCTCGATTTTGTGTTCGAGTGGATGTCTGGTTTTGGGGATTTGAAGCTGTAAGTTCAACACGCCTAAAAGGTTCCGGCCAGAGTTCATCGTTTCTAGTTTGACTTGCAATGATTAGACAACCAAACCAAACCTTTCACACTTTCGTTCCCAATTTCTTCTTCTTCGCCAAATATATATGGTGTGGTGTGTTCATTATCTCTCATCTCATCTCAATTTTGCAGGCAGATAGATACAAGTAAGGAAAGGCGAGGGAGGAGCAATGGAAGAAAGCTGTGGAGCAAATGGATTTATCAGGAACAGGCGGTTCGGAAGCTACTTGGACGCTCCGACGATGCTGAAAACGTCGCCGATCACGGCACACAATCAGAAAACAGAGGAAGAGGAGGAGGAGGCATGGCTGTCGGTACTGATTTCGTGGGTGAGAATCGTGGTGTGCTTTGTGTCAATGATGGTGACGACGTTTGTGTGGGCAATAATCATGCTGCTGCTGCTGCCATGGCCGTACCAGAGAATCCGCCAGGGCAACATCTACGGCCACGTCACGGGCAGAATGCTGGTCAGTTCCTTACCCTACCCCACCCTGCGCCATAAATCAATCAATATTCACTTTGATTTCATTATTACTGCCTGCTTCTCATCAATCTGGGCATTCAATTCCTCGAAAATTTACGAAAGGATTATCTCATTTTGTTAAGTCCTGGGGAATCTTTCCTGTGATATAATTTATGTATACTTCAACCCATTCTAGATGGATGTTGTTCTGATTGCATTTCTCAAGAAATATAAATTTATGATAGAGGTGGACCTGACCTGACCTTAAATGAATGGTTATGGCTATCCCATCATCAGTTGGACAAAAAACAAATTAGGATGCGTAGGCTACCACAGCTCCTCTTCTTTTCTGTTTGTCTTTTCGTTTCTTTGTCTCCTTCCATTTGGGACCTCACCTCAGCCATGGATGTTGACTTTTTGCTCCAACTTATCTTTTCATTTCTGTCTATGTATATATATTTAAATTCTCCAACATGTGCCCTTGTAGGTGACTTAAAGTGTATCGATGGATATATTGCTGAGCTTCTTTCTATCATGTTTATGTTCAATTGCTCTATAAGATGATCCCAAGTTTTCAGAATGTTGATTGCAGATGTGGATTTTAGGGAATCCCATTCGGATCGAAGGCGCCGAATACTCCAAAAACAGAGCCATTTACATAAGCAACCACGCGTCTCCCATCGATATCTTCCTCATAATGTGGCTGACGCCGCCGGGAACTGTTGGCATTGCGAAGAAAGAGGTGAGCTGTTTCATATTGGTTTTTTGTAAGGAATTCGGGAGCTTCTTATTAGAAAAATTGCAAAAACTATCCCTATGTATACCTCATTATCACTTTAGTTCTGTATTTATCTCACTAGCAAAATATATCTCATATGTTTACAAAAGTCGCTATTTATATTATTTGGCCGCGCTTGGTGTAAACGTCACGCATGACTAAAGGACATCAATAAAAATTTTGCAAACATATAAAATAGCTAGATAAATATAAAAGTACAATGGAGTACACATAGGGTATTATTTGCAATTTTCTTGCTTCTTATTCATTCATTCGTTATTTTGTGCAGATCATATTTTATCCACTCTTTGGGCAATTGTATGTATTAGCCAACCATCTTCGAATCGATCGGTCCAATCCAACTGCAGCCATCGAGTCTATGAAAGCGGTGCAGTACTCCTCACATAACATAATTCCCCCTCCTCCTCCTCCATCTCCACCTGTCTCGATAATTTGGACATGATTATCGCGCAGGTTGCCGGTGCAGTTGTCGAGAACAATCTGTCGCTGATCCTGTTTCCTGAAGGCACGCGCTCGAAGGATGGTCGATTACTACCTTTTAAGAAAGCAAGATCCACTGCTCAAACTCACAATTTTATACACTATCGATCAATTCAGTGTGTTGTTATTAATTCATTTCATTTTGATTAACAGGGCTTCGTGCACTTGGCATTGCAAACACATTTGCCTATAGTTCCGATCGTTCTGAGGGGAACCCACCGGGCCTGGAGAAAGGGCAGCTTGCACGTGAGGCCAACGCCTATAACCGTGAAGTATCTCCCCCCGATTAGCACTGATGATTGGACTGCCGAGAAAGTCGAGGACTATGTAAAACTTGTACATGGTGTGTATTTGAAGCATCTGCCTGAATCTCAGAGACCTACGTCGGCGGCATTGTCGTGAAGAAGAAGCATGACTATGACTTGGTAGGGATGGGTTTAAGGTAGCTTGGCTGCTTCAACCATGTGCAATTTCTTGTACCATTTGAGGAGATGAAGTAGAAGTTACTTATTTATGGTGTGATCATTGTTACATAAGTCCACTGCAAAAAATGCGTATCCTACAATTCTTTTTTTAAAATAAGCCGAATGCGTATCAAATCTCCGACTTCTCCAAATTTACAGGAAGGCATGTTGATATGCTTTGAGTCTTAAAGTGTCCCTTGTCTGATGTCCGGGGGCGCGGAGTGGCTCCAGGCCGACGGTATGCAATATTGGACTTTAAAGTTAGTATTGGGCTGAGCCCATCTGATGTATTCTCTTGATTTAGGTAAAGAGACTTAGGGATACGAAATTTGTAATATATAATTGTGAATAAAATCTGCTTTAGCCAGCATGTTGTTAATGAATCACGTAAATCTGTATCGTCTTTCCATTTTCTGTTTGTTGTCCAATTATTAATTATAATCCGTCGCAAAAACTGACAAAGAAAAACAACAAAAGCAATAAAAACACTTTGAAAAGTGCTTGTATCTTGAGATGAAAGATTTTCACCCCATAAAAAGCAAATGATGCCTAATCATGGATCATGCAGGTTAGGTCTATTCTTGCACAGTTGCACCACCCATATATAGATTAATTACACTGTCCCAAGAAAAGATCATGGCAAGATTCTCCTCTTATACATACATATATATATATATATATATTCAGAATTGAATTTCTGCTTATACTTGTGCATAATGATTCGATAGTGTTTGTTTCATCATTATATTTAGAGAGATCTAATTTAAATAGATGAATCCAAATTAGTGAAGAGTATTTAAGCAACGTAGCTTGTCGGGTGTATCAGATTCCTGTCTGATTAAGTTTTAAAACGAATCAAATTATCCAACCTGAAATCGATCTGTTTATTTACACTTCAAAAATAAGTTAGAAGATCCTATACGAAGTCAACTCACTTAAACCTGACCTGACTAATAAGAAATCAATCGGCTTATCCATTACAAAATTTTCTAAAGACAACTCAACCAGACATCAACTAATAACAACAAATTGACTTAGCAAAACAAGCAAGAAACATACACCATTAACTTATTAAACATTAAGAACAGATAATATTTCTCTATAAATTATTATTATTATTATTATTATTATTATTATTATTATTTTAATTATTAGATTAATATTATTATATATATAATAAATACAATACACTAAGTAATATTAATACATGGCTCTATACTATGTTAAGAAGAATCCGAATTTTCATCCTAAAATCAATTGGCGATACTATATTTTTTTAATGTGGATTGGTTAGTAGAGGGGTTTTGTAGTAGATTAAGGAATAATATTATTTTATTGATTAACGAAAGTACAAGAGTTTTTTGATATTTTTGTTTATTGAGTTTAGTGTATGTATAAAGTAATTGTATATGCAATTGTATATTTGTAATTTATGAAAAAATTAAGGATATTTTGATTATTTTCTTTTAAATAAAAAATAGATAATTTGAAGTCTGATGTTGTAAAAGTTCGAACTATGAGCAAAATGCAATCATCAATCATATATATCCGTAAACCAGAGTCCAACGTAGATGAGAATATATATATATATATATATATATACAATAATCTAATTAATATTCCAGACCCTGTCTAAATAATAATCATCCATATTATAGCTGAGGTCAATAATGGCGTCGATCATGAGGTCTGCAATATGTATCTTCTTCCTATCCTGAAACCACTCAATCTCCCGACGTGCCAATGCAGCATATTCACATTCACATTCATATTCCGACTCACTTCTCTTCTTCTGTCTACTCCCCTGAGCCATCCCGACATAGCGTCCGAACCTTCTCAGGCGCTCCACGTCCTCGTGGTCCGCCGCCCCGCTCAATATGGCTCCACAGGCGGCCCCGCACGCGTGAAGCTCGCCACACACACGTGCGATGTCCGACGAGTAAACCCCATCCACCACCCCCCGCGCGCCGCCGGCCCTAGCAATTTCCGCCATCACTCTCAGAATCAGATCACCATTACCGTTGGGGTCCTCAGGGTCCATGGACCTCCTCAACAATTCCATCCCCAACGGGACCATCCCGTCTCCTATTAAAAGCTCCACGTTGGGACCAAATCTGTGTCCCACTCCGGTCCGCCGTAGGTGGGCGTGCACGTGCGCTGCGGCATGCACCAGATGTATCGCCGTCGCCGCAGCCAATACAGCCGGGCTCGGGCTCGGGCCGGGCTTGGCGCTCATGAGCTCGCATGCTGCGAGGCACAGAGCAGGAGCGGTGGTCCTGGGAGCCGCTGCGAAGGTGAGGTGGTGCATGGGCTCCGAGACCGACTCCGGCGATCTGATTGATAAGGCGGCCTTCTTTAGATAGGCTTCGATTTCGGACTCCATCGATGTCCAATAAGATCGAGCACTTTCAACGACCACATTTTTAGGATTGTTAGAACGAGCAAAAATACGAGTCGAATTCAAATTTGGTAATGAAGAATTGAAGTAACAGAGGCCAGGGGAGGCCATGATCACAATGCTAGCTGAATTAAGGTTGAGAAATTGTTATATATATATATATGTGTGTGTATATATAGTTATGTTGTATAGCTATATACATAGAGAAATTATATATATATATATATATATATGGTGATGACTTTGGGTATGTTTGGGTAAGGTTAGGGTTAGGTCAGTTTATAGAGTATACGTGCGTCACCTAAGAATTTTAATTGTGGTTATAATAAAGGGTCTCGTGCACCACGGGACCAATTTATTTGTCTTGCCTCAATTTGTATTTTATCATTAAAATTTGTCACTCACAATGTAGCCAAGAACGAAACATACATGATTATGAGTTGAGTTGGGTTTGATTTGGTTTGGTTAGTAAACGAACCTATAATTTCGGCTTCAAGCTAAGTTACCAAAGAAGAAGAAGAAAGTATTGTCTCATCCCGTTCCATAAGAGATGACCAGGTGGTGTAGGAGTTGGATTTGTGACTGTGAGGTCATGGGGAGTGATCTTGCTAGACATGGACCCAAGGGACGTATCGGTGAAGTCTCAGTCATTTATTTCATTTAACATATTCAATTACTAGTTTAACACGAACTTTTAATAATATAATTTTGATATTGTTTGACCATGCATGTTAGCCATACTTTTTATTTTCGATGATTTTTTAAATTGTATTGATACATAAAGATTGTTAGGGTGGATTTAGTTGATCCTCTAATACTCCCTCCCCTCCCTGACACCGTCTGTTACCCTCCTCCGCCAGAGGCGGAACCAAACCGGGATGAGAGCGGAGCTAATTTTTCAAATTTCGAAACAATTATTATTTATTTGTTATCCAATAATTTTATCAATGAAATTATCATATTTCGAAAATCTTGCAAAATATCAATCTGCTGTGACAACTGCATATTACCGGATGAATTTTGTATTATATGAAATTGATAAATAGTAAAAATATTTATTAAAGAAAAATATCTCTTAAAAATATCATCTCCTATGTATTTGGTTGAGAATATTTTGAAGATTTTTTTTTTAATTATTGTTTATTACTTTTTTGTTCATATCTATTTTTATAGCATCAAACAAGTATTATGATATATTTTTTTATTATTATTTAAAATTTAAATTTTCACATAAATACTCTATCAATTTTTAACAATTTTTTTAATTTATTTATTTTTGATATTATATATTATAAAATAAAACAAAAAAGTAAAAGAGGTGGGGTGGGGAAGGGGAGGCCCCCTTGCCCCACATACATCTGCCTCTGTCCTCCACCGTCCTCCACCGTCGAAGTTGTTTTATAAATACGGGGTGTTTACCAAATACACATCCGTATTTAATTTGGACAAAAAAAAAAAAAAAAAACTTTTGTGTACACAAGCGTATTGTATGTAACACGCCCGTGTTCTATCAACTGCAACTAAAAAAGCCATTGTGCATCTTTTATTGAATTCAATTATATTTGCCTTGACACATGTATTTGTGTCCGTAGAGGCTCAAATTTGTGTACAACCATTGTATGTACTCTAAATTTGAATTTATTTTTTTATGAATGACCGAAAGAGAGATTGTTCTTTTTTTTTTTTTTTTTTTAAGAATCTAAGTTGTCTTGAAGCTTCCTCCAAATATTCAAATTGTATTGAAATGGTGTTCAATCCCCTCAAATGGAGCTTTGAACAACTAAGAATGCCTCTTAGAAATAGATATCAAAAATAATTGTTTGGTCGATTTAGAAATCAGTAAAAATGAAAAAGAAGATGCATAATTTAAAGAAAATTAACTAGAAGTGATAAAAGAAATTATATTGATAAAGTGATAATAATATCATTTTACTGAGTTAAGACTTTATAAACATTTTCTTTTTGTTTTTTAAAGAATATATTTCTGAAAAAACAATAAAAAAAAAACTAATATATTCACACTACATAATTCATTATTCCTTAAATAAAAAAATAATATACTTTTAAATTATTTCACAAAACAACCGCACCCTATATATTTACAATATTTAAGTTTTTGTGAAGGTATGCAATTCTTTTATATTAGAATTGGAGCCACTCTGTAGTAAAAAGTCATCGTAGCCCAAATCAATTTAACTTTACATAATTTTGGGAATATTGTTTTTTTAGTACTCCTTCCGTCCCACTGGAATTGAATCCTTGATAGGGGACACTATATTTAAGGTGGAGATGTTTAATTAGTTATGATATTATTATATTATTTTTTATATAATTAATAATATTTATAGTTTTAAAATAAATTTAATATATATAATTTAAAAAATTAAAATATATATTTAAATATTTAAAAATTATATAATAACTAAAAAAAATATATTCAATATGGATATGTAGAAAATAAAATCTTACAAGTAAATAAAATAAATATTTTTATTTATTTATAATTAATCTAAATCAATTTTATAAAAGATGTATAGTATTAAATATAAATAAAAATATTTTTTTTTTAAGAGATATAAAAATAAAAAATTTTTGATTGAATCCTACGTCATTTATAATTTTATATATTAAATAATTAATTAAATTAATTTATATTTATTAAATATGTTAGATCGCTGCACAGAAGGGAGTAGAATTTTAACTTACCCTCCATCCACATTTCAAAACCCTCTATGCATGTGTTCTGAGGCGTTTTTCAAAGGCGCCATTGTTGTTGCTCTTCTCTGGCCACCTCCTTGGGGCTCTCCGGATCACCGGCTTTCAAGCCACAACTTTGATATTTGATAGTTCATTCCAACTTGTGCAATCCTCGTCCACTGCGTGTCTGCCTTCTTCCTCCCCGTCGCCTTCGCCTTGATCTGCCACTTATCCGACTGCGCCGCCGAAAGAGGCAAGGAATCAAATTTCAACGAAAGAGGCTCGATTTTAAGTGAACAACCAGAGCTGCAGAGAAATTTCCCTTGGTGCAGTGTAAAAAATACAAACCCAAAGGGTCGGAGCCGAGCCAGCCCTACAACCAAACAGGCCCTCCATGATTTGCAGAGCCATCGTTCCACCAAGAGACAGAAGCTTCTTCTTAAGCATAATCAATCAGTCGACAGCGCTCTCACACCTGAATCAAATCCATGCTCAAGTCATCCACAACAATCTTGTTAATGACAACATAACCGTCACAAAGCTCATTCAAAGACTTCTGGACTTCAAATCAACTTCCCAGGCCAATCTTCTCTTTGCCCGTGCTGCTTCGCCTGATCTCTTTCTGTATAATGTCTTCATTAAAGGTCTTAGGCACGACCCCTCTGAATCCCTGCGGGTATACAAAACTCTACTCCACAAAATAGGTCTCAAACCTGATAATTTTACTTATTCATATGTTATTGCAGCTTTCTCCGGCTCGCCTTCATCTGAAGCCGGGAAGGTTTGCGTGTTGCTTCATGGGCATGCAGTTGTTTCTGGATTTGGTTCGGATTTGTTTGTGGGGTCTGTTTTAGTCGATGCATATATGAATTTTGGTATGATTAGGAATGCTTACAAAGTGTTTGAGAGTATGCCAGAAACAGACACAGTTCTTTGGAATACGGTGCTTTCTGGATTGGTGAAAAACTGCTGCTTGGGTGAATTGCTTAGTGTTTTTCGTGATATGATTGAAAGGTCAATGCAGGTTGATTCAACTACATTGGCTGTGGTTTTGTCTGGTGTGGCTAATTTGCAGGAATTGTGGCTGGGGATGAGTGCTCAGGCATTGGCCATGAAGGTTGGGTGTCATTTCCATGATCGTGTGCTCACTTGTTTGGTTTCATTGTATTCGAAATGTGAAGATGTTTTGACTGCTCGATTATTGTTTGATATGATCGAGAGTCCAGACTTGGTAGCATATAATGCTATGATTTCAGGCTATTCTTATAATGATAAAGCTGACTCAGCTGTTAATCTTTTTGGGGAGTTCCTTTTATCAGGACGTGAAGTTAGCTCGAGTACCTTAGTCGGTCTAATTCCTGCATCCCATCCATTTGGCCATCTGGGCTTAACCATGTCTATACAGGGACTTTGTCTTAAGTCCGGATTTCTTCTTAATTCTCCTGTCTCAACTGCATTAACAACAGTTTATAGTCGGCTTAATGAGATAGAACTTGCTAAGAGGCTGTTTGATGAGTCATCGGATAAAACTCTGGCATCATGGAATGCCATGATATCAGGCTATGCACAAAATGGGGAAACTGAAATGGCCATAGCTCTTTTTAATGAAATGCAGAAGCTTGACATTCGACCAAATCCCATCACTTTTGCCAGCATTTTGTCAGCTTGTGCACAACTTGGTGCATTAGGGTTTGGAAAATGGGTCCATGAATTGATCAAAATGGAGTCCCTTGAGTTCAACATATATGTATCGAGTGCCTTGATTGACATGTACACCAAATGTGGTAATATTCAAGAAGCCCGGGCCTTATTCAATACAATAGGTGAAAAGAATGTTGTGACATGGAATGCTATGATTTCGGGTTATGGTCTTCATGGATATGGATATGAGGCAATAAAACTGTATAATGACATGTTGCTTTCGGGTACTCGGCCAACAAGAGTTACATTCTTATCTTTGTTGTATGCTTGCAGTCATACGGGATTGGTGGAGGAAGGTGAACAACTTTTCCATTCCATGATTCATGATTATGGATTTGAGCCCAGCTCCGAACACTATGCCTGTATGGTGGATATACTTGGCAGAGCTGGTAAACTAGAGCATGCAGTGGAGTTCATATACAAAATGCCTAAGGATCCTGGAGCTGCAGAGTGGGGTGCACTGCTTGGTGCTTGTATGGTTCACAAGAATGCCAACTTAGCCCGGTTGGCATCTAATCAATTATTTCACTTGGATCCTGAAAACATAGGATATCAGGTTCTACTCTCAAATATATATTCGACATACGGGAAGTACTCTCAGGCTGCATTGCTGCGAAATACAATCAAGAAAAAGAAACTTATGAAAACCCCGGGTTGCACTTTGATTGAGGTTATGAAGCAGCAGCATGTTTTCAGATCCAGCGATCAGTCCCACCCTGAGTCAAAAGCTATTTATGCAATGCTCGATGAGTTAATGCAGAAGATGAAAAATGCTGGATATTCTACAGAAACCGTGACAGCACTACAAGATGTTGAGGAAGAAGAAAAGGAACAAATGGTTAAGGTACATAGCGAGAAACTGGCTATAGCATTCGCCCTCCTAAAGTGTAAAAAAGGAGATGAAATAAGGGTATTCAAGAACCTTAGGGTGTGTTTGGATTGCCATAACTTTAGCAAATTTGCCAGCAAGATTACTGAGCGAGTTATAATAATGAGGGATGCTAATAGGTTCCATCATTTTGAAAATGGAGCTTGTTCATGTGGAGACTATTGGTAAAAGACACATGCCTGTTAGTTATCTTTAATGGTGCTGAATTGCTCGACGGTCTTCAACTCTGTTGAAGTGTGTATTTTGGGAGAAGTTTTTGATGAGCACGATTCTGTCAAAGCACTGCGAACCTCTATGTAAAAATAGAGTACCAAAGCATACATACACAGTCACAAAGAAGGCAAGCAAACTGAGATGTAAGTTATGAATTGTAAGGATCTGCTGGTTTAATTTTAAGGATTGAGGTTATGAAGCAGCAGCATGCTTGAATAAATTTTAATTTCCAGCGTTTGAGCTCTCAAGGATCTTTGAGTTCTTGAATCAACTTATTTGTCAGCCTCTCAATTCTATTTTGATTATGCAGAAAATGTTGTACAGCATTTTGAGGCAACTGTGAAATGTGGAACCTGATAGTGGAGAAGAAGATTTATATCCAGTTACGGAAGCTGAATCTACACGGTTTTGAACATTCAAGTTATGATCATCTTATTCAAGAGAATGAAATGTCATGTTTTTTATTCTTTCAAAAATTTTGCATGCTTGTTGTCAATCTAATCTTCCTGCTTGATCAGTGGTTCACTTCAAAATGCATTTTTCTTCCGAGCATGTGGTGCTGTTGTTCCATATGCATTTTTTAAGATACTACTTGATGATATCACAATCATAGAATAATAGAAACTGCTACATTTTGCCTCACTTAATGCTTGGGAGTATTATATTCTTATGATCACAGTTTCTACTCTCTCATTTATCCAATTTTCTTTTAATTGTACTGTTAATTTTGTACAAAATTGCATTGATAAGGTTTGTTCACAAGAAGGATGAACGGAAATGATAGACATTGACCTGACATGTCTGTTTGCTTTGTTATCTGGACACAGTAGACAGTTGATGCAAGGATATTCAGTATAGTAGAAAAGCCCATTCTTTAGGAGCAAGCCGTCCAAGAATAGTTTCTAGGCAAAGAAAGGATCGTGTGGTTATGTTGTGAGTTTGATATACCCTTCGTGATTCTTTTCATGTGGTTTGGCACTGCTTCTTAATAGTGTAGTTTATATATCTTGTTAATTTGCTACAATAATTTGCTTTTGAAGTTTTGATTTCATTATGATGAGTATCAATGAATCCTTGTTTCATAATCTAATGATGTTACTTGTGATCTTCCATGTAGCATCCAAAAACCAACAATGACATTTCTTCACTGAAACGGATTTCTCTTTTTGTTTTGAACAATCAATGATCATTTGCATTATTTGTCCTCTTGATTTTGGTGTCTGAAATTTAGTTATTAGGTTAGCCCATGCGATGCAACTTCCGCTGTCATCCCAGTTCGCAAAAATAGATTAATTATAGAAATGGCCAGCAATATTTCAACTGCTATCCATGTTCTTGAGCTCTACATGCCAATGTAATTTTCTTGAAATTAATTCTTTATCTGTACTGATCTCTTAGTATGTTTGTAATTTCGGGTTCCTCAAGTTATTTTTTTGGTATTTGTTCTTTTTATCCATTCGTATGTTTCTAATTGAGGAAAATGCAAAATGCACGCTCAATTAACTATTTTGACATGTGTCTGCAATGGAAATAGGTCATACGAACTCATTCACCTGGAATATGCATAATCTGCTGTCGAGCACAATCTGCATTTCTTTTACAGGCAAAGCGAAGGTAGGGCATGCATGCCTATTCAGTGCTTGCTGAGTTTCTCTGCATTATAAAGGTGAAATGAATCAATCGATTCAATATATTTCAGGGTGATATTCAAATCATGCAGGCAGCTCCTGTGTCTCTCCTGTTGATGTGATGCAGGCAATGGAATCATTCCCATGTTGCATTATTTGGAAGTGAGTGTTACGAATCAACTTCTGTTGCTTTGTTTTATGTTCTATCTCTTTGTTTCTTCTTCTTTGTCCCTCTAGCTTCTCTATTTCTTTTCATCTCTTTTAAGTGTTCGTAAGCCCTGGTAATATTGTTGTACAGGTTCAACTTAAGGTAATTTAGTTCATCTACTTTCATTTTGTATGGTAATATGGTATCTAAGCACTCTCAATAGAGAACATCATCTTTCCATCATGGCTTGTGAATGTAATTCTTCATATTCAACAAGGTTAAGGTATGTGGCAATTCTTGATGCAGAATGAAAATCTATTTCATCGGACATACAAAGGTATGGATATATACATAAATAAACCCAATGGCCTCAAGCCATATACTACTATTCAACACTATCTAGTACTCCCTCTCAACTTTGAACATACAAATCGGATGCAGTAAACTTGTCATATAAATACTTGGTGCGAGAACTTCTAAGAGATTTAGTGAAGATGTTGGCAAACTGATCGTTGGAAGGCTCATTGTTATTAGTAATGCAGATAGATAACAAATTCTCCCTGATAAGGGAAATATCAACCTCGATATGTTTTGTTCGTTGTTCAAAGATTGAATTAGCAACAATATGTATCTCACTTGATTATCACAAAATAAGTTCATCTTAGGGATACTGACAAACTTGAGTTATGATAGTAACTGCTAAATTCTAACAATCAATTGGGCAATTATAGTTGGCTTCTTATTATTCTAGGAAATATGATGGCCTTCAATTTTAATAAATACATTATACAAATGTGGACCGTCTATCCAAATATCCAATAACAACATCACTGTAACCTTAATTCGTATATAGAAGTCCTTTGTGTAGGTGATCATTTCACATTGTAGGTTGCAAACAGTATCCCAGTAAGTGGTACATAGCGACCAATGGAATTGGTTGACTACACTAATAGTGTAGGAAATGTTTGGATGAGTGACATATGATAATTCAGCTTATCAAGTATCAACTAGCCATTGACAATGACTGATATCTTCCCAAGGCTCTCCAGATCTTGAAGAAGCTTATGGAGTTAATATCAGTAGGAGAGTCTATAGATTTATAGTCCATCATACATCGAATAATTCTAAACCTTGTATAGTAACACTAAAGCACCCAAAGCAAACATGGAATATTGCTTTAACCCATACAAAGAGTGTCAAAACTTACATGCAAGATCATACTTCTTCTCAACAATAAGCATGGTGGTTGCTCTGTGTAAATATCTTCTTGAAGTTCACTCCAACAGAGTGCCTTTCTTTTTTTTTTTTTTTTTCTCTCTAAGTGTAAATAATTTAATTCATGATGAAGAATATAGAATGTGATTCGAAGAGAAATTTATGAGATTTTTATTAATAATGAAGTAAGGTCTATTTATAGACTAGTTACAAAAGGATAAAATCAAATAATAACAACCTAATATAGTAGATATATCTAAATAATACTCTCTCAGTTTCACATAAAATGTCAAGTATTTTCATTTCGGTTTGTTCCTCTTTTGGAAAATGACTAATTGACTGTACATTTTAATCACATTTTAAATTTAATAATCTATAATTATTTAGTTATGTTACTCTTATTCTATAATTATTTGTATTATACCATAATTATTTTTACTATTATATTTTTTAATTATTTAATAATTATAATTTTTTTAAATTCTTGTATCTATAATAACCGGGACATTTATTGGGGATGGAATGAGTAATAATTTAATCTAATAGATATGATTAAATAATAACTGACAAATCTAAATAATATCAACCAAAATATCTATCTAAAATATATTTCAACACTTCGCCCCAAACACAAGGTGATATAGAAGTCAACTCAAGTTAGGCAAAAAATAGGAGATAAGTTTGAATGTGGACGGACTTCATAATTAAACATTGAGATTCAAATTGATTCTCTATCATGGTAGGGCGCTAAACCCTAAGATATTTAGATTTTGGCCAAATTAAGATTTCTAGTGGTAGCAATCGTCCGTTGCGGAAACATGTCGATGATCCTCTGTCGCAACGGTAGTAACTTTAATAAATTAAAATTTTGGTCAAATTAGGATTTTAATAACCACAATCCTTTGTTGCGGAGCAGGCGGCAACGATCCTTTGTCGTTGCAGAAGCATCAAACTAAGATTTTTTATAACGGCAATCCTCTGTCGTGGCAGCAGCACAGCGATCCTCAATTGCTGCGGTGGTGCTAACCTTGAGAAATTAAATCATAACAAGCAAAATTTCCGAAAAGTAATTGAATACCAAACCAAAAATTTGATCAAAGAACTGAAAGCAACTTGACAAATAAATTGAAAATATCTAAATATGTTGTTGCAGAAAATTTCTAGCAATTGGACGCTGAATGCACTTGCACATGCCGTCAAAGTCGACAGCAACAAAATTGATTATTGTGTTGACCGGCGTTGACCAACGCAGATAACTCGCACACGTTTATAACGATGATATTTGGTGGCAAGTGTTTTTCAAATTAGAAATAAAATAACGGTGGTGGCATAGGTCAGATGCACTGAAAAATGACAAATAAAAGAGATTAGAATGAGATATATTTTCGAAGTAATAGTGAATCTAAAATTTGAAAGAAAATCCTTCGAGTACATTCTAAATCACAGGGATGTACTTGGAGAAAACGTAGCTCTGATACCATGTTACATTATGAGAGATATTTATTAATATTTAATAATGAAAATAAGGTCTATTTATACACCAATAACAAAAGGATAAAATCAACTAAGAACTTAATCTAGTAGATATATCTAAATAATATTAATCAAAATATCTATCTAAACTATATTTCAACATAAAACGATACAAGAGAAACGGAAAGATGGGTAGAAGCTATAGCCACATAGCTAATTCAATGTTTCCTCTAGCACTATGCTTCGCAAAGTGGTCTGCCACCACATTTGCAGCAACGATGTCTAATCTTCTATGTTTGAAGTTTTCCAATGTATATTCTTTGAGGGGAAAAAGGCACCTCCCACACACCTACTCGCAAACTATTCTAGTGGTTACACAACAGCTAGATGAGCAGCGACCAAAAAGCCTATTTGGATTGTCTATTGTAAATAGATTAGTAGTGTGAACACATGTATCGTTTAACAATTTGGTTACATCATATAGCATATGTATAGTTGGAAATTAAAGATATGGTAGGTAAAATTGCTTTATTTTTGGCCTTGTTTATTTTTCGATTGGTTTTGTGTGTTTATTTTAAATTGTAGTCGTATATCATATTTTGTCATAAAAAATTGTGTATTTTTATAGGAAATCATTACTTTTGCATATCAAAAACACTGAGAAAAAATAAATAAATTGCCTTTATTTTGCCCTATTCAATCTACAATGTATTTCCATTTTCCGTTTAAAAAACATCACTTTCCACACCTATTTTTTATTCAAAATGTCACATCCAACAGTCATTCTTACCTCAAAATATTGTAACTCCAAATCAAAACCTTCACACAAGTAGACATAACATTTTTTATCATTGCTGAATTCAGCATTGGATCCGAACCATTCCTCTTAATGTAATACAACCGTGTTCTTATCTGTCATTTTTAAAATATATGGTGAAAATTTAGGAAGGTTAAATAATTGTCATGTAAATTTGGTTACACGAGATGGCATCGTCATAAATTCCATCCTATCTGTTCATATATAGCATTTAAAACTTCCCTTATTAAATGCTCATAATAATTAAGCTTAATGTATAAGGAAAAATGGTCTGCATTTCCATCTTTATATAGTTGTTGTCTCTGCTGTTGCTTCACTATTGTTATTTAAATCAAAAAATCATATCGTCACTCCTAGGGTTGACATCTAAAAGTAGTCATCTGCGATCTTCTTTAGGTATATACGTCACAGTTTTATGAGCACCTATGTTTATGTTTATTCTGATTTTTTTTCGTGAACCTGTAATTTTTTTTATTTCTAATATTTGTAAAGGTAGTTAGCCCTCTTTCAGAAATGTCTTACAAAATTTTGATGTTGCACATTTATCATACGATGTGTCTCTTTATTATTTTTTTTCTGGGTAGGTTTGGATTTTTTTTTTATTTTTTTTTGTTCCGCACCATGTTCTACAAAGGAACCCTGCTATTAATTGTCATTAAAAGTTTGAAACATTGCAGGTTTGTTCACTTGGTGTTTTTATATATTTGTGATTTTTGTTTTGATATTTCCAAAGTGAAATAGTTGTTGGATGTGGTGTTTTATATAGAAAATTGGTGTTTGATGGGTATTTTTGCAGCGAGATTGAGAGATTGAATAATAAAATAATTGCAAAACCATACAAAGTGAAAAAGCCCTACATCTCTCCTATTTTTGTTATCCTTTGTTAGAATGCATGATCTTTTGGTATGAAAGTGTTTGTTGATTTCGAGCATCTGTTTGTATATTAAATATTTATGCACATCTTGAAATTTGTGGTGAGGGTTAAAATGCAAGTACTTAATTCTGGGTTGGAAGGAAAATGTTCTTTTTGTTTTAGGAAAAGAAAAATTAGGAATAGTGTAGAAGTTATGGTGTGTTCACTTGGCAATTTTTTTTTTCATTTTTCTACTATTTTAACCCTTACGATTCTTAAATATAATATATTATTTTCTCTTATAAAACATCATATTCAAATTATTATTATTATTATTATTATTATTATTATTATTGTTGTTGTTGTTGTTGTTGTTGTTGTTGTTGTTTTATCAGATTGTTAATGTTCTAGAGGAAAGCATTCAATCATATGAACAATTTGTATATTTGATTGAAATAATATGATATTTTAAAGAAAGCATTATATAATGATTGAATGATATATAGCATATAGAAATAATGAAAAGTTTGTAGGGGATTATTATTTGAAAATGTATTTACATCTAGGCAAAATTCCAAGTTTCAATAGCAATAATTAGTCATTGAAACTCAGATTCGATATATATATATATAGTAATATAGATATAGTTGCTATTATACTTTTGAATCAATGCATTGTTTGCGTGAAGGGGTTTCTCAGGGTTGAAAAGCGCTTGAAGACAGTAAACAAAGAGCACATATGTTTTATTGTAGAATCAAATTTGAGATGTTACCCAAGTATTCATAAAACTCTTTGTTTGGAAATGCGGGTTGATATAATGTGGGAATAATTGAGTTTTGGAAGTGAACTCATCACAATGATCTTTGCTGGATTTTTGTTCTTTCTCCTGAATTTTAGCCATCCATTTGTTTTGAAACGAAAGTACAACATGGTTTTCACCTTGTGCATTTTCCATTTCAATTGATAAAATGTTGACAGGTTGCTGTGTGTAACACTGAGGAGAGTCAACACATTATATGTAAGGTCAACTTTTGATTGCAGAGTTTTTATTTTATTTTTATTTTTTGACTTCTATTTATTTTTATTTTTTTTATCACGATGCATTTTGTAGTTATGTTAATATATTCTCATTATTGGCATGGTGCAATCCTCCAATTCATTCTCTTAATATTCTTCTTGATTTAAAATCATATGTATTCCTTTGTTTGCCAAATATTAGAAATTGATTCTCAGGCATATATATGCACGCTATATATTTGAAGATATAAATTAGGCTTGTAAAAGCTTGAAGTCGAGTATTTCTTATGCAAGTATGAAGAGATCATAGTAGTTTTCTCGTATCACTAGATTCATTATTCAATGTTTTTCTTATGTTTAGTAACCTGCTTTAATCACTTATGCAAGATTACTAATACATTTAGTGTTGAATGCCCTCTTTAAGACTATGGTATTGATAATTGTAATTCAGCTAAAGACATGCCTCTTGCCTTGTCCTAGCATAGCAGTAAGAAATTGCATAGCAAGTGAAGGGAGTTGCTGTATTATCATACTATGGATTCAATTAATCAAGGAGATAGCTTGAGTGACCAACAAGCCATTAAGAGACGTGGCCGTCCTCCTAGAGATCCAATCCCAAAGCATCCTGAAGCTGCCTATGGCCTTGATCCTGACATAACTGGACCTGATCCACATCTGATTGGCCAGCCAGTAACTGGTGTTGTTGAAGGCATACTTGGTCCTGGTTATTCGCTTCGTGTGAGAATTGGCAATTCAAACACAAGTGTTTTTGCTCTTACTTTCGAGCCTGGGCAGTTTGAGCCTATTACAGCAGGGAATGACATTGTGCCACATCTTCCAATGATTTCCATCAATCAAATCCATCAAACTACTGAAGATCTGGGTGGGTCTAGTGTTCGGGGACCTGCTAAAGAAGTGGATTCAAGGGTGCGTCCAAAACGTAAACGGCCATCAAGAAAAGCATCTTCTTCTATTCCTCCAGTGGATGCAGCTGTTAAGCCGAACCAAGCTGTCCCTTCCCCAGACCTTGGTAATGAAGAAATATATATGGTTGAACCATTATCCATGATACCGCCACCCGATCACCCTATTATTGGTGCCGCCACTAATGCTGCTGCAAAAACCAGTCCTGTTTTTCAAGTTACCCCTGGAGGTATTGAGCAGGACGATGATGGTCCAATGAGTGACAGAACCTTAAAAGGAAAGCTGAAGTCTGTGGCCTCACCAGATGATATTTTTGGAAATTTGCAAGCATCAGAGGGTTTCATTGAGGCTGGTAAGGAGGCATTCAAATTCTTTTCAGGTAATTCAGATATTAATTCTGGACATGGTAATGAATATTGTAATGAGCGACTCCTGACTGATTCTTCCCTAGGTCCTTCTGCTGTAACACCCTTTTCTAAATTCGGAACTGGAAAGATGTGTGAGCTTCTAAAGGTATGATGAAACATGTGTATTGTTGAAAACTGCCCTTATTTTATGACTGTAAAATTATTCCAGAGCTGAATTAACTGCTTGCCTCCTCCCTACTGTGCCTTAGGCTGTAGAGGGAACCATCAAAGTGGCCGAGTTGCTGGCTGCTGTGTCACCGCCTTCTGCAACTGCTGATCAAGAGGATCAGGAAATGACAATGGAAACTAATAGGAAGGATGAAGAACCAGAAATTGAAACCAATCAAAAGGGCAAAGGAGTGAGAATTGAAAGCGATGAAGAAATGACAACCGAGACTGATTGAAAGGGCCGTGGTGAGTGAAACAATGGCAATGCTTAGATGCAGTGCAGTGATCTAATTTCAGTTATAATAAAGTTCAGCATGGGAGGACAATAACTAAGCATCTGAGCTGGTTGCTCAGAACAAACAATGGATGATTTTCAGTTTGGAACTATGGACTGCTCTTTAAACTCTTATGTTTTCTTTGGATTTTCAAGACATTTCCTTATATCACATATGGTTGGTTTTTTATTTGGAAATCCTATCCTACAAAGGTGTTTGTTTATTATATATTTTCTTGAGCAGTAAGCATTGTGGCGGCAGTGCTGTGGAGTTTTTTCTTTTTTTTTTTTTTTTTTTTTTGCAGGAGCTTAAATATGATGTGTTGTTTATTTGTTTATCGGATTTTTTTTTCTTTGTACGTGTTGAATGTTATTGAATAATATACTATCATCTTTCATGTATAGTAATATATCGAATAGTTCTCAAGTAATTAGAGTTTTTTTTGTACTGTATTTAAGATATGTTTTCTATCTTAAAATGTTGGATAATTAAAAACAATTTTTTTTAATGAATTTCGAGATATTGAACAATGAGTAATACAACATTGACTAGTTTTGTATTACTGTTATACATATATTAATTAATATTGTTATGTGATATTGAAATCTTGAAGTACGAGTAATAAATATTTGAATAGTTTTTAATTAATAGTTATCCATATTTTTTTTATTTTTTTTTTAGTTATATCCTAAATGAGTTTGTTTATTTTTGTAATGTTTAATATACTTATTATTAATCTCAAATTACACATGATAAATTTGAATAATATATGACTGAAATTTATTTGAAATTACTTATTCTTGATTTCTTGTTGTAAACTTGAAATTCGTGGAAGGCTGAGCAAACGTGTCTATGAAAGACATGGAATTGCATGCTGAATTGAGATTATATTTGAAGAAATAATCATTGTTTTGATTTCAATGATTTTCTATTTTCAAATATATAAATAATTCTAACACAATAATGTATTATAATCTTAGTCATACAAAAGACATATTGGGTGCCATGGCCAAGTTGGACATCTCAGTACTCTATACAGAGGTTTAGAAATTATAGATTTTCTAATCAAAATCAGAAAGAGACAACATTGACAATGGGCTTTACTTCATACATTAAGACAGTTACAAAAGCCAACTAGAGATGAATGTGAGCTGAGATCCTCAGTCCAAAACTTACCCAATTTTAGACTGAAGATCCCTTGTCAAAGGGAATTAGTTCTTTGAACTGAAAAGGTGCCAAGGACAAACCATAGAAATCATGTCAAGGTTCCCTTTCCAAGCGCGCACAACCGACAATCAACTCAAATTTCAAACATGATTTCAACTATGGATATCCAATATTTAATCTAGTCAAAGGTTCCCTTTCCAAGCGCGCACAACCAACAATCAACCCAAATTTCAAACATGATTTCAACTATGGATATAAATGTCCAATATTTAATCTAGTCGGCTAAACATTTATTGCACTCAAATATTCATTATTTGGTCCATTGAATTGTTAAACGATAACTAATATAAAAAATAAAACAATGATCCTTCCTCATTCCCATGTTAATAATACACAGTTCATAAGCTCAATCTTTCTGCAACACTAATTACATATATCAGATCATTTAAAATTAAACACAAATAAATACCTCAATGCATTGATAACTATTTCTCATATGAAACTTTTATAGCTTGAGCAAGGACAAAATAAAGAACATGACCTCGTCCATCATACATGAGCATTCCTATCAAATTATATATGTGTATATATTCTAACCAATAAACTCGAATAAAGTGTATCAAACCTCAGAATCTCATTGACAACAGGAGAAGCGAGCTCAGAAGCGAACAGCAAACCAAAACTCACGCAATGTTTGCTTGGTGGACCTCTAAATGAAATGGAAGAAAAGTGATTATGAATTTAACAAAATATCTCAAATTACAAAGCTAAAACCTCTCAAATGCATAAAGCAAAGAGAAATACTAAAGAATGCAAAGAACAACTATATGCACGGACTTGAACAAGAGACACAAATAATGTCAAAATTTTACTAGGAAAGAATGATGAATCATTGTAAACTCATGCAAATTTGGGGCTCAAAAAATTGTTCGTCCCTGGAATGTTAATAGGTTGTAATATAGGGTATGCGGGTTGTGAAAATGGAGCAGTAACAGGCATTACAAACTGTTGCAATCCATTAGCCATAATCTGAGGGCTCACACACAGCTGCAGAGTCTGTGCCAAAGCATTTCCTGTGAACACAACCTTCAGGTCATAATGGTTACATTTAATAATAATAATAATAATATATGTGGCCTTTCATAAAACCGCCCAAAACCATTACAACAACAATAAAAGGTTGGCAAGCAATGTGCAGGTTGAATACTGCATTTTGATTGACACAATTATATATGATATCACATGCTAGGAAAGATTTTTTTTCTATCCAACAATATATATATATATATTGGTTTTTAATTTTTGTTTGTTGGATTTTCTTTTTTTTTTTTTTTTATGTGAAATCTCACAAACTCCCCAAATGCACCTCAGTCAACACTCATTTTCCACTTAAAAAAAAAAAGAACCATCCATCAACTATTTCACTTTCAAAAACATTAACAAAACATAAAAGATGACACATACACAATAATAATAATAATAATAATAATAAAAGTTTCATTCATTAATCATTTTTGACAAGCAAAAACGTGCCAACTCCACTAATTAATTGAATTCATCAATTCAATTTTTCACTATATTAGACTAATACCAAAGCGAAGCTGATGAACAAACCATATTATGGATATATGATGGTGGACAGAAAAAGTTTCTTTCCTTGGGAACAGAGTGGAAACAAAGAGTTGAACTGAAGAGGACATTTTGTTAACTAGAAAACATGCCGTCAAAGTAGTCCGAAATATTTTGACAACATTCTGGATTTTCCGTTCAATTACCCCATTTTGTTGGGGGGAAACGTATTCCCAAGCATTATCCATATGAAGTGTACGAATATGACAACCAAACTAAGTTTGAACTACAGCATGAAAGGATCATAAAAGGGATAATACTATAGGATGGTTTTTATTAGGTATAATTAGGTCATTCGGGAGAATTCACCAACAAAAAGAACAAAAACACCGGAATCCTAATTTTGATTTGACTCAACTAGGTCTTCAGATATTTGTGTGAACAAGCTTAATACGTTTGTCAACCCTTTTACAAATGGTTAAGGTCAATTCAAGATCAGATAGGAGGGAATGACACATTGATGAAAATCAAATAAGCAGTGATGAGATGAAGTAGAAAATGAACGTGAATGTTCTCTGCTCTGATACCATGCCAAATTGGAAGAGAAAAATGAATAGTGTATTGAGATTAGATGACATGGATACCATGCCTAAACCAGAACACTAGTCTAACATTAATTCTAGACACTAATTTTGTTAACTAATACTAAAAATATTTGTTAATTAATATTAACTGTAATACCCCATAAAAATACTCGCCGGAAATTTGTCGGAACTTGCCGAACTTCGACGCCGGAGTCGGAAAATATTATTTTAGGCCTAATTTATTTTGAGCTTTTGATCTAAGAAATTAAAGAATTAGCTGTAAATTAAGAATAAAATTGAGTTTGGGGTAAAATAAATAATAAACTAGATTTTGTTTATCCGTATCACTTAATTTAGGTATCTTTATCCATAATTTGTTAAATATATCATATCTACAGTGTGGATTTGATAAGATATAGTGTACCCATAGTTTGTTAAGATATAACGTATCCAAGTTAGAGTGCCAAGTATTTTATGTTAATAAAGTATAAAATAAAATAAAATAAAAAGAAAATAACAGAGGCAGGACAGCAGCCAGAGCCGCCAGTCCCCTCCCCTCTTCTTCCTTGGAATTCTTTTCACCAAAACTCTTCCTTTTAGTCTATTTTCTTAAGGTAAGTGGGATTAATTTTAGATATATTCATATGTTCTAATCCCTAAACCCTTCTATTGATATCGTTTTCAATATTCTTGTCAAATGGGTTTGCCCTAAAAATATTAGGTTTCGCCAATTTTTTGTAAAAAGTTGATTATAATGTCACCTAAGGCTTGTGTGAAGGTTATTATTGGATTTTAAATTGAAAATCGTAGAATTTATGGGATGGGTTTGAAACCCTAGTTTTGCCCTAACCTAGTTATGGTTTTTGGAAAAAGATTTACAATTATATTAAAATATTATGATTTTCGGAGTTAGACCATGCCTATTGTGATTGACATATTTTTCAAATCTTTATTTGGCGAAATAAAGTGAGATTATAACGAACTTCTTGGGTCTAATATCCTACTTTTGCATGGTTAAATGTTGACAATTGGAATATTTTGAATTTAAAACACTCTTTTTGAAAATTGCGTAAGAGCATGTTGAGTATTTGGTCAAATTGGTAATTGAAACTACCCGTCGAGTCCGATCAACTCGTCGATTATTTGGATGATAAGGCATAGCCTTCCACCTCTGTGCCTTGCAAACACGTGAAGGTATACCGGTATTTTAGGATAACTAGCTAACCTTGAACTAGATCCCGAATGGGCTAGGTCGAGGGATCGAGATGACGGGTTCCCTTTTTGGGTGATTCCGAGGTGCTCGTCATTCACGATGAAATGGTCTTTAGACCGTCATCCGTGATTGAGGAATGGATTGCGTACAATCCCCTCTTGGTATGTTATATTAGAGACTAGAGGGTTGTGGGCCGTATGGCGCTCCTCGCAAACTAATAATAAATTTATTTACGTGTACTTTGGGTTTTGAACCTTTATGTACACATTGTGGAGTTTCCTTTGAGGGTTGTGACCCTATGCTTGTTATGTGAAACTATGTGACGTGTCATATGAAGTAATAAGGGTGGAAAACCGGGTCAAGACGGCCCTGATTAAGGCCTAGTGGAGTTTTCTTCATGATGTGCTCATCATTATTATTTGAAAATGAAAATGAGATATAAGGGAGGCGCTGAAAGACTCGTGTGTGTGAGTTATCCTTATGTGATATGTGTCATCTTATTCAAATTATGTTCTTAAAATGATTTTGTGGCATTATACCGTACTAATTTATCTCCGATTAATTGCGCTTACTCAACCGTTGTGTTGACCCTCTTCTTACAACCTTTTTGTAGGTGATCATGTTTCTGTTATACCTAAATGATGCATCCACGTCATATGATCCATAGGGGGAACTATAACTACTTTATCTTCTAAAATATTTTTGAAATCCATTATTAATGTTTAATAACTAATGTCTTTTGAACTATTTCCAACTTATGTTTTTTACTCAAACATTATTTATTTAAATGATAAACCGGTGCGCTTTAATTCTAAATCTCTAAATAGTTATTTTGTAATGGTTATTTTAGCCTTAGCGCCACAACGTAGGGCTAGTTGGTTGATGAACGAGCCTTACGGTGTGGCGTGGCGGTGACGCTCCGGTTTGAGCCAGCCGTGGTGTTACATTAACAATAACTAATATGGCACTTATACTGTTCATATAGAGAAACCAATCAGTTCAAAGCCACAAACCTTGGTTCTTTGCAAATATAGGCCTTGCAGTTGCTGGAGCGAACCCTGTAGGACTCTGCAGAACATCCTGAACAAACAACAAAGTACATGGCAAATGTTTGTAAATATTCAGCATAACATAATGCAACCAGGAAAATTAACTGTGAAAGAATGATAAATTGAATATATGAATTGTTGCAAGATGTATACAAGAATACATACACAATACCAAGAAGAAGTGAAAAGGCACACAATACAAAAGGATGATCAAGATACAAGTATCAGAGAGATTTCCCTTTGATATGGAACATTACTAAAAATTAAATATAGTAAAAATGAGATATTGCACAAAAACTAAGAAAGGGCATCCTATGGGAAATAAGGTAATAAATCAAGTTAATATAAAGCAAAAAATTTTTTGGGAAATTCATTTGTCTGCAGATATAATTGTAAAACAGCACGGATCTTACAGTAGGCATGGGGCGCATGCAAGCAAGAGGATTTATTCGTCCATGTGTAACCTAACATTGTTGAAAGTATTAGCCACGCATAAATTGACTAAATAATTATATTGTAAAATAACTCTATACATTTTGCAGATTTGGAGGGGCATAGGCAGGGCCCATTGGAAAGTTCTGATATTGACCAGTAATTCTGGTAGGCTGCATCCTGTCCACGACTTGTCCAATAATCTGCACAAAAATAAAATAAAATAAATAAATGCTAAGTCAAATTGCCAACGGGCAAAACAAAACACAATCCTAAATTCACAATTCACATGGTTCCTTAATCAATCAATTCATATCATTTATGTGACAGTTACTCAACTAAATCTAAAAGCATATAGTTTGTATTTGAAGATATCAGGTATTTGACACTTGGCATATGTTTGAGTATAAATTGAATGAATTTCAACCGGGATATTAACACAGTATAACTTACAGGTTGGACATACGCCGCATCATGATCACCATGCCCAACAGCCACATTATTGTATGGAACAAGCTTAACAGGCGTGGAAGAATGAGTAAAAGAACTCGCCACAGACTCTTGTGGAGGAGCAGCCATTGTGTAGGATGCCATGTAAGGACCACCACTTGCTCCATTTGGCACAGCAGGATTCACTGTTCTATGGTGCAACGTTGATGGAGAAAATATTTTTGCTCCAGGATTAAGCTTGGAGTCCTAGAGAAGTAAATACGATGTCAAACAATTCATAATAAAAATTAATGGAAGGAGCACATGAGAAACTAGGAATATCATTCCACATCTAATAGCTTGTTCAAAAGAAAACCTCTATTCCATATTCCCACTAACATAAAATTCCATTAGGCCCCATTTGGTTGGAGGAATTTGGATTAAAAATATTTCAAATGACTGTCAAATCCATTAATTTCGTGTGGCAATGTGATGGATTTTAAATCTTCAAAGTTGGTTGTGGATTTCAAATTAATCTCCTTTGATTTTCAACTAATATTTACACCATGGCATTTCAAAAAGTTACTGTGACCAAATGATTAATTTTAATTGAAGTATTTCAAATGCCAAATAATCTATATCCATTCACTTAATATCCACTCTCAAATCCAAATCCATCTAACCAAACAGGTCTCAAAGTATTTTCGCTGTAAAAGAAGTCTAAAATACTTGATGCCCTTAACAACAATATAATAGAGAACATCACACATAAACAGTTCAGAATCTGCTTTTTTGTAGATAGTTTCATATAAGAAAAAGCTCAAACAAAATTCAAAGCTGAGAATGTTCAGAGAGATCTACCATACCTTAACAGTTCTTTTAACACTTGAACTTTTTGGAGGTACAAAAAAGAAGGGATTTGATGATGCTTTGAGGCATGAACCCGAAGTAGCATCAATCATGCGACTGGAAATAACAGAAACATTTGGTTGGGAGGCAACCGAGTATGCAGTCTCATCTAAAGTAGGCCAGCATTGACTCCGATCCTCAGCGGCAGCAGAGCAAAACAATGATACAGCTGTTGGCTCTTGTTGCATGGTTCGGTGAAGATTTACATTGGTTGAAGGAGCTTTGCCACTGCTGACTGTCCAGAAACAACAGGTAAAATCATCAAATTCAGGTGACCTTAGGAAACAGAAAATAAGAATGTTAAGCAAAGAATAGAGCGCTGTTGCCCTCTACATCCTATTGCTTATTTCACACAAGGTGGCATCTAGCATCAAATGCTGATCAATAATTATATAGAACAAAATGATTTCCCAATCAACCATTGATGATTTGACTATATTAATAGCTCATCTTCGTCAATATCCTCAACAGTCTGCAAGTCAACAGTTACTTGTATGGAATGATTCAAGGAAGAGAGACTTTCTTATTCAGCTAATTACTTTTACATACTACAGTCAGGGAGCTATTTCATACAGTAGAGAAATGATGTCTATATTTTCATCAATTGATGAAGCCCTGCCATGATTTAATTCCTAGACATATTATATCAATTTATCAGGCAGCAACTGCGTTTAAATAACAGAAAATGAAGAAATTCAGTCATCGTTTTGTAATGTGATGCATAAAGGCGGGGTGGGTTAGCAGCCGGTTGAGTCCTCTTAGAATTAGTATTCTACTTTAGCTAAGAGTATTCTGGTGTTCTAAGTTGTTTATGATTAATTTTGCAAATAAAACCCATATTTTATATTACTCTTGGCAACTATAAAAAACCACTAAATATTAGAGTCAGGCTTATGTTTTTCTTTTGGAGGAAGCAATAAGAATTCAAACACGTGAGAGTCTTTTGGCCAAGTTTAGGGCTTGGTAAACCCTTTTGAATTTGTTCTATCACTTTTGTTTGTTGTTTCCTCAAGGCTGAAGTCTGGAAACCGTAGCTAGAAGAACAGCGATGCTTCAATCGGCTAGTAGTCTAGATTCCTCATCCTTGTTATTATCATCTATTATAACCTCCTCGTTCTTTTTTTCCCATTATGTATGTGAGCATTTAAACATGGCCTTAAGCCACAAAGCATAAGTTTTGAAATTTTTTTCAGATTAATATATTTTTTTAGCCAAAAAGTTGTTTTGAGGTCTCTATCATATAGGTTTCTAGCTTCCTAGTTCAACAATATATAGCTCGATCCTGAATTTTGTGATTGTGGGTTTAAGACTTTAAGTCAGATCTTAGGTACTTATAAATTCATACACAACTTAGAAATTATGTTAATTGATCCTTTCGAGATGTTACTCATTTAGGACACATCCTATTGTCATGTGTAAAGAACACAATATTTAGCCTATCCTAAATAAAAAGCATATTTCTATCTAGGGTTGAGTAAATTATACTTCTCTTGCGTTGATACATTTAAATCAGGTCCAGTGGATTTTTAAGAAAGAAGCTAACAAACATGTAGAGGTATATAGTATACCTTCCATTCTTGTTGCAGTTTTCATTAAGCTATGAAGACCTATTTAGTAGGACTTGTTATCATCTGAACTTAAGTCATTAGCGCTTAATCCTACTTAGCATGTTTGACAACCATAAGGTTAATTAATTTTATGTTAATCAAAATTTCCAATAAATTATTTTTTATATAAAACAAATAGTATATATTAAGAAGATTATATTTTCATCAACCTAATAATATAAAGAGTTAAAGACGAATTATAAAATAACACATTCAACATTCAGCTCTCTGTAATTATCAAACAAATATAGTTTTAGTCATTCATCATTCGGTATTCCACATTTAGCATTCAGCGTCCATTCAATTTTAGCAAACACGACCTAAGAATCTTAACCAATGTACAAAATTAAGGTACTGCACTAAGCATCTATTCAGTTTTAGCAAACACCACATAAGAATCTTAACCAATGCACAAAATTGAGGTACTGCACTATCTTTAGTATTACACAAGTATACATTCTATTTACAATACATCAGGAATTCCCACAGGAAAAAAAAAAAAAAGGAATAGAAAAGAAAGTGGAATGAACATATCTGAGTCACCTAGCAATTTGTTTTCCAATCAACTGTAACATAACACTGATGCAACAAAAGAATTAAATTGCATACACTACCTCAGCCTTCAACCCAAACAATGTTCAACAACCAGAAATTCTCGAAACATATAATATATCAACTAAATCCCTGATTGTGTTTTAAACATCTTTCACCTTCCTTTTAAAGGCAAGGTACTTCCACTTTATGTTCGTCTAGACTTTAAGACACTTCAGTAAACTGACAACTGAGAACTCTTCACTACTTTTTCTTGTTTACAGTCAATTCACTTCAAGGACAAGCCTTGCAATATAAACTCAATAGTCAATAGTTTACCACTCCCTACAACTACTTGACCCACAAAAACAGATGTAATACCTCCCTAGAGATAAGTTCCACTGGCCGAAAAGAAATAGCGAAACACTAGAAAGAGTTAGCAGACTTAATGGACATAGATAGGCATACGGCAGAAAATCATGGATGTAATAGACTGTGAGAGTAAGTGATAATTTCGTGATAAATGATAGGCATAAAAATCAGTAGAGTAATGCATAGAATCAGTTGATTAATGCATAAAATGCAGGAGAGTAAATAGTTGCAGTTGCATATTCATACTCATGTATCTTATTATAAAGAAATTAGAAAAAAAACATTTGTTTCTTCATAAAGTGTTAAAACAGATAAGCATATTAACAGTATAGAAAGTTATCCCAGATAAATACAGTATCAGTGTTGTTAATACATCAAACTGGATAAGATGGAAACTCACGGCTAAGATTTGTGCCTTGAACTCCATTCATCTGCGAGAAAATTATCAAGGAAATCAATTTAGAAGGCAAAGCTTACAAGCTTTTCTCCAAAAAATCATCAACTTACAATACTCACATCTCCAGAACCAGGGCTTTTCTGGATCTTGCACAACAGGTCTAGTGAGTTGCCATCCTCAACATTTCTGCTATAATTCAGAATTATGAATAACATGACATGGGATTGATAATAAATTTAAATAAAAATAATAAATAAAAGTCAAAAATAGTTATAATTTCGAAAATCCGGAAGTATACATGAAAACAACAAATGGGGAGGAAAGGAAAAGAGAAAAAGAAAGCCATTCCTATAAATCACAGGTATAAAGTGTTAGTTCGTTGATATATTTGCTGTTGGTATAACCTTTAACAATTACTTCACTTACAAATCAGCGAACAAAATCCATATAAGAGCACTAGAGTGAATGGCAAGCAAAAATGGATTGTGGAGAACCAATAGAACGCACTTGAGCAGAAATAGTTACCTTCTATCAACTGAAATATTATGTGCTTCTATCTGTATCAACAATAAAAAGGAAATAGAAAATAAAAAAGAAGAAATGAATGGTACATAGTAGCGAAAAGTGCAAACATTACAGAATAATAAAGAGGAAGATATTAATAGCCCAGGCATGATTGTCATGTCATTCAGCAGAACAGTTTGAATTTAGTATTACATTTTTTTATCGGAATGAATTTAGTATTACTTATCAATATGTAAAGCTGTTTATTATTTGAAAGATCACCTTAACAAACTTCGTTGTATCCAATCTCTCAAAGAAGTCTTCTGAAGAACTGTTTAAGTGATTTGCAGCCTCAGCTGTAGAACTATAAGGAAAATCATTATCCTTTTGACTAAAACCCTGGAGTTAATAATGAATTTAGCTAATCTAACATAAATGAAGAAACCATCAAATGATCTCCAAAATGCAATCTGTCAGGACACAGAAATTCTCTTTATGTATATACACAACCTACAGAGCCAACCCACCAGTAACCTCCCAAAAAAAAAATTAATGAAAGATACAGAACATCATATAAGCATTAAAAGATTCATAAGTTTAAGGTTCTGCTTGAAATGACTTTTTAAAAAGGTAGAAGTAGAAGTAAAACATAAGAGTACAACAAAGGTGTTAGGATTGACCAATGAGGTCGGTTTTTCAGGGAAAAAAAATGTTTGGATTGATTGAAACCTATTGTTCTTTCCTTTTGTAAATAACCCTAAAGAATATGCAATACAGGCTAGTTTTCAAATATAGATAAATATTTATATTTATATTATATAAAAAATATTTGTATCTGGTTGTGTTTTCATTTCCATTATCCTTCCAAAAGGCATCACATCCATCACCTATTTCCAATTTAGCACATCATCACTCAGGCTCTGTTCTCTTTGAGATTTTTTATTTTTATTTTCTTTAAATTTCTTTAATATGCAATCCGGATGATTCTATATAAAAGTACACTATGTCCTCTCAAAAAAGTATAACGCCAAACCACTATTTAAGCACAAAACACAAACACACCCTCATTTTCACCTCAAAATTTTCAAAATCTAAAACTCAACACCAAAACAGAAACAAAAAGAACAACCAAACACCCCTATTTAAAAGTAGGATTTTTACTCTTACTTTAAATTTAAAACATAAGTGGATTCAAACACTGAAATTTCTTCTTAAGTTTTAAAATTAATAATAAAAAACAGAAGCCAACATGGCCCTTAATATGCGAAACACTAACAACAAAGTTGTAAATTTGAAATTTGAAGTGGTCCTACAAACATTTCAAATTTTAGGAGGACGACAAATCCACACCTCAAGTTCTAGGCTGCCAAGAATAATACCATGATAATATCATGTGTCCTAACCCTCACACCTGCCCATCCCAGATACTGACTTTTAGTCCATCTTTGTGTCTCCATATTAACAACTATGAATTTGACAGTCACATAATTCAATCTTTTTATGTTATTAATATCTATAAAAACATCAGCTGGGAAATTTATAGTACAGTCCTACCTCCTTTGACTCGTGTCCTTTTTGTACCCTTTGGACTCATTCTCATTTATAGCTTCTACATCGTTCTCAGGGCATGTATCTGCAGCAGCCTGAATGGTGCCATTCCCAGCGAGGCCTCCCATTCTATTAGAGGGAAGTAGAACACCCTGGAAACAGGCAAACCTTCATTGAAATAACAAGTGTCTGTTGAACTTCAAAACTACAATCTAAAGGATTCTTTAGAACTGATAAGTTTACAGGCAACCTGCCTTAGCAACAACTTGGACAAGATCTTTGGATTGCACAATAAGAGTCTCGATTAAAGCTCCATCCATTACACTATCATCCAGGTTCCCCTTCTCCACCATTCTCGCTTTCTTCAATACAATAGCTATGCCAATACATATCCATAAATTAAAACATTATCCTCTTCATTGAGAAGACAGCTACAGAGATTACAAAGTGCAATCGAACACTACCGCAAACCTATATACAGCCCTCCACTCAAAATCCAACCAGTTAAAAACGGAATAGGCTACATGTAATGAAGTTCCACTTATCACAAAGACAATTAAACACCACATCTCATCATAATCAACAAACAGTAATTTAGAAGATAAGATTGAAGATCATAAGCTAAATCGAAGTGCACATGAATCAAAAAGGCTATAAATAAAGCACAACAAATCAAAATCTATGACTAAAGCATACGGTTGCCGGAGAAAAGTGCAGATAGAATACCATATTTCTTATCTAGAGAGGCTGTGTGGAAGATTCCTGAATAAACCGAGCCATCTTTGGCGTAAACGTCGACAGGCATCCCAATGATGCACATGGTTGTAAAAAGCAAGGCATCGCCGACAGCCCTTGATGCGGCGTCCCTGTTTTTAACTTCGTCCCTCGACGCCCCCCCGTTTCTGCAGGCCATTTGAATCTTGGCGGTGTCGTCAGATATTCAATGCGATTGCAAGTACGGGATAAATGACAAGGATTGGGCAGCGAGAAAAAGACCTGGAAAGGAAAGGAAAGAAGGTGAGAGGAGATCTGAAAGCTGACAGGCAGGCAGGCAGGCAAGGATGAATTTAGCAGTGGCTTTGATTTAGAATTACGAATCGTACGAGAAAAGAAACGATCATTTATTAATATATTCTCCCTCCTTCCTTCACCTTCGCTCGTTTTCATTTTTTCTTTTTCATTTTTTTTAAAATGTTATCATTGTTTTAATAATAAAATAAAATATATATATATATAGGAGTATTATTTTTTATATTTTTTTTACCGTAAATAATTAAAAATATATACCTGGATATATTTTGATCGATCTGAATTTTTTAGCTACTTATAACATAAGTTTTAATAAAAATGAGTAATAATTATTACTTTTTGTATAATAAAAAATACAAAAGTGTACTAATTTTTTACTTAAAAATAAAACAAAAATATTTTTTATTACAGCAAAAAAAGAAAAAATAAATAAATTTAAATTTAAATGATGGAATGAGTATATTATTTTTTATATTTTTTATACTTGTGTATTTTTTTAGCTATCTAATTTTAGCTTTGTGGGTATATTTTTATTAGAGGTGGCAATCCTGCCTGCCCGAAAATTTCTAGGCCTATTTTTTTAGATTTGAGCACAGTTTTTTTCGTGTCATATTCAGATCGGGCTTATTTTTGTCATCTTTAATTTTGATCAATATTATTTATATTTTTTCCCTTGATACTTAGGGTGTGTTTGTTTAAAGGTTTGGATTTTGAGTTGGAATTTGAATAGTAAAAATTTTAAATTTGAATAGTTGTATGATGTGGTATAAATAGGTATTGATGCTATGTTTTGAATGTAAAATTGATTTTTAATATAATATAAAAAATAAAAAATAGGTGTTTGATTCGATATTTTTTAGAGAGAAAAAATAGAATGAATAATGTATTTGAAATCCAACCCCTATACAAACACACCCTAATGTGTTGATAAAGTTATTATGGAAAACAAATTCAATTGTATTATCTATTTTTATAAGTAAATTGCTAATAGCTCGTATTAATATTTTTGACGATTACTCTGAATGCAATATATATACCTATGATATATATTTTCAGTATATATTTTTTTTTTTAACTTTATTTATATCATTCTTATGAATTTTCCTTCTCATGCTTTACAATCAAATTTTTTATATATGAATTATATCACTCTCTATTGCCATGTTCTAAAAATTGATTTTATTATTTTTTTTTAAAATACTTTTTTTTTTTTTTTTTAAGTACATTACCAAGAGTGTGTTGTAGACTTTAATTGAGTGTTGTAAAACCTGAGGTCACCTACTACAAGTATGGTTCGCCTAGTGTGACTTCTCTGTCGGACCTAGTTTGCAGGATATTAGATTCGACCGAGGTTTATCCGATACACATTTTTTAGTAGCGACTGCTGATTTCCACGTCAATTAAAAAAAAAAATTACATGCAAATAGTGTGTAGATTTTATTTATGTTAGTCTTTGTAGACTTTGTTCCATATTTGAACCTGAATGCATTCCACATGCAGCCAACGAGGGACACTCTAGAATGCGTTCACAATTGAGGATAGGGAGATAGTTTCTATCATATTATGATCCATTAATATGCATGCTCGCCAAATGTTATGTATTAGCCAATCCCGAGTTGTAGTCGCGTGAAGGTTGGGCTGCCAAAGACACCAAATACAATGTTGTTAAGGTGTACTGAGTAAAGATTGTGTAGTCTACATTTTTCGGACCCTCAGGAGGAACTGTCAACTATGTTGCATTTGATTTGAAAGAACAAATGTGACTGTCTGATAACGTAGGAATTTACAACCTCCGGCCGAATCTAACAGTCTGCAAACTATGTTCGACAAGACAAGTCATACTATGGCAGGTAAGACGTGGAACCAGGGCCGTCCCTGGGCCCGGGCAAAAGGGGCGACCGCCCATGGCCCAATCTAAATTGAGACTCATTATTTATTTATTTATTTTATATATAAATTATTCATATATAAAAATTATTTAACATTAATATATTAGTATAAGAGCATGGTTTGGTGGTTAAGTTCTATTTATATTATTTTTGAGGTTTTGGGTTCAAACCGAAATTTAAAGATATTTTTTTATGCATTGAATTAGACAAAGTTAATATTAATAGTATTATTAATATTTTGCATATAAAAATATTAGGCAATTTATTTTATTTAATTATTTATATTTTATTATATATATAAAAAAATATATTATTTATATATGTTTATGGGCCCCTAATTTTTATTTTAAGATTGTTAATATTAATACTATTATTGATATTTTATGTAAAAATTCTAAACAAATTATTTTATTTAATAATTTATATTCTATTATAGGTAAAAAAAATCGAAGTAGATCATTTATATATATTTATGGGTTTTTTATTTTTGTTTTAGTTATTTTTTTGCACTAAAAAGATAATAAATATTAAAAAAAATTATTATTATTGTTATTATTATTATTATTATTATTATTATTATTATTAGGCAAAATTATTAATAACTCTTTTATGATTTCAAAACTCAATGTAAATCATCTATCTACTTTTAAAATAGCATGAACCCCTTTATACTTTTAAAAATATGTTCCATTAAATTCATTTTTATTTTTTTGGTGATGAGAAAATGATTTTTCATCTATATTTTTTGTACGACAAGTATTTAATATAGCGTTTTGTTAAAATATAAGGGAGCCTTAAGCAATTTTTAAAATTTATGCTAGAAAAAAAAAATTAATTTATATTTTATTATAGGTAAAAAATATTATACATATATATATATTTAAGGGGCCCTAATTTTTAATTCGCCCCGGGTCCTTCGAAAGTCAGAAACAGCCCTGCGTGGAACCATCGAAACTTAAAATTCATGACCTCTCAATCACGATTACATTCCCACACGACCAAGCTATCCCTTACGAAATGGGATGAGGATCTCTTTTTTTTTTTTTTATGACGCGAGAATTCGCAGTCGTTATCTGAAAATACGCACTAGGTAAACCTCCGATCGAACCTAACACCCTGCGACGACGATGATCTCTTGTTTATATAGGAAAATGGATCAAACTACTTTAGGAAGGGATTTCATAACACCCACGCACTTTATGGGCTAAATTTAAAGATACACTCAACAAAATGAACTCGCCGCTTTATGGGCTAAATTTAAAGATACACTCAACAAAATGAACTCGAGTATGAAATATAAAAAATAATAATAATAATAATAATAAAAAAAAAACTAGAAAGAAAAAAATAATGTAGTACATTTGGAACCAAATTGCAAAGATATATAATGGGGCCCAAATAGGCCTAACCGGTCTGGACCGATCCAAAACCACTTGAAAATAGTTCATTTTAACTAAATTCATTTGAAAATTCTATCATAATAAGTCAGTTTGAATTGAGCTATAAAAATATATTGACCCCGCTTGTTACCCGTCAATACAACGGTATGTGAATTTATAATTAATGCTTGATAAATACATTAATGTTTTTATTATTGATATATTTATTATTATTTATGATGTATTTATATATTTAATATTTTTAAAATTTTAATAAAAAAATTATTTTTTTTATGGGTTAAGTGGTATGGGCCGGTTCAAATGAATTTACTCTGAGATAGACCTGGTCCGATTCTTAAAAAATTGGTCCAAAAGGATTTACTTAAAAAACAATGTTATATCGTGTCAAATAAAAGAATTAAGAAAAAAAAAATAGTCACATTTTTTTATTTGATTGAACCAGAAAATTAAAAGTTTGATAATTAAATAATTCTTTATTATCTAATTTTATTTTTCTTTTATATACTAAGGAATATGGAGAATTAAAAATCGAGTATACTCATTTTATAATTTTTTTTTTCATTAACTTTTATAATTTTCTATCAATCATCTGCCTCTTTCAAATCAATTCATCTTATTTTTAAGTAAATTCTCTACATTATCAAATAGAATTGATTTTCATTCCCCATTTTTCTTTCTCTATAATTCGGTTACCATCTACTCCCTCCGTCTCAGATATCTACTCCCTCCGTTCCAGATACTGTGTCTGCTACACTGTAGACGCGATACTTTATGAGGGGTATAATTAGTAGATAATTAAGAATGTATTAGTGAAAATAATTATAAATTAAGATTAAGATAACTAATTAGTTTAATTAAAATTTTATAAAAAAATAAAAAATTTAAAATAAGATTAAAGTGTGTAATCATTTTTCAGAAAAGAAAAGCGACATGGTACGTGGGACGGACAGAAACGGAAAAATGGACATGGTATTGGGACGGAGGGAGTATCATTTTTAACTATTCTATTTTCTTATTAAAAGCATCTTTAATGTAATTCTGAAATAGCTAGATGATGACCAAGTAAGAGAAAGTAGGTTTGATCATTAGTGGCTAGTTTTTAAGAAGTCGTTGGCATAATTTCGAAGGTGAACAATATCGCTTCTAGCAGCTATTTTTTTTTTTTTTTTTTTTTCTTCTATAAGTTTGTTTTAAGCATTATTAAGCTTTTCATTTTTATTTTTTCTCTTGATATATTGTTTTTCATTCGAGAGCTATTATTATTTATTACTATAAAATTTTCAAAATTTTGTTTCCGATTTTTCCATGATGTTCATATGTTGGTGTGTTTGTTGATCCTTACAATATTGTTGATTACCAACATGGAATACATGTATATATGTGTGTACACATACTTGTATAGCTCTTTATGATCAATTGTGTTTTAATTTATTTTAGGTTGATTTAAAATAGAGCTTCTTACTAGAATACTAACATTTTGAATGAATATTTTTGACATTCTATAATCGAAAAAAAAAAATGAACTCTACTATATAGTATAATGTAAATATAAGTGAAGCCATCTTCGGCCGGAAATTTACACAGTGCGCAATTTTAAATAGCGGCGGCAGATTCTCACGTTATTAAAAAAAAAAAAAAAAAAAAAAAAAAAAGAGATAAGTGAAGGCATCCCACCTCTAATTTGTTGATCAAGCACACAAGTGTGAAGAAGGGAGAAAAAGCCATGTCCTTGAGAAGCAAGCAAGCATATAAATACATACACACACATATATAATATATGTATTGTAAAAATAATTAATTAATTAAGTTTGCGACGATTTCCTAATAAGTTTTGAATTGGAATGAGTGTGAGTGAACAATGGCATTCTATAATTCCTCGGGTGATTTGTCGCGACGTCGACTGTAGCACACAAGCTTGGTATGAGCTTGTTGCCTCCTCGTCTCTTCGTCTTTTTTTCATGACATCGATTATTATTAATAATATCCTTACATTCATCAGCACTTGAATTGCCTCTTTGGAGATTGATGTTCTTAAAATACTCGATTTCTTGGATGATGAGGAATCCTACAGTACCTGTGGAACCGATGGCCACCGGATTAGGATTCGCTTCCCATTTCCGAGTCGAACTTGAGCTTGAGGCATCACACTTTATTACAACCTTTTCTTTCATTTCTGTAATTGAGAGACCTTAGCAGCTGCTTGCCTTTGATGAACAATTCTTTATCATCATACTGCCTTCTTCTACTTGTTCCTATGTTGATCTTCTTATTGATCTTGAAATATATACATATATATATACATATATATTGATGGGAGTGGGGAAATAAATGTATGGGAGGGTGGATATGCCTGGTGGGTGGGTGGGTGGTGGTCCTTTGGAATGTAATTACACAAGCATGTGCTTGTAATTAAATCAAATATGTTATGAATGGTGCAGCTTGCAAACTGTTCCTCCGCCTCTAATAAAAACAACAGCTTGATGATACTACTGCTGGGGCACGGCACAACACAACTAATACAGTGTTCTATGGACCACCCCACCCCACCCCACCCCACCCTACCCCTCCCCTGCATCCTTTCACTTTTTATTATTGGCTAATTTGAACTAATCTGCTTGGGACCATATAAAATATCACTTATTTTTCCTGAAAGATAAATTTTGGCACTGTGCATGTCACATCTTATGTTGGTCCTTGAGATTTGTCTTTGGACGGCGGATTGGATTTGGCCGGTCGAAAAGTTACTGTGATTGGTATCGTTTATTTAGAAAAGTATCCGAACTTGATCTCGCATTGATAATTTAGAGATAAAATAAAAGGAGAATTGAAAAAAATAAAATATAGGAATTTAAATTGATGAGCAAAAATCAATATTGAAACCAATCAAATTGGACAAAATTTATTTTTTTCATTATTAGTCTCGTTCGAAAAATATTATTAAAATTAGTTTTATATAAAAAGCTTTTTTTTTTTTATCAATTTTATTTTCACTTTTAAAATTAAAAATAATATGCTGATATGACTGTACCGAAACTAAGATGATTCTGATTCGAATCGAACACGGCCATGTTACTTGATCACAGCCGTGTTGAAACAACCATCACATCCCTTACGTCTTGTTAAAAGGACCGTGTTTAAATATTTCACATTGCGTACAGACGGCCGTGAATTCCCCAAATTATGGTAAGCATCTCGCAATCTGTATGAATTCCACAACCCTTAATTTGCAACTAAATCCAAAACTAATAAACAAATTCGTCTACAGGACAACAACAATTCTCATGAATTGGCAATCAAAACCCACGAGATTTGCAAAGAAAAATCACTCTCCCAAATCAGGCCGAAAAAATTCTAAAAAATTGTTGCGGATCAAGAGATCAAAATTATAAAATAAAAACCCTAATTATAAAAGAAAATTCAATTCAATTCAAATTGTTTTCAATTCATTGGATTCACAAAAAATCATTTCCTTCCCATCACATCAATAGAATCCGATGCTTTGCTGCCGAAAAAATCAAGATAAGTTGATTGAAGAGGCTCATGACTATCATTGTTGCAAGAAAACTCATGTATTTCATTCCTTCACTTACATGCTAAGCATTTTAAACACTCGTAATTGACATTTATTCTCCTTCTTTAAAACAAATTAAGGCCTGTCAATCTACTTTCTTTCACTTTAGAGAATGAAATTGCAAATAGAAAATAAAATTGTTGTCAAAAAATGTAAAAAATAAAAATAGTAAAATTAAATCCTTGAGTCATAAATTTATTGTAATTTAAATAAAATTAAAATAATATAATTTTTAAAAATTATAAAAATTAAATAGTATAAAAAAAATAATAATAATAATGCAACACTCATTTTTTTCAATTTTTAGATGTAAGAGAGAAATAAAAAAAATTTATTGCTCAACTTTCATTTATGTGACTTAAATAAATAGGAGTCTCTAATGTTATTTCTCTGTACCAATCCTCTCTTAGAGAAACAAAAAGAAACAGCCACCCTCTGAAAAAATAGTTTTTTTTTTTTTTTTTTTTTTTTTTTTTTTTTTTTTTTTTTTTGTTAAATTGATTGAAATAAATAACATATCAAAAATGAAGTAAAATAGAAAAATATATATATATAATAGTGGAGTGTGGTGGCAGTGTGAATTGACAATAATATCCTCAAAAACTTGCATCGTCCCACGGGCATAGGGGCTCATTAGTCTTTCCACAAAACCTGAAGGTCAATTTTGGCGAAACGCCGGAGGGAAGAAGACGTCAACGAAATCGGTCGGCATCTGATCAGTTCTTCATTCCGTTTGCAGGCCAACAGTATTTTCGCTCGATTTTCCCCCTGAATTGATCTGTGCCTCAAGTTGCAGTTTCAATATGCACGATTTTTGCTTCACAATTCCGTATGGGCTGCTTCTTGTGTGCGGCGGCGTAATTGGATTTGTGAAGAAAGGCAGCACAGCCTCTCTAGCTGGGGGCGCCGGCACTGGATCTCTGCTCGTCATCGCAGGATACCTCAGCCTCCAGGCATTCAATAAACGGAAGAACTCCTACTTCGCTCTGATCCTTGAAACAGGTAAGCCTATGATTAAGTCGAGAATGTAACGCATAACTTCAAACCACTCGCATTTATCTTTCGAGTCAATGATGTGTACATATTTACAAAATTATGTCGATTTATGCTGTCTCGATTTGGCTTGTGAGATAACTAGCGAATAATATTTATGTCAATGCTGTGAATTCCTGCTTTACCTTTACACATGGACAGAGAATACGAAGATCTACTAATCGAAGCTGGGTTTCTGATGTTTAACAACTTCAAGTTTTCGCATATTTTAGAACTTTTGAATTATTTATTCCCAAATTTGCTGTCTTAGGTTATTAATTCATGGATCAATGTACGTTTGTGTATCCCCGGTCCCAGAAAATCTGTCAGATGAAGCATGTTGGTGGATAATTAATATGTCCAGCTGAAGAGTTAATGTCTATTTCCAGATTGCAGTCTTTGCTTTCTACTATAGATAGTCTCGTAGTTTTTGCATATTTATTTGTAATAATAGATTTGAAGTTTTTGTTTTGTTTTTCAGTTTTCTGTGAAACCTTGAAAGTTCAAACACTTGGAATAAAGTACCATGTTAACATCCAATTAGGGTAGGATTGTTTGATTTCGAGTGACTCTGAACCTACTAATTGAACTTTTCTTGATTTATATCCAGTGAATCTTGTTGTTTTAGAGAGATATTTATATAGTTTTTTCTTTGAAAAATGATCAGCCTTTCTTAGCATTCTTTAGTTCTGGGATTGTTTACCTTGTATCATATGAATTTATCTTGTGCTTTATCTGGCGTTTCTTGAAACAGTCATTGCTGCCATTCTGACATGGATCATGGGACAGAGGTACATGCACACCGGAAAAATAATGCCAGCCGGTATTGTTGCTGGCCTAAGGTAACTGAAAATTATTAACAGATTCTGTCTACCATGTCTGTTTGAATTAGTTAGCTAGATTTCGAAATTGACATAGTTATTGCTTTTGTTCATATAAGATAATAATGAATTTGTGGCATGATTCTAACCGTACATCTGATGTACAAGTGTTGCGCGATGCAATATAATCTAACAATGCTGATTACCTTGGCTAGTTTTTGTTTATTTACATCTTATGTTGTTGAATTGGAACCACTATAGATACTGGTTTATTAATATATCCATTACAATTAGAAGTTGTCATTTGTTATAGGAGTGGAGGGTATCCTACTTCTCTGTTTCTTTTCTCACAAATGGTAGGGTAAAACTATTTTTTAACAAACTGAAATCATCATTAATTTATATTTAGTTGTAGCACTATTTTGTTTTGAATCCAATCTGCATCAATTAAACCTGCTACTTTTCTGGCTGCATGCATAGCAATCAAGAACAGTGCCCATCTTTGGATTGTTGCAACTACTTAAAAAGAAATTTAACGAAGATTCCTGGTATTTTTGGTGATTATAAAACGTTTTTTAAGGGTTATATTAATGTAACATTCACTCAGATTTAAATTTAATATAAACTCTCACACGGTCACACCAGAGGTAAAAGTAGTTAAATCATGAAGCTGAAATTGAAATGATCTCTTCTAGTCGGACTAAATTTATATTTTTCTGGAATGTTTTTTGTGTTCTTCACTTTCAGTTGCTGAGTTTATGCATTGCCATCATTGGAATTGATAAACTTTAATTATTTCAAGACATACGGATTTTATGAAATTGCCTGAACTGCTTTTAATCTTATTGTTTGTATGCAGTTTCATCATGGCTCTATTTTACCTTTACAAAGTAGCTACCGGCGGTAACCATATTCCTCCAAAGACTGAGTAGGGGTGTCGGTAATCTCTTACCCTGTATCGTGTTTGTCGCGTGCCTCAAATACTGGATTTGTAAAACATTGTTCATTAATACGGGATTTGCTGTTGCGGCTCAATACATGTATCAAGACTTGTGGCAATCCAAAGATTTATCTTGGATTGATTGAAACCGTAGCAAACGCTATTACAAGCCATATACCCTGTTTTCCTGTATGAATATAGCATGGTTAGGCCTAATGAGACACTTGTACTAGTTTTTACTAAAATTTTGTAGTATACTAAGTGCCTGGAAGCTGAGAAAGAATATATATACATTGGAGTTTTAAGTTGCTTTGAAAAGAATAGAAAATTGAATTGGAAGTAGGCTTTAATACTATATTTTTCATTTTAAATAGAAAATAAGTTTTGGGCTTAGACATTTAAATGAAAAGGTGTCTGATATAATGTAGCTTTTGAGTTTTTCGTTTCTACATATATATAGGCTATTTTAATTGATAGAATTTAATTTAAGTGAAATTAAATTTAGAAATTTTCGAAACAAATTTTTTGTTGAGTATAACATGCATTGAGCCAAAAATATGAATTAATTGAGGTTTTCTTAGTTAGTTGGATTGAAGTATAATTAAGGTCCTAGGCTAAATTGTAATTCAGGGACTTTGGGTTGATTAGTGAAGTAATTAACTAATTAAATTGTGAGAATTTGTCTGTTTAATATATCAATAATTGATATATTTATATATTGAATAATATAATAAATGTGGTAATATATATAGAGAGAGAGAACAAATGGGAAAATTAAATATTTTTGAAAAAAATCAACAAAATTATATAAACTTTAATATTTGGGAAAAAATCATTTTTAGTCCCAATATAACCAAAATTCATCAATTTTGATCTCAATATAAAAATCTTATCAATTTTGGTTCCAATATAACCAAAATTATCATTTTTGTGTCTCAGTATAACCAAAACTCATCATTTTTGGGCCTAATATAAATTTTTTATCAATTTTAGTCATAATATAAAGAAAATTCATCATTTTTGGTTTCAATATAATCAAACCTTATTTTTTTTTTCCAAATATAATCAAATCTTATTTTTTTGGTCCCACCATCAACGAACCGACGGAAAATATTGACGTGAAAAAGAAATCAAACCTTATATTTATATTCGAAAAAATTGCACAATCTTGCAAGTCCACGTCAGCATTTTCCGTCGGTTTATTGACGGTGAGACCAAAAAAGATAATGTTTGATTATATTGAGACAAAAAATGATAAATTTTGACTATATTATGACCAAAATTGATAAGATTTTTATATTGGACCAAAATTTCCAAAATCGATGAATTTTGATTATATTGAAACCAAAAATATTTTTTCCCTTAATATTCTTTACTAAAAAATAAAACTTAAAATTATTTTATAGCATTATTCTTTTCGCTAATGTATCTTTTCACTCAAAGCTTGAATAAGCTGGCGGACCTGAAACGACAACTCTATCTATCTCGAAACCATCTTTTAAACGTATTAACATTCCACGCATAATTTTCGTATAACATATAGCAGTTGCCGTTGAGTAAGATTACTACTTACTCTCTACATGCAGTACGCCGGAGCAATGGCTGGTCGATAGACGAAAGGTCGGACAGCATAAGAATATCCCGAGGGATGATTGTAACCGAACTTAACACCTGAACTTCCGTCCCCGAGATGTGTGCAGTGGCTGTTGAAGCTGCTGATAGGTCTGGCTAGACAGGCGTCCCAACGTTCACTCTCGGGCATTGTCTCAGCCACAGTATATATGCCATTTGAATTTGTGAATGCCTGATAGTTTAGAACCTCGCCCGACTTTGTTATGCAGAGCACAGCCACCTCCGCACCTGCCCAGAAATTATTCACATCAAATGATTATCCGGCGACTAATAAGTAATCGGAAAAAGGCCAACATTGAACAGGTTAAAGTCTAGTTTGGTTAGCATAAAATTCTATGTACTGCACAAGCCAATCCAATCTCCAGTTTCACTTGAATGGTTTTGCAAAATGTGGTGTATGAACATAGATTCATTTAAGCCCACCTAAACGATAGCAGTTTCAGTTGCCAAGAAATTTTCCATGGTTATCAATATCTATTCCCTGTGTTGTTATTTTGTCAGCAAAACTGCAAAACTAAGTTATCATGAAGAATCAAGCAACGCAATGGACACAGAATTGACAAAACAAGTAAGGCCAAGGTATGAAGCTTTTAGACTTCGATGGAAGCTCACAGAGGCAAAAGAAATTTGTTTAGTTCATCGCCAGATTCACATAATTGTTAGTAATTTAAATTTATTTGCTTATTTTTGCTCTAAATTGAAACATGATAATGTTAATACAGAGGCGATTCTGTGTGTCAAGAGATATCCAATTCAACATTATTCAATTTCTCTCAACGAACCCTAGCTGCTTCTCCTTCAGATATCACCAAGTAAAATCGATTATACAGAAAGCTTCTGATTTCCATCCAAATACCTCAGCGCTAATATAACTACGATTCGATTGCTAAACAAGCAAGCAAAAGGATTCGACAGCAATTGAATTGAAAGTCAGTCAACGAAGTCGATTCCAAACTCACCTGTTAAAACATGATCTTCGGGTCCAATAGAAGAGTCGGCGCACACATCGCAAACTACTCTGCCGTGGATTTCACCGGTCCACGATCTGACTCCGTTTAGCATCAAAATTGTGTAAAGAAGCCACACGGTTAATCGATGTCTCCACTTGAACTCCATTGGCGTTAGCCACAAGGGACGCCACCGACAGAAGGAAACTGGAGAGTTCTGGCAAAAGGTTACGACGGCTCTCCTCAAGTTTGGTTTTTTACGCGTATTATCATTTCACTTAAATATATGTACAAATATTTTTTAAGAGTCTGTTTGGTTTGAGAGATTAGGAGGGAAGGGATGAAAATTCTAATTTTGTTTTTCGGTTTGTGTTGGTTGCAATACGGATATTATTAAATAGTGAATAAAATTTTAAAAAATATATATGTTTATTTATGTATAAGTAATATAAATTAATTTTATAAAGAAAATAAAAATTTAAATATAAATAAAAATATTTATTTGAAAAAGGAGGTAGAAAATAAATGAATTTTGAGTAGTTATGACTTGTGATATAATGTTGTTTACCATTTTTGTCTTTACTAAAATAATAATTTTATTTTTATAAATAATCATGTCACCTTAAAATTATCTCTATTTTTTCATTATTATTACGTAATTGTCACTGCTAAAATGTTATTTATCTTACTTTTTACACACTATCGATATAATATCACAATATTTCGTTAAATCTCGTGTTAAACATACTGTATTTCTAATGTTCCAACTAATTTGTTTATTTTAGCAGGAGAAAAAAATAAAGAAATAATTTAGAAGACACGCGGATATGGAAATAGTGAACAAAAGATGAGGTGAAATAATTAAATTAATTTATATTTATTATATATTTTTTAATTTAGTCAAATAAAGGTCTGTTTGTTTGGGGATTGAATTTTAAATATATTATTCATCTCTTTTTTTTTTCCAAAATATTAAATCAAATCCTTATTTTTTTATTTTTTATATTATACTAAAAATTAATTTTACATTCAAAACATTACATCAATACTTATTTATATCACATTCAAAATTTTTACTATTCAATTTTCAACTCAAAATCCAAACTCAAAACAAATACACCCTAAATGTAATTATAAGATAACAAAAATAAAAATATTTCAATTAAAATATGAAGAAGGGAGTAATATAGAAAAAAAAAAAAAAAAAAAATTAGTTTTGTAATAAAATCTATAGATAATTTTTTATATGTATATTAAAATATAGTGTAATATACCGTTAAACAGAGCAGAATAAGTAGTCCATCAATGGCGGCCAGCCCCGGACGGTTCCATTTCCATCAATGGATCGATAACGGTTGGATGCTCGACTGCCGCACGATGAGCATCAATCGAGAGCCGGCGATGGCTTCGATTGACAAAACTCCCATACCTATCTATGTAAGGCGATGTGGAGTTAGCCATACCATAGGCTATATTTAGGTAATAGCGGCAAAGGAAATTATATTTCAGGGAGGAGGAAAAACTGCGCCCTTGAATCCTTTCTGTTTCTCGAGAGATCAGAAAGGAGGAAAGCTTTTGGTTCATTCCGTAGCTTGATGAACATTCGGCTGGAAATTACATCTGGGTTGAAGATAGGTCTATTTGGGGGATTTGATGGTGGTGTGCCATTGCCTGAAATGGTAAGGCTGAGATAACGCAAGGATAAAGGAAGGATGTTGAGCTGTTTTTCGTGTTGTATGCAACAAGAGGAAACACAGCAGACATCCTCGGAGACTAATGTTCGAGAATTCAAGGATACAAAGCACCTCACCTCCATCACTAATCTTTCCTTAAAAACTGGTGAGCATTCCTTCATTCTTCTTTCCATGTGATTTTGTTTTCTGCCCTAAATCCTAATTTCTGAGAGGCAATTTTTTATTTGGATCACAAGTATGTGTTCTTGATATTTGAATCACACCAGAACCGTTCTGGTCTGGTGCGTGTATTGAATCAGATCCTTGATTATTCCTTCCATGTCATTTTGTGTAAAATTTTGCAATGTAATTTTGGCTTTTATAGATTGGTTGAATGAGTGAATTGTTCAAGTTTGTAATGTCTTGTTCATATCTCTAATTGCTGATTCTTTATAAGATGTTGCACAATAGTAGAATTTGCACAATTAAAAAAGCTTTGAGATGAGCAAATGTGATGGATCTTTAGATTTGCAGAGAGCCTCCAGCTAAGGTATGTAGCTGACGAGATAGAAAAGCTTGGGAAAAACAACATTGATTCAGAGAGTTTCACTTTCGAGGAGCTGTCGGCTGCAACTCAAGAATTCGACCTTAAAACACTGTTAGGTGAAGGCGGCTTTGGCAAGGTGTACAAAGGTCACCTTGAAAACAAAAATATGGTACTTTGTTGCCCTTGACCACTCCCGGCTCTCTATATTTAATCACTAACATATATATATATACATATATCCTGAGTTGTTTTCGTTTGATCCTCTGTGCCAGGATGTTGCAGTGAAGCAGCTTGACCGTAATGGTTTCCAAGGAAATAGAGAATTTTTAGTTGAAGTTTTGATGTTGAGTCTTCTTCATCATCCGAATCTTGTTAATCTAGTAGGATACTGTGCCGAAGGAGAGCAGAGAATGTTAGTGTACCAATACATGTCGAATGGTTCTTTGGAGGATCACCTACTAAGTATGTCATCTCTACAACACAGATTCAAATAATTATCCATTCCTCTTTACTCTGGGATATGCTTTTCTCCATTCGATAAATATGTTATCATTATGAATAAGGCACCTTGTGTAGTACTTATGCTGACTTATTACTTTTTGTGTGTAAAAAAGAGGTGGACTCGGATAAAAAACCACTTGAGTGGGATATAAGGATGAAAATCGCACAGGGGGCAGCAAGAGGGCTAGAATACCTACATGAAGTAGCCAACCCTCCTGTAATTTACCGAGATTTCAAGGCATCCAACATACTCCTTGACGGCGAGTTCAACCCGAGACTTTCTGATTTTGGGCTTGCCAAAATTGGTCCTTTGGGTGGGAGGAGCCATGTCTCCACCAGAGTGATGGGAACCTTCGGCTATTGTGCACCAGAGTATGCGTCCTCCGGCCAGTTAACTACCAAGTCTGATGTATACAGCTTTGGAGTGGTGTTTCTGGAGATGATCACCGGTAGGAGAGTGATCGACACCTCTAAACCAAGTGGAGAGCAGAACCTAATCGAATGGGTATGTATGTATATAGAGTTGTGGTTGTTATGTTAAATTATATAATTCAATACTGTGCTGATAACACATCAAATTATGGTAAATATCACATGATATATGATAGATAGCACATAGGGTATGAACCTATGTTTGTACATAGGGTTGGAGTTAATTGCTTAATTATATAATTCAGCACAGCACTGACAACACATCAAATTATGATAAATATCACATGATATGATAGATAGCACATAAGGTATGTACCTATGTTTGTACATAGGTTTGCAGTTACTTGCTGAATTATATAATTCGGCACAATACTGACAACACATTAAATTATGGTAAATATTGCAAGATATGATAGATAGCACATAGGGTATCCACCTACGTTTGTACATAGGGTTGGAGTTACTTACTGAATTATATAATTCGGCACTTACTCACAACACATCAAATTATGGTAAATATCATATGATATGATAGATCGCACATAGAGTATGTACCTATGTTTGTACATAGGGTTGCATTTACTTGCTGAATTATAATTCAGCATAGTACTGATGGCACATCAAATTACGATTAATAGCACATGATCTGATAGATAACACATTACTTAATTTAATATAAAACAAACGCAGCACATGAACTTACAATACATGGCACTAGTTTATACAACACATACTATCGTTAATTTCAGCATATGATATATGTTCATATAGCAAATATAATTCTATAAATGTCCCTCTTGCGGCAACAGCTAGATGGATGATTTGTTAACTCAGTACGGTATTTACAGGCGCAACCCTTGTTCAAAGACAAGAAGCTGTTCAATTTGATGGCAGATCCGCGGCTGGAGGGGAAGTATCCGGAGAAGGGACTCCACCAAGCGCTTGCCGTTGCAGCAATGTGCCTCCAGGAGGAGGCCGACACTCGTCCTCTCATCAGCGACGTCGTTACTGCCTTAGAATTTTTGACTCCACAAGATGATCAGACACAGGCAAAGAAGGAAGAAGATGATGATAATGATAATGACAAGTAATCCTTTCTCCTCTGCTACTAACTTTTACACCATACTTCAGCAGTTTGCTTGTTTGTCTATCAGTTTCTTCAGCTACAATTGTAAAAATTATTTACTTACATATATATATATAAATGTGTGTGTAACATAGCAGTTTTGGATTCTGACAGTCGAATGTTATCTTTTTCTTGTTGACACTATTTGACTTTTTGAATCAAGGCTATGGAAGCTGTGTTCATATTTATACTTAAGACACTGATTATTCTTTCTACCTATTTTAATATATATAATCTCATATTTAGTAAGGGTGTGTTCGTTTACAATTTTAAAAAGCACCGTATCAAAATACTTTTTAAATAAAAATTCAAATCCATTTCAAAACACAACCAAACAAACTCTAAATGTCAGGGAAATAGTATTTATCTCATTTATAAGAAAGATAGGATAACATAAAAATTAGTATTTTAAAAGGAAATACAACCTATATGTATTCTCCAATATATGTTATTCATTTCGTCCCTCTTTAAATACTATTTTGAAGTTTCATAGTATATTAAAAAATATATTTTCTTTTTTTACATTTATTAAGAATATTTTGGTATTAAATACTCCTTCCGTCTCTAGGGTCACATTTACCAGAGCTGGACGAAGGTAGTATTATTTATTATTATTTTTGTAAAATTACAATTAAAAAAAAATAGTGTTGGAAGAGCATTTTTGTCTGAATCAATTCATTTCTTTATACTTATATAGATATAGATTAAGAGTTCATTCCATTTATTTATTTTGATAACAGAGGAATCCGCAACTGTTGTGCAGGTGACCTACGGCGTCGGGGATTTGAACCCATGACTTCATGGTCACAAGTCCAACCCCTATACCACCAAGCCATTCTTTATGGGACAATTTATTTATTTTTTATAATGTGAAACCGTAACCTCAGACCGAATATAATAGAGATCAAATTAAATAAAAACACACTTTTCCCATGAATCAAGAACATAGACGAATAATTTTTTCTATGCAAGGATGATAGCTCGAATCCTATGCAATTTAATTATTTATATTTTAAGAGCATTTGAACTTACTTGGTATAAATTCAACTAAATTTATGTATATTTGGATATTTTACAAGTTGAAGATTTAAAAAGAAATTTCATAGAAAAATAGGTGTGGCCTGTGGGGAGGCGTTTAGTGCACAACAAACAGGCCATCTTCAGTTTTATCTCCAACAAATATGCAGTTGGTACAGTAATTTTACTTCAATCATAACTCTATTTTTTCCTATTATTCTTCAAATATTTAATTTTTTCTATTATTTTAAACAACTTTTTATTTTTATAATTTTAAATAAATTATTTTAAAATTTAAAAAAATAAAAATTAAATTTAAAAATCAAATTTGTAATTTTAAAAATTTTTAAAAAAATAAAAAAAAACAAATACATCAAAAATGGTGTTGCAAATAGCGTTGGTTGGAGCTGGGTGGCGGCATAAATAAAATTGGAACGGGAGAAAGATTGGAGAAGGCTAAGTGTCTATTGTGTTTTAGGAGTTGTTCAACAGCTTTAGGAGCCATTCGTATGTCTGCAAATAACTTTTCTCACACTCTTTATGTTTATTTTTATTTTTTTCTTTATTTTTATGAATATTAAATAGACTCTTTTCAATAGGGTAGAGATTAATAGTGTGCAAAAATTTTCAAATTTTTATTGTTTATTACTCGTCCCGTCCCATAAATATAGCCTTAATTGGGTTGGATACGAGATTTAAGAAATATTAATATTATATTGGTAGTTGGTAAAAAGTATGAATAAAAGACTTTTTTGCTCTTACAAGTATATTAGTGTAAAAAGTAGAGACAATATCGTAATAAAAATGAAAAAATATAAATAATTTTACAATAATATAGTTATTTATGAAAATAAAAATATTGTTTTAAGACGAACAAAAATCATAAATAAGATTATTGTATCAGAAGGAAGGAAGTATTATCTTGGATTTAAGGTTTATAATTATTGAGTTGAATGAATATTTTGAATTTCATATTTTATTTTATTTAATAGTTAAATGTCAGGGAAATTGCAAAACATATTTTTTATATATACAAAAAAGAACACATTCTACATTTTCATTATTCACATACAGACTAATAATGCTATTTACTTAACTACGATATATTCAATAAATAATACTTTTTTTTATAAATAGTACTTTTTTGTTCCAAATAAAATATTTATATTTTTTATTTTAGTTGTATTTTGTTATGTTTTTATAAAAATATAATTATATATTTTAATCCTATTTTAAATTTTATAATTTATAATTTTTAAATTTTAATTAAATTATTTATTTATTTTAATTTAATTTTTAATTATTTTTATTGATATATATTTATTCACTTATTAATTATATTTTACGTAAATTTTTATATTTAAATAATTTATCCAAAACAAAACGGTTAGAGTCCCAAGGAATAGAGGCCGAGCATAAAATCTTCACTATCACTGTCCCTATGCCAATGCTTCCCATTACAATGATGTGACAGTTTGCTAAAGAAACATTATCTAAAAATTGTAAGTTCTCATTGAAATGTCACTTCTCTTTTTTATGTTTGACGTTCAACATGTATATTGAAGTTGTTCAAAGATAATATGCTATTTTCTCAAAATATAAAATAAAATAAAATGATTAAACAATGTTTTTTTTAATTATTTAAATTTTGATTTTTTCTCCTTGCTCTCTTTTGGATATTACATGATTAATAGTCCCTCTATCCTAAAATTATAATTTGGGTTATATTTGTCACAGAATTCAAGAAACATTGATATTACATTGGCAGTGGGTAAAAAGTACGGGTAAAATACGTTTTTGCCCTTGTGAGTGTATTTAGTGTAAAAAGTAGTGGCAATTTTGTAATAATAAAGAAAAAGTATTGGTAGTTTTATATTGATATGATTATTTATGAAATAAAACTATTTTTTGGGACGGACAAAAATGATAAACATGACTATTGTATTGAGACGGAGGGAATATAATATAATCTCAGCAAAAAATTATATGAAATACTAATCTATACATATTAAATAATTATGCACAATGTAATACTTTCTTCGTCCGCCAAATTTATTCTTATTTTTCTTTTTAATCCATCCACTAAATTTATCTTATTACTAATTTTTGGTAAAATCAACAAATTAACATTTAATTATTACCTTCAATTCAATACTTATTTCCAACAAATACTACTAACTTTATTACATTCTCTCTCTTCTTTACTTTACTTTTTAACTAAATTTCCAAAAATACTCTCAACTACCTATCACTTTTTCAATAAAATATTCATTTTTCTTAATTTTCGTATCAATAAAATATTCATTTTTTTTAATTCCCGTGTTGAGCCCAAATAAACTAATTTTAATGGACGAAGAGAGTATATTTCATACGTTCAAAAACCATATTATTAATAGTTACAACATATGTATAATACAAACAACAGATGGTTAGCATTCATTCATCATACTTTGATGAAATAATCAGAATGTGTAATATATATAAACAACGTGTTCTTATTACACACACCATATATTGTGTGTAATAACTATATGTGTTATTTGTTCATAATTACAAATATTTTATATAAGAATAATTTATATATTAAAATCAACTGTTGTATGTACTGTATAAAATTATACATAGACGTTAATTTATGTATTATATTAACTCATATAATGCATTGTCTAAGGTAATATAATATATTATCTGTTAGCACGTGATGTGTACTATTCAACACGGTAGCCGCCACATTATATAACAATATGCATATTCACATAAACAACGTATTGTTACCATTTAGCCCGCAATCTATCTAAATACAAGTAGCACAATTGTAACATCCTCTCAATATTCATAAATACAAAAGATTTGCACAATTGTCCTGTAAGTAATGGCCTCATGGTGTGACCGTGAGATCATTGGTTTAAACTTTACAAAAATTTATAAATTAGTCTTATATAATCTACTTCATTTGATTCACCACTTTGATATATGTGCACCACACCACAACGCACCTTTTAATAAATATATTATCTTTTTATTATAAAATACGACTCCTCCTGTTTCATAAATATAGTCTTAATTGGATTAGATACGAAATTTAAGAAATATTGATATTATATTGGTAGTTGATAAAAAGTATGGATAAAATACTTTTTTGCTCTTGTGAGTGTATTAGAGTAAAAAATAGTGGTAATTGTGTAATAAAAATGAAAAAGGAAGAGTAATTTTACGGTGATATGATTATTTATGGAAATAAGACTATTATTTTGAAATGAACAAAAAATATAAACAAAACTATTGTATTGAGACGGAGAAAGTATTATATTTAAAATACTATTTAAATTGAAATTGTATAAACCCTAAGGTTCTATCTTCATAATTAATTGTTTGGATAATTACATTATTTTATTTTTAAACGAAATTTTGTGGAGAATATGAATATATATGGGCTATGTTTCTTTACTCAATTTTTTTCAAATTTTATTATTTAGATTCTGCATTTTATGAAGAAAATATATTTTTTAATTTCATAAAACATTCTTTTAAATATTATTTTAATATCAAATTTAAATTATTTTTTAAAAAATTCAACTGAAAAAATATACTTATATATATAATGGAGAAAATAAAAACAAATAATAATAATAATAATAATAAAAGAAAATTCTGTAAATGGTTATGGTCTTTCTTGCAATATAATAATGCAAAGTTAGCTAAAAGTGTCAACCGTCCATTCAATATGCCAGTTTCATTTCACGTGGATCAGTTTCTATCCACACAACAATTTTCTGAGTTAAATTTCAAATATAACATTTTTTTTATTTGAATTTGAAGTTTGAAAATGATAAAATTTTAAAAATTAAGATATATATATATATTTTTGAGATATGAATAAATATTTGATATAATATTTTAGATAAAAGATAGTTTTCTAATACATAAAATAAAAAATAATGATTTAATTTGATAGTTTTAGAATTTTTTTTAATAAAAGATGAGATCCAGATTTTAAGCAAATAGATCCATAAAATCAATATATTATAAATTATTCATGATTATATATATAGTTTTTATTATTCAAATATGAGTACATTTTCTTTTTAATATGTCAATAAAGTAATTCAAAAGGAATATATTTAGTTCAATAAAGTTTTAATTGTTACATACACATAAATAGTTCCTGGCTCAATTATTGTCTTACACATATGCAATGTGTACCTTGCGTGGATGTTTATTATTGGTTGAGAATGACTGCATATATATATATATATGTATGTATGTAAGTTTGAATGAAATTATCCAAAAATTAAAATAATAAAAGAAAACTACCATTTTGCAGATGTGGCCAGCTAAATGAATTTGTGCATGCAGTGTATTATTTTTTTAAAAAAAATGAATGAAATAAAATATTAAAAAGAACAAAGTTATATTTTCTGTATTATATATATATATATATATTACTAAATTTACAAGGAAAATAAAATGATACTATATATATATATCGCATTCTAAGTGTTATATTTCATACTCATTTCTAAATATACTTTTATAAATATAAGTTAAATAGATTATTCATTTCAATAATGTGGATATATTTTTTTGAATGTCCTATTGAAAGAACCTAAAGTTAAACTCTAGAGTAAATTGAGGATGAATGATAAGTGGGACACTTTCCATGCGCGTGAGTGAAGACAAGAGCGAGAATGATTCGCTTTGACATATGGGGTCAATCTACGATCCCGATAGGCTCGGCTTCGCATGGCTTGCGGGCCGAGGTGTCACAGTTGGTATCAGAGCTAACCTACGACAGCCCGCAGTCGTTGACCGAACTGATGACGGGCCTAGCAGTTGATGATTGCATTCTAAAGTGGGAGAGAATTAATACCCTGGAATTGGGCCGATGCTAAGCCAACTCCCGTGTATGAATCAGTGTCCGGCCATTTGAGGTTGAATACAGCTTAAATGAATTGAATAGGCTACTCACATAAAAAAAAAAAATAAAAATGTGCACATTCTTTTTCGAAAATTCTACTGAAAATTTTTTAGAGTTATGCACTAGAGTAATAATTCGCGTGAGTGAATACATAAGCGCCCTGGAAGGATTCGTGTTGACCTGTGGGGCCAATCGACGATCCCGACATGCTCGACTTCGCATGGCTTGCGGGCTGAGATTTACATTAAATTAAATTAAATAATTTATTTATTAAAAAAGTTATATTATATTAAACCAATTAATTAATATTGTCTGTGTTGTTAACTATATTAGTAATAATTCGCGTGAGCGAGGACAGAAACGTCAAGGACTCGTGTTGATCTGTGGAGCTAGTTTACAATCCCGACATGCTCGACGTCGCATAGCTTGCGGCCCGAGGTGTCACAACTTTACATTAAATAAATTAAATAATTAATTTATTAAAAAAATTATATTATATTAAACCAATTAATTAATATTGTATGTGTTATTAATTATATAGTAATAATTCGCATGAGTGAGGAGATAAGCATTTTGGAAGGACTCGTGTTGACACGTGAGACTAGTTTACGATCCCAATATGCTCGACTTCGCATGATTTGCGGGTCGAGATGTCACAACTTTACATATTAAATTAAATAATTAATTTATTAAAAAATTATATTATATTAAACCAATTAATCAATATTATTTGCGTTGTTAATTTCTGTTTTGACTGTTTCATAAATGTAGCTATTTTATTTGTTTCAATTTTTATGCAATTTGTTTCATTCACTTTTCATTTATCATTGTCTTTTATTTTTCCTTTTTTTTTTTTTATAATTTATTGAAATATTTCTAAGAATAATTCTTATATATTGTTTAAATATTTTCAAAGAACAATTTTTTTTTTTTTATAAAAAAATTACCGATCAATGATATTTGAAATTTTAAATATGTTTAGATATTTGTTTTCAAATATTTATTATTTGAATTTTACGATTTAACTATTTTATTATATTAATTATCAAAAATTATATTTTAATATTGTTAAAAAATTTGTGGGTTGATTGCCACACACTGATGAATTAGATTGAGTTGTCTAAATGATAACATGTTTCGCCGAGAATTGACTTGCAAACATTTTGCTTATTTGCGAGTTATAATAAATTATAAGCTAATTCACTCACGACCCGTTTTGCCAACGGGATCCTCTCTCCATATCCCTCTCTTTCTCTATATATTCATACCCGATAGGATTATCATGTTGGGTTGAGATCTCAACCAGCACAATTAAAACATAATATATGTTTTTATTTTACATATACATATAAAAATTAAATCATGTTAATGTCTATTAGTATATTTTTTATTTTTTATTTTTTGATATTAAGTTCGGTCGAGGGTTTATCCAATGTGCACTTTTGGGTAGCGGCTGCGAGTTTCCAAGTTATAAAAAAAAATAAAAAATATATATATTTTTTCATTTAAAAGAGAGTATCACCAATGAAAAGAGATGCATCATTTAGATATTATTCTTATTTTCTATTGACTTGTATTATGTCATATTAAGTGTTGTTAAAACACATCTTACAATAGATCAAAAATTTTGTAATTTTTAAGTATGATATGATCGTTTTGGTCATCTTGACAATATAATAATAAGACAAATAATATTAGATTTAAATGAATTAACTTGTATTGTTTGTACACAAAAAAAAAAAAAAAAAAAAAAAAAAAAAATCATAACCAAACAATTATAAACTAAATAAATATTAGATCACCTAATATTTTAGAAAAAATACAATAAGACATACTTGAAATAATAGGCTCACCGTATGGAATTATTCAAATAATTTATAGTGCTTATAATTTATCAACCAAATGGGCCAATGTGGATTATATGATTATTTATTATTAATATATATTTATCATATAAAAAAATTTAGAGAAACACTTGATCAACACTTAAACTATAGATTTTCAACACATTATTTGAATTAATATTGTGTGTTGTTAAATTGTTAGTATGTATTATTTGTTCTATTGTATATGTGTATTGTATTACCATACTTTGTATTGAAATCAATTATTGTATATATTGTGTGAAATTATATATTATCAATTCATGTGTTATATTTATATAATTAATATATGTCTTGTACCGTCGGTTTATATCTTATGTGCTGTTATATTATATTTCATGTATTATCAGCATAATTATAATTGTATAAAAATTGTCAAAATATTTTATTTATAGTATACATTATCATTATATTTTGCTTGAAATAATTATATCTCCTAAAGATGAAATCTATTTAAAAAAAAAAAAAAAAATCATCCCAAATGACTCAATGACAACAAACATTAACTTATGTGGATCAAAATCTCTCCCACGGTTTGTTATAACAAGAATCTTTTTCCTGTCACGTACAGGACCGGCTGGTGGTGCGGGGTTAGATGTATGACCCTAAGTCTCACTACATTTTTGGATAGCGCGTTTCTTAATACCAAAATTTCCCATTATATATTATTTTTAATACTAAAATCAACCTAAATTTTTTCCAAATTTATCAAAAGAAACATTCCCTAAATTTTATCAAATACAAAAAAATGTAAATAAAATTAGATTGGAAAAAAAAATAAACTCATTATTTTGAGATAGAAATAGTATAATTAATTTGTTTAATATTTTTATTTTATTGTTTTATTATTACTACTATCACTATTATTATTGTCGTCAAAAAAATATATATGCAAAAATAATAATAATAATAACAAAAGGACAATCCGGACAAAAATCTAATTATCCGAAATAAAAAAAAAGTAGATTGGGCACCGTATGGGTATAGTATATGAGTCAGTGTACTGTTGGGTAGATAAGAGTAGTGTAGTATTATAGTACAGTGATATATACATACATTTATACATACATACATACATCCTGGAAAAAAAAAAGAGTAGAAATATTTCGGGAAGAAACAACAACAAAAGGCGATTTGGAATGGCGGCTTTCGACTCCACCCTCAACGTGAACGACCTCCCCAACGTTATCCTCTCCACCATAATCGCCGCCGTCTCCGACGTCCGCAGCCGCAACTGCGCCTCCCTCGTCTGCAAGGATTGGTGCCAATTGGAGCGCTCCACTCGCTCCTCCCTCACCCTCCGAGGCAACCTCCGCGACCTCTACCTGGTCCCCACCCGCTTCTCATCCATATCCCACCTCGACCTCTCCCTCCTCTCCCCCTGGGGCCACCCCCTCACCGCCGTCTCCGACCCCGCCATAACCGCCCACCTCCTCCGCCGCGCCTTCCCCTCCCTCGCCTCCCTCACCCTCTACGCGCGGAATCCATCCACGATTCACCTCGTCGCTCCTCTCTGGCCTTTCCTCGAACACGTCAAGCTCGTGCGATGGCACCAGAGGCCTCAGTTAACCGCCGCCGGAGATGAGCTGCGGATACTGTTTTCCGAGTGCGGCAGACTCAAATCGCTCGATCTCTCCGCTTTCTACTGCTGGACTGATGATGTGCCGCCGGCTTTGGAATCGTACCCTTCGATTGCCTCCAATCTCACCAATCTCAACCTCCTCAACCCCTCCTTCTCCGAGGGTTTCAAATCCGACGAGATTAAGATCATCACCAAAGCCTGCCCCAATCTGACTGAGTTTCGAGCTTCTTGTATGTTCGATCCGCGGTATATTGGGTACGTTGGAGACGAAGCTTTGATTTCTCTCTCAGTAAACTGCCCCAAATTAAGGATCCTTCATCTGGCTGAAACATCCGCTTTATCCAACGCTCGAGGCGATCCGGAGGACGACGGATACACGCAGGAAGATGCTAGTATTAATGTGGCCACTTTGATTGAGGTGTTTTCGGGGCTTCCTCTGCTGGAGAGCTTGACATTAGATGTTTGCAACAATGTCAGAGATAGTGGCCCAGCGCTTGAGGTGCTCAATTCCAAGTGCCCCAAGCTGAGATCTCTAAAATTAGGGCAGTTCCATGGAATTTCAGTGCCTGTTGAATCGAGGCTGGATGGAGTGGCTTTGTGTCAAAGGCTCGAATCCTTATCGATCAGGGGCGTGGGTGATCTGACGGATATAGGGTTAATTGCAATTGCTAGAGGTTGCTGTAGATTGTCCAAGTTTGAGATTCATGGCTGCAAGAGGATATCGATGAGGGGGATGAGGACATTCGCTTGTTTGCTCAGAAGAACAATGGTTGATGTGAGGATCTCTTGCTGTGAGGGTCTTGATGCAGTGGCTTCACTCAAGGCATTGGAGCCGATACAGGATCGGATCGAAAGGCTTCATATTGATTGCATTTGGGATTCTAATGTTGAGGATCTTGATGGGATAACATATGGTCTTGACCTAAACCAGGCTGATTATGGAGACTCAAGTAATCCTCCAAGAAAGAAGTGCAAATACTCCTATGATCTGAACTCCTTGTATCCGGGAGAGGAGGATATTCATGGCAATGGCTTTGAAAACGGCAATGGATTTGGGGAGAGGACATGGGACAGGCTCAAGTGTCTCTCTCTATGGATTCCAGTTGGGCAGCTGCTAACTCCTTTAACATCTGCAGGGCTGGAGAACTGTCCAGATTTGGAGGAGATTAAGATCAAGATCGAGGGGGATTGTCGGGAACTTTCAAAGCCCTCAAAGCGTGAATTCGGATTGAGCACTCTGCTGAACTATCCTCAGGTGACGAAGATGCATTTGGACTGTGGAGATGTTATTGGCTATGCACACACTGCCCCTTCGGGTCAGATGGACTTAAGCCTCTGGGAAAGGTTCTATCTTTACGGGATTGGCAATTTGAACCTCACAGAGCTCGACTACTGGCCCCCGCAGGATAGAGATGTTAACCAGAGGAGTCTATCCCTTCCGGCAGCTGGATTGCTGCAAGAGTGTTCGAGACTGACGAAACTCTTCATCCATGGGACGGCGCACGAGCATTTCATGATGTTTCTGCTGAGAATTCCTCGGCTACGTGATGTCCAGCTGAGGGAAGATTATTACCCTGCTCCGGAGAATGATATGAGTACTGAGATGAGGGCCGATTCTTGTAGCCGGTTCGAAGCTGCTCTCAATCGCCGCCTTATTTTGGAATGAAAAGTATAACATATCCTGCGGAACATAACAAGCTTGCTTGCAACTGCAAGACAATGGTGCGCATTGTGTCGTATCATATCATATAGTCGTGTTGGGAGTTTTTGTGGTCTTACTTCACGAGTATTAATGGTGTTGTGTATATATGCATTTGTGCTGCTGTATTTGTTCTTGATCATAAGATTGATTTTCCTGGATAATTCAATTTGGACTTATTTTTATGGAGATTTGATGAACAATGTGTGTAGTTTGGTGTTAGTGGAGGTAAACTGTTGTTACCAAATTAACTCAATTAAATCCAAAATCCTGCTGCTTCTTGTTTGGTCTGGTATTGATTTGGGTAGTGAAAGTGAAAGTGAAACAGTGTCTAAGTTGGTTCTAACTTTTGTAATCTGTCTTGTCTTGTCTTGTGTTGTTTGTGCATAAGATTTAGGGCCAATTACTTCTTTCTCCTTAACACCTTTGAACTTACAAGTGGAGGTGATCTTATTTTGGATTAGATGAAGGAAGATTTTGAGAGAGACAGCACAGGACATTTGAACATTCAAAGTCCAAAAATGTTGTCCAGAACAATAACAATTTACATCATCACTCCACAGACAGACAAGACACATTGACAGATAGATAGATATACACAGTCGACGATAACTGTGTCTTGAAATAGTTTGGGACTATTCTATCTTTTCTTTTTTAAAAAAATATTATATGAAAGAATTAAAATTTTATTTTATATATTACATTAAAATTTATTTATATCATACAAAAAGTAATTTTAATTTTAATTTTTTTTTATTATTCTAAACCGTACAAACCAATTTCAAACACGTGCTAACTTGGGGCATGGCTGAGGCTAGTAGTAGTAGCAGCAAATGAAGCTTGGTGGCTTTGCATATATGTATAGGCAAAATAATTAATGGGAAAATTAATGGCTACCAACCTAACCTAACCTGCCTAATAATTTATAACTTAATCTTTATTTAAAGTAACACGTGATGGTCATTCAATCTATTTCTAGATAAAATTATCTTTAAAGACATACAATCACAATTATTTCTAGATAAAATCATTTTTAAATCATTTCTATATAAAATTAATGGTCAAATAAATTTTTAATGATACAAAACAATTATTTATATTCTGTCTTTAAATGAAAAAAAATAATAAATAAATAATTTTTTAATATGATTTGATATTACAATTAAAAGAGGTTAAAATGTGCAAATAAATTATACAATAATAAAAAACTTGAAAATAAAAAAATGTTCACAAAACTCGTGACCCTCTAAAATATAATGAGAGTAATTCAACCATTTGAGTTACAATTACTTCACAAAATCTATTTCTTGTTAGTGCATTATTTAACACAAACAAAGATATCACAATTTGTAAGAGAATATCTTTAATACTATATGGCAAACAAACTAGATACTAGTATGCAAAAAATTAGTCATTGTATCGATTGTTTGTTATAAAAAGGTAATATAAGAAGACAAAATGAATAGTACAATGATGATTTGTTAACGACATTAGGAATATTTGTTGCTGATTGTAGTAAATCCCACATATATATGAACACGCATGGCGTGAGTTGAAATATAAATCAAAATGACATATCAGTTATTTTGCTAATAACATTGTTGGTAGAGCATTTCATGATAATAATAATTGTTCAAAGAAAAACAAAATCAATGAAGTTGGTGAATATTTATCAGGTTCAAATCCTCCAGCACAATATTTGTATGATATTGTCAACTCTTGATTAAACCCCTACAAAATTATTTTTCAACTTCCTCTAAAAGAGCTCGTACTAGTGAACTTCATGTTAAACTTATGATGTGTATTCTTCTTCTAATCATACACCCTTGTCTATACATAACTATTCAATAAATTACAGTCTAATTGAAAATTTTAAACTATGTTCAGACAATCTGTTTTACAGGTTTTTGGCATTGTTATAACAGTGTTCCGTGAGAAGGCATATAAATACTTTACATTCCCTAACCATTAGGCATAATCTGCTCTGTAGATAAACTTACAAAGTCAAAGATATATACCACACTCCCTAATGTAATAGATTTAACAAGAAATAACAAATGCAAGAAATCTAGGATCTTCTGAAACAAAAGTAGCCCAAGTAAATGTAATTTATGTCATAGTTAAGGATGTCGGAAATTAATTAGAAGGGATGGGCAGTACTCATGAGGCACAAAACTCGCATACAAATACAACGGCGGCATCGAATCTGAGGCACCAACCATAAGAATGTAAAGGCTGCTACTTAGTAGAGTGAGGTTAATATAATCGTATGTAATTCCTCAATTATATACAATGCTAAATCTCCAGGTCTATATATTAATTGTACTAGCATCAAGAATAACTATCTCATCGGGTCACCACAAACTAAAAGCACAAACAACTTACTTCCCCACAACATCATCAGCGCAAACATGGCCTCAAATCAAAAAATTTATTCTTACGGTTTTGGAACACGACCCTTGTATTGTCCTCTCCTGATCACAAAGTCATCCGGTGGCTGAAACTCTTCCAACCAAGCAACTTCGGATATTGTCTCTCCGTCCACCTCGATAGTACCTTGGTTGAATACAAAGATGGGACATGAAGGTGATCAGTCTTTTATTTTCAAAAGCAATAGTTAAAAGTAAATTGTTTTTTTTATTGCAACAAGCTCTTTTACCAGGTAGATCTGCAGGGGATTTTCTAAAATAAGTGCAATGGCGACCATCCTCTGAAGAGTAAGGTGGAGAAAGGATGTCAAAGATGGCACATGGAGTGATAGCCTTAAAACAATGGATGTTGCCCCCAGTTGTTGGATAAAGAATTGTGGTATCGCATGGGGCTGACACATCACAATCTTTGACTACCTTTGCAGGCCTTGCTCCTGAAAGTAATCAAAGCAATTTTACGATTTTTGATATTTCTGAGTGTAATTACTCATGCAAATCAGTACAATATGTATGCACATAACTGTAAGCATCAAAGATCATAGAATGCATAAAGGATGAGGGAAAAATAACTTGTAAACAAATAGGGAAAGTGGGGGTGGGGTGGAAGAAGTTTAGAGATGAGAGAGAAACAAAAATACTTAACATTGTACCCCACCTTGATCATAGAATCTAAAAAAAATAAAAATAAAAAAACATTGGTAAAAACTAAAAGCTGGAAATCACAACAAAACACAAATGGAGAATCAGCATCAAATGCAGAATGAAGCTGAAGACATGTGCCTAAACGAGTCAACCTTGAGGTGGATCGGAAGGCCCGGGAATGTTGATCCAATCATATGATTTTACATGCATCGAACCATAGAGAAGCTTACTCAGAACTGTCATCCCCGGATGATTATGAAGAGGAATGACAGAGGATGGTGGCATGCAAAATATTCCTATCTGCCAAAAACAGAAGTTTTATTTCAAAAACACATTTGCCATGTCATAAAACGCATAGACCTCATCACTCTCAACATGCCACAGGAAATGGAAATGGAAAAAAACAATTGAGCAAATGAAAGATTGGTTAAGAAAAAATTCTTGGGAAACTTACGGAAAAACTATCACACTCATGCACATGCAAGTATTTAATTGTGGGGAGTGATGTAGGACTCCCATTGCGTCCACTCAAGGAACCTTTCCAGTTCCGGGCCACTTGTGCTTCTTGGTCAAGACCTACATCAGAAGGCTTGATTTTATCTGATGACAAAAGAAGAAAGTGTTATATACTCTGAAAGAAAGGTTCCAATGCAAACTAAATTCATTTAATAAACCAGTAAATCATTTACATAATACATAGGGGAAAGTTGAACAAAAGATTCAAAGGAAAATTGGGCATCAATCTTGAACAAAGATTCATGGTAGTTACTAGAAGAAAGTACAGATTCAGCCAATGAAATTTGCAACTTGCCAAAATATTTCAGTAACACAATTCTCTAATAATGCCTGAAGGTCATGTAATGTGTTCCAGTATAAACTGATTTTCTTTGAAACTCCAGGACTAAATTATTAAAAGAACGGTATATAGCATAATACCATCCATATTATACGGAAAAAAAATGTAAAATAGTGTCTCAATTCTATAGCATGATATCCTTGTGTAACATCAACTATTGCATGAAAGAGCTATTCTATTATTTAAAGGGTATTTCATGCAACATTTCAATAACACAGGGCAGTATTACACTATAAAAAGAGTGGAGTGTTTTACAGATATAAGACGAAGGATTTTGTTGCTATATACTGTGTGTTTGTTTGGGGGTTTGGATTTTGACTTGGGATTTGAATAGTAAAAAACTTGAATTTGAATAGTTGTATGATATGATATAAATAGGTGTTGATATGATGTTTTGAATGTAAAATTGATTTTTAGTATAATATAAGAAATAAAAGAATAGTTGTTTGATTTGATATTTTTTGGAGAAAAAAATTTGATGAATAGTGGAAGTTTGGGAAAATCTCCCAAACAAACACACGAAAATAAAATAAAATAAAACTAAAAAAAAAACTATTTTCTTTAATATTGCTCTACTCTCACTTGCATATTAACATAGACAGACATAATTATACAACCCAATCGTATATGAACCAGTAGAGAATATATATATAGCAGGACTATAGAAATCTAAACAGAGTTTCTACAAGGAAAATGTAATGATATACTATTGCAGGGTGAAACAACTCTCAAAGAATATCTTTCCTTCAAGTGCATTGACTCCACACAATTTACAGTTGGAACCTATAAAGATATTCATCCCATAAAATGTTTAAAAGACAAAGCACAGTTTAATTCTTCAAGCCATTTCTGGTTCTGAACTACAGGTGATTTGATTACTTTACTTCTGCCAGTCAATGGGATATTATAGAACCCATCTAATTCATCCAATTCAAAATCCTAGAGGGTAGCCAATTCAATTAGAAGCACATTCCCACAATATAAATTCCCAACAGAGAAAATTGTCTAAATTCTTCAAACCACTTTTGGTCTGAAATACTGATGATTTGAGTACTTTCCTGATTTCATTTACTAGGGTTCTACAATTGGATTTGGAAGATCCATGTAATTTATCAAGACTAAGATATATATATATATATATATATATAAATGGCTAACTTCAGGATTCTGAATTCAATGATCAGTTCATCAAATGAATAAGGATCATAAAAATAATGATCAGTTTTCAGCCTTCACTACCTGACAATCTTAGCTCGTCCAACTACACAATAGATAAATTTTTATAGCACCTCGATAGAATTGCCACCAATTTCAAGTAATAATAATGGTTCACTTAGTTTCTGTAAACTATGTCAGTACATTCAGTTTCACATACAGAGAAAATAAGTATTTCCTTCTTTTGTGCATACTCATGTATCCAATAAAAATGTGATCCAAGTATATGCATACTAAGTATTCAAGAAAATTATTATTTACAAATATGCAAGTATCCAAGAAAATGTACATGAGCAAAGGAAGATGGAGGCAGCTGCCACGGTGCATGCTATGGCATTAACAAAATACAACACATAAATGTTATAAGTGATATATACCTTAACTAGGTAATAACTAACCTAGAAAGGGGACATACACACAGTTTACCATGGTATTGAAAGACTAATAAATGCGTACTTTTGTTGTTCGAACACTATCAAAATAAAAAAAGTTGGATTCCAACCAGTGTGTCAAGGCACTAAGGGAGCTCTTCAGTAAAGGCTTTGCTCATAAGACACACATCAGGGAAGAGGTAAAACTAAAGCTCAAGCTTCTTGAGGATTCGTGCAAACACCGTACAGATCCCGGGCATCAAAGAGTGTTGTGTTTTTTATCCTGTTTTCGCACTAAGCAATATATTGTAAAACATTTCCATCTCAAATACATCATTTCCAAAATTTCAAGTTCAATACCAAATTTTGCATTTAAAACTATCATATTCAAAACTTATTTTTCATTAAAAGTCATTCAAATCCAGAACACCCAAAACATTAAAAACACAAACAAACACACTAGAGCAACCATAATCCAAACCGCAAAATAATAACAATAAAAAATTATGTGTACACCAAGGATTTCCTCCTTACCTAATAGATTGCGAACTTTTTCTAGACCTTCATCGGAAATTGGTCCATTAGGCGTCAGCGAAGCTTTGCAAGCATTATAAAGCTTCTGTACAGCTGGCATCGTAGGGCTAACTCAACCGACTGAACTATGAGGAAATGTAAAAGGAAAGGGCAAGATTTCCGAAATCGAATCAAGGGTCCTCTGCTTGCGAAGACCCTTTTATGTTTGTAATCACTGTCAAAACGAACGCAACTATCAGCAAATCCCAATCGGCAATGGGATATTTATCACATCATCAAACCTGTGTACCTACATGGACACTGTACACAATTATAATTATCACCACTAGCACTTATTAAAATACGAAAACGTTTTAATTGATTTTGATATCAAACCAAGAAACAGTAAAATCGGCTTAATTAGAAGAGCTTCAACAAACTAAACAGGTCAAAAAAAATCTAAACAATCATTCCGGTAACGTCCATGAAGAGAGTGAGAGAAAGAGGGATTAACTTGATTGATCAATAATTGAAAACAAACAAAAACTAACCGAAACCAAAATCGAAATAACAAGGGAAAACGAAGACCCTGATTTCGATGAATCATTAAGAAAAACCCCAGATAAAATCCACCAACAAAAGCATCACAGTATCACACCCAAACTAACAAATAAGAGGGAACCGATGATTATATTATGCAGAGAGAATCTCACACTTAAGGCGAAATCACATAGCCGCCAAAATATGAAGGAGGATCGATCGGTGGAGTGCAGAGACGGCAGCGAGCTGGTTTCGGCTTCTTGGAGAGGCTTGGCGAGGGGAGGCAAGGCGCTGAGAATAAGCGAAGGTGCAAAGAGTTTTTGGGGGTCCGGCGAAGGTCCGAAGCTAATTTTGCTTTCACCTTATTTGATTCTGTTGACTACTTTCATTACTGCCCCTATTTTCGCATCTTATTTACCGTATTGCCATTCATCTCTTTCATTCGTTTTTTTCTGATCCGTGACTGTGTAAATAAAAATACAATCAATGATGGCGGTACACAAATTTTAATAAAATAAATTAATTTATGCATTTATTAATTTATTTATTTTTAAGACTGGTTTGTTTATTTTGATGAGTTTTGAAAAAAATTTGTTTGAGTTTAGTATGAAAATAAAGTTTGATGGAATATTTTTGTTTCGAAAAATACAAAAATCCATAAAATTTGAGGAAACTTGGCTAAAAAAAATACCCTAAATTACGACTGGAATGGTGTAAATCACGAATGTTAAATTAAAATTTCGATGGGAATAGAACAAGTAAATATTCACAAAATTTCAAAATTAATTGTAAACATACAAATGGGATGTAGCGATAACTACTTTTGATTAGCACATGATAAAATATATATATATATATAATTGTGATTTCGATTACGCAAGGTTCGCCTAGTGTAATTTATCTGTCGGACCTAGTTCGTAGGATATTAGTTTCGACTGAGGGTTTACCTAGTACGCACTCTCGAGTAACGAATGTTGATTCTAACGTAAAAAAAAATAAAAAAATAAAAAAAAAAATCAAACACACATATTTTAATTAATACAAATAGTGTATTGCCTATCTAATTGAATATAAAATAAATTTAAAAAATAATATTTTAATATTAAAATAAAATAAGTAAAACACCCCGGTAAACAGAAATGAACCATTTAAATGGAAAATGCTTAAATAGTAAGAATATTTAAATAGTAAGACTATGTATCATTTATTTATTTATTTATTTATTATGAATTAAACTAAATGGAACGTTTTAGCTTTAATTAATGCCATGTTACAAATAGATTTGAAGTTCCATTTCAAAATCAATTGATTATAAAAAAAAATTGCCATCAAACTTTATAAATAATGAAAAGCTCTCAAGAACAATTCTTAACACTATCCTCTGGATGATATTCATCTTGAAACTCTAAGCAAGATCAATATTATACCAAATACGGCATTTATGACTCTAAAATATTTTTTATATATATTTTTTTATCATCCATCAAACTACTAAACTAATGTGAAGTTCACAAAATTGGTTTATGCTATCAATTTTTATTTTTTGCATGATTTTTTCTTACTCCTTCTATCATTTATTTTTTATGGTAAAAAAATAAAAATAAAAAATGTGATATTCTTTATTAAAAAAAATTGAATAACACTAAAAATAAATTTGAATAAGAAAAGAAAATGAAAAGTATTTTTTATTTTTTTTTGGAGAAATAAAGCAACAAGAATTTGTCATATACAAAGAAAAAAATACATACAAGTGTCCAAAAACATTTACTAAATAAAAATAGAAATTATAATATCCGACAAATCAATTATAAAAATTTTAAGGATCAGCATGTATAACAACATTTAACATAGATAGTATTTCATATGTCAAGTACTATACGCGGTAGAATTTTTAAATTATAATAGAATCAATAAAGAAATAGAATCGAAAGCATATGAAAAGGAGAGAGGAAGAAAAACAAGAATGAGAGAAATATGCAGAAGATCTAAGGTAAGAAGTGAAGTATAAATGTAAATTAAAAAAGCTATGGATTAGCGGTAGGAAACAATGAAAATTCAACTTGTAAATATATTAAAATTGTATTAATAAAAAATATATCATTTACTTTTATTTTGTACGACATATATAATACATAGGTTTTGGACTATTTGTTACAAAAGTACTTTTTCTTATTTTAGCATATGTTACACTGACCTTTTAAGGTGTCAGAATTCGAGGACGACACAAAAATGAAATGCTGCAGAATGCTGCTGAAGACCATCTGCATAGTCTGTATTTGTCTCTTTTGCACAGGTTTTGTTTGAATATGGATTGTCAAACATTAGAGAACATTCAGGATAAAACAAAATAGTGTGGTAGGTTTGTAGAATGCTGCTGACTACTGTTGAAGACCATCTGTAAGATCTGTATTTGTCTCTTTTGCTCAAGTTTTGTTTGAATATGGATTGTCAAATGTTGGAGAACGTTGAGAATAAAACAAAACATTGTGGTAGGTTTGTGGAATGCTGCAACAGACTGCTGCTGAAGACCATCTGCATGGTCTGTATTTGTCTCTTTTCAACATATTTTGTTTGAACATAGATTGTCAAATGTTGGAGAACGTTGAGAATAAAACAAAACAGTGTGGTAGGTTTGTGGTGACGAATTTAATACTCCAATATTGAGACAGTTAAATGAGAACAATAGTGAGAAATTGAGTTTGAATCTAGTGAGAAAAAATGCGAGTTTTTCCTCCATCTTTTCGTTTCATTTAGGGGTGTCTAAATTAAACTTGACCCGAAAAATCGAACTCATTCGACTTGAAATTTTTCAGGTTCGAATTTGGGTATTTTGGGTTTGTGAAAATCGGGTCGATCCAAACTTGAAACAAAAAAAATTCGTGCCATTTTTTGGTCGAATTTTGGGTTTACCTGATAACCCGAAATATAAAAATTAGGTCAAGTTTCGAGTTTCGTGTTTTTGGTTAACTTGAAATTATTTATTATTATTACTTTAATTTATAATATTTATATTAATTTTAATATAAATAATATAAAAACTAAAATAAAAAAAAAAAATTTTTAGGTTAATTTAATTTGTTTTAAGTTTTCGAGTTTGTTACGTGTCGGGTTTGTTCGGGTTTCAGGTGACATGAACTAAATCAGGTCAACCTGAACCCGACCTGAAAGAATTTTTGTCGTGTTCGGGTCTAAGATTTCGGGTCAAATTTTGGGTTTGGATCGGGTTCGGGTTGACAGTTTTGTATTACCCCCACGGCTCAAACCGACACGAACACGACCCGAAAACACAAATTGACACCCCTAGTTTCACTACTCCTTAATTTGAAGAAGAATTTGAACTTTCATGGCGATTTAAAGCTTATCTGAAGAAGAAAGAAATATATTTTCAATAGAAAAAAAAAAAAGATCAAGACCGATAGTATGCTGGATTAGAACTAAGGTTTAATGCTTATTTTTTTTGTATATTGATATATAAAGAAGACAGTAGAAGATGATAGTTTGGGTCTTTATTTGTTGAGTCATTGGGTCTTTTGCATACTTAGTGATAAGTTTAGTGTACGTCTCTTGAATTGGAATCCCTGTAAATAGTTACATCGACTGAATTACCAAATCTTGTATATATTTGTTATTTGTTTGATCTTTGCCACAAGAATCTGTGACACACACAACAATTATAACTATGGAACAATACCACGTGTTTCTAAAGTGCAAACCCTGTGATTTCCTATTTTCACTTTCATTAAGACTTGGAGGAGCTCTGGCCTCTTTTTTATACCTGTCTAGCCTACGCGATCTTCCCAACACTATTGAAATTGTTTCACGGAGGTATTTGGTTTTTTTTTTTTCAAATAAAAATATTACTATTCAATTTGTATGATACTAATAAAAATATATTATTATTTTTAAAAATATTATATCAAAAATAGTTTTAAAATTAAAAGCCAAATAAAAAACCCAAACTCAAGTAAAAACTAAGGGTTTGTTCGATTAAAGATATTTACCAAAATCTTATTATTCATTCAAAATTTTTTCCCAAAAATATCAAATCAAACACATATTTTTTATTTTTTATATTATACTAAAAATCAATTTTACATTCAAAACATCACATCAACACCTATTTATATAGCATCATACAACTATTCAAATTCAAAATTTTTACTATTCAAATCCCAACTCAAAATCCAAACCCCCAAACAAACACACCCTAAATAAACTCTTAAACTAACTTCGTGTTTGTTTGGGGATTAGATTTAAAATCTACTATTCATCCCATTTTTTTACTCCAAAAAACATAAAATCAAACAACTATTTTTCATTTTTTTTATTAAATTAAAAATTAATTTACATTCAAAACATCACATCATACAACTATTAAAATTCAAAATTTTTACTATTCAAATCTCAACTCAAAATCCAAATCCCAAACAAACACACCAATAAACTCTTGAATTTCTACTGGCTATAGCATACCATAGAAATAATATCATATATATCAACCATCGACATCATTTTATTATATTTTTTAAAAAAATTTAAATCACAAAAATATAATTAAGGCATGTTGTATTTTGCCACGAATACAAAATATATTCAAATCACAATCAAACAAATCAATAAAATAAGCATAATAATATGATTTGTCTAATTTGTCTGGTCGAACATAATTTACAAATTATTAAGATTAATTGAGGTTTCTTGAAAGTGCACTAGATAAATAAAAAAAGTAAATAAATAAGCATAATAATAAGAATTAAATCTCAACCTAAGGATTGAGAGTTTTGCCCATATACTACACCCCATTCCTTTAATTTAAAAACACTATTCAATTAAAAAAAGAAAAAGAAAAAAAGAAAAAAGGGAAACCATTCAATAATTAGAAAGAAGAAATCTAAATTATTTTCGTATATATCATACTAACATATATGTCAATTGTTGACATCATTTTTGTATATTATCAAAATTATCTCAATCAAATAGTGATATCATATTTTAAAAAATAATATATATATATATATGTTTATGTAAAGTTGTATCTCTTAAATAGAATTTCCATTACCAAATATATCACCATTAATTAATAATAACTTTTCTAAATATATAGATATGTCATTAAATAAATTAAATATACAATATAATTATATTTTAAAATTTTTTAATAGAAATGTAATTAAGGCAAGCCGTATTATATGAATAAAATTTTCAATCCAACCTGTCAAAAAAGTCCCTAAATCTAATAAAGATTATTCATAATTAAAAATATTAAATAAAAATCCAAAATTATTTTCCCCATATATATGTCAACCATTAATATTATCTTAGTATGTTACCAAAAGCAATGCAATCAAATAGAAATATCCTAATTATTATTTTTTTAAAAAAATTCAGAAAGAAATACAATTAGGTAAGCTAGTAGCTTTTAATAGATTTTTCATTACCAAATATTATCATTAATTAATAGTAATAATTTTCACAATTAAAAATGCCATTAAAATATATTTTAATATACAAGTTTGTTTAGTGGTTTGGATTTTGAGTTATAATTTAAATAGTAAAAATTTTGAATTAGAATAGTTGTATAACGTAATATAAATAGTCATTGATGTAATATTTTGAATGTAAAATTTATTTTTAATATAATAAAATAAGAAATAGATACTTAATTTGATTTTTTTAAAAAAATAAAAAATGATGAATAATAAAAATATTGGAAAGTTTGCCAAACAAACACATCCTATACCGAAAATCAAGCATATCATGCTAGGGTGGATAGAGGTTTGATAGTTCATGTGGCATAGCTTTTGTCACAAACTGTTCGTCTTCGTAGAAGTTCTTTACAATGGTATTTATTACAAAGTAAAATCATCATATTCGTTAAATTTGCTATATATTTTTAGCGGACAGCCACTTTTTTGTTGTAGAGTAAATACGGTAATTTTGACGAAAAATATTATTTGTTGTAAAAAAATGAAGTGCAACAAAAATAACTAATAAATATAATTTTATACATAGATGATAAATAAATATCGCTACTAAAGCTATTAAACATTCTTTTTTTCATGATAACATTCAACATTAGCAAATATTAAATGAGAGTGTCCGACATCGGGCATTAGCCGGTCAATGAAATTTTTCCATATATCTCCAAATACGGTGGATCTTCTTTCAAGAAAAATTTCGTATCTCTAATAAGTTATTAGCAGAACAAATTTAGAGCAACCAACAAAAATCTAATTATACAATAACACACGCCAACATAACTGTGAAGGTATATCATAGCTGAACATAATTGCCAACTTTCAAACAAATTTAAATGAAAAAAATATTATTTCGACTTATAAAAAATGATTAAGACAACTCACCAACATACATCATATCATGGTTAATAAAGTACACAAGAAGTCTAGTTTGTCTTGTGTCGAAGAGGGCAACAACACTCCCTCGCCGACAACACCCACAAGTGAAGTGTGATCCAATATCTTTACTCGCATACCAACCTAGGAGGAAGTTGTAACGTTAATATGCATTCGAATTTAAAATATCGTACAACATTAAGGTGAATTTGAAAATTATATTGATCTCATCTCCTGAAATATCATGACTGTTTTTATTTTCTGTGGCTTTTTCTTCCAATACAAATACCTATATTATAGAGTATTTTTTTACACAAAAATTATATATTTAGTTTATTATATACTTAATTCTTATGATATGAAAAAATTTGCATGAAATTCTCATTTGTTCATAATTAATGGAACGTTCAACTCATATATTGGTTGTGCGTGTATTATGAATGAGTACATCCAAGTATTTTAAAAAAATTGTAAATATCTTTATAATGAAAATGAAAAACACTAAGAAAATAAACAATAAGGATAATACATGTTAAAATAATTCAACTTTTAAGTTAAATTGAATTTCTATTGGTTTTTAACGAGTTTAATTTTTTGATACATTTTGATTTTGTTTGTCATATATGATTTGTTTTATGTACTCTTCGGTCATCAAAATTATTTTTATTTGACCGGCACGTGTCTTAATAAAAGTAAATAAAAATAAAAATATTTTTTTAAGTAAAAAAAATATTATTTAGTATTACAAATCTCTCTTTAGGTGATGGAATATCAACAATTATGACAAAAAAAAATAGAAATTCATAACCATCTAAACTAGTCTTATAACTAAATTTTCACTTTAAATTAAACCTCATTAACACAGCTCACAGTCACCCCCTCTTCGTTCCTCCTTGCCTTCATCCAAAAACAGCTTCTAACAAGCAGACATATCATTTATCCTTGACGCTCTTTCTACTTTAATGGAAATGGAGGCCAAAGCCACCCACACCGACCGCATTCTCCTCATTACAATCTTACTTTTCGCTTCTCTAGCCGTTGCCTCGCTGCTGCTAACCTTCGTTTACTACTGTTACTTGAGATACAAGATCTCCAACCGATTCAACCTTCCACACAAAAGTTAGCATTTTTTTCTTTCACTTTACCCACCCCACCCCACCCCACCCCTTTTCATTAAAGTGTTTCTTTTACTGAAAATGTGTGTGTATTTATTATTATTATTATTTTTTCTCATATCTGGCTGCTTTTCTTGATTTTGAGAACGCTGCTGTGTTTTCAATTTCTCTGTTTTCGTTTTTCTCTTTTGGTTTATGAATTTCAGTTTGTTAGAATAACAGTTGGCCAGCGATGGCTCACTAGACTTGGTGTTTTCTATGCTTTTGCTAATCAGTTTTTGGCTATATGGCTATTTCCTGCTGCAAATTTAGGGCTTTGAAATGGGCAGAATTAGGCAAGAAAGATTAGATTATGATGAGGGTTGAGTATTCCATTTGGTAGGATAACAGTATCAAACCCGAACAAAATCTAACCTCCCTTTCATTAATCAGGTGTCTTAATTTCATACAACCATACAAGATTGATTGTTTTATCTAATGTATTTTGTGTGATTTAATTGTCTTAAAAAGGGGTTCACTATGAGGAAAAAGCTAGCAACATCCAATTAGGGAGAGGGATTGATAGAGAGCCTCAGCTCTTTACTTTCAAGCAGTTGCATTTGGCGACTGCCGGATTCAGCAAGTCTAATGTGATCGGGCGCGATGGATTTGGAGTGTGTGTGTATCAAGGGGTGCTGCAGAATGGGAGGAAAGTTGCTGTGAAGCTGATGGATCAAGCAAGAATGCTTGGAGAAGATGAATTCAAAGCAGAGGTTCATACATACTTCTCTCATGATTGATTTTTTACAGTTCTGTTAATATAATTCGAATGTACAGGTTGAATTGTTGGGTCGCCTTTGTTCGCCGTATGTGGTGTCACTAATTGGCTACTGCTCGGAAACTCAACGGCAAGTGTTGGTTTACGAGTTCATGGCCAATGGAGGATTGCAGGAACATTTGTATCCTTTCAATGGTGCGATTACTAATTACTACATGGTTTGTTTTTTTTGAGTTGAAAAGATCGTTGTAATGAGTAAATAGATCGATAGAAATGCATCATTTCATCGAGCACAAACAATGTAATGAATCTTTGGGTTAAGAAGATATGTTTTGTTCGATCAACGGGTTTTGGGTTGTAAACATTCAGGTAGCTCGACAAGTCTAAACTGGGAAACACGGCTGCGGATAGCTTTGGAGGCTGCAAAAGGTTTGGAGTATCTCCACGAATGCGTTTGCTCTCCCACGATTCGCAGAGTTTTCAAAAGCAGCAACATTCTTCTCGACAACAACTTCCACGCCAAAGTTTCTGATTTGGAAGTGGCCATACTTGGGCCCGGCGGGCATGTTTCAACAAGCTCCCAAGGATATGTGGCACCCGAGTAAGAAACAAATACCCGTAAAATGCACTTTTTGTTCTTGTTCTTCATCTTCGACTAACCCCAACGAATGTTTTCCTATAGGTATGCCTTGAGAGGGTACCTGAATTCGAAATCGGAAGTTTACAGCTATGGAGTTGTGTTGCTGGAGCTCCTGACTGGCCGAGTCCCCGTGGATATGAAAAGGCCTGCAGGCGAACGTGTTCTCGTGACCTGGGTAGGCATATATATGTATCGATGATTTTTCATCGAAGATGGGGGGATCATTGATGTAAGATTTGAATGGTACAGGCATTGCCGCAGCTGACGGACAGGGACAAGGTCGGGCAAATAATGGATGAAGCATTAGAGGGGCAGTACACGATGAAGGAGGTGATCCAAGTGGCGGCCATAGCTGCAATGTGCGTGCAGGCCGAGGATCATTACCGGCCATTGATGGCCGATGTCGTGCAGTCTCTGGTGCCTTTGGTGAAGAAGCACCATTACTGCAGAGGAAGTTCAAAGGCAAATGGAATAATAGAATAGAGATAAGATCATAAGAACCATTTTGCAGATTTCTGTCACACACTGGATAACTTCACCTCTGAATCAAGGCTGTGTCTGTATGAATGTATGTTAAATAACTAATTTGTATTTGCTAATTCAAGAACAAAGCAGCAGTAGCAATAATAAAGAACCTTCTAAGCTCAACTCATGTCGATTTTTTTTTCGCTAACTTCATATCTAAATTAGGCACACCTATGGCTAGCTGTACTTACGGATGTCTGTATGTATGATTATGCTGCAATGCACACCAAAATCTACTGCTATTTGCAAAAGAAGAAAAAGATACATCGGCTTCATCCATGGCAGCAGCAGTCGACGAATTCAACCCAAGTGCTAGAAGAAACTGCCTGTTACACGGAACATCAAACTGTGTTAACTAGTTAGTCGTTCAATACTAAACAAATAACAGCAGAATTGCATAGATTCAAACTATGTTTTATTCATTCCTACCAAAATGTTCAGAAAGGAATGTCACAATGGCAGGGTAAATCAATGAACACATAAAAATTTCTTATAAACTCATAATACGAAGAGAGGAGATGTTATTTTCGCTTCACTATAGGTACATTGTAATAGTAACAGGGGTCGGGTAGAGAACATGATATGATGCACTTAAAAGAAGTTAAGCAAATGGATGAAAAAATAGATCGGGAAACTAGAAAATGCAAGTTTTCAAACGATATCCTGCAGATAGATATAATTGCAACAATTGAGAAGAACAAGCATTGTGAAAATTGCCTTATCATTAGTACCTAGAGCTTCTCATATTTGATCTACTTTAAATGAATGCGACAAACCTAACTATAGTCAAACGATTGATTGTAAATAATATCGATTCATTCACAACTTTACGTTTATTAAAAACAAAGAAATTTATTGAAGAAGAGCCAACAGCAACATCAATGTAAGGTAATATCAATATAAGTGACTGAAATAATTAGCAACTAAGGTATCTATCTTAAATGGCAACATGTTTATTAAAGGCACTCGCAAATAAAGGCAAAATCAACGACGTTCTCTTTCTCGCCTCCCATGTTTATTAGGGAGAGTTGATCAACAAAAGGGGACAGTTGATCAATATAACACAGATCTGACTATTTAGATAATATTTGTGGAATCCTAAGGTCAGGACTACAAAACTACGAAGAACTTCGAGGGGGCCGAATGGAGGATATAGAGTAAATTTTGAACCAATATAACATCAACTTCTATTTGACAAATCATACTTCTCCTTGTAAAGCTTTCAGAATTCCAAACTCCTGTAACTAAGACTAATAAGCACGGCTAAAGGGAAACCCCATGAGCTTATATGCATGGTAATCATGAACTTGCAGGAACAATAGAGTAGTAGTATGCATACATAAACTAACACATTTAGATGTGGAGCCGGATTCTGTTGGAAACTTAGCAACTCAATTCCCAAATAGAATCTGCGAAATAATCAAATTTGGTGCTGCTAGTAATGCAGTCATATACGGCAACATTCCCATGCCTTTTTTGCAAACATACAACTAGAAAATATGTAACATAAAAAGTCCATGGTGAAATACATTATTAGATATTGCATCAAAGTGAATATCAGAAACTTTGGATGTATAGAGCTATGCAAAAAGGGGATCAACAGATGATAAAACCAAGAACTAATGTTAAACAAAAAACATTCATGAACAAGTTTTGAAGTTCAAAGAGAAAAAAATACCAACAAGCAACAAATTCAGATTTTAACAAGAAGAAAGAAAGAGACCATGCCGCAGCTTCTTCAGCATACGATTGAAGATCAGAAGTAAAAGGCAATACTACTTCAATTGCAATCGAACATAAGCCAAAAACAGCTTCAAACTGTACCATTAAATATCTCCCAATGCATATGATATAAATGGGAGCCATGAATATCATCAAATGATATCTTGATCTAAGAGATTTGATCAGAAAATCATTCCTTTCAAGAGTTAATAACATCAATCCTTTTTTACACAGAGCACAACAAATAACACAGTTTATCAAAGCATTGGCTGCATCTCTACCGAAACAACAAAAAAGATGGATCAAACTGAAAAGCAAAAGAGGTTGATTCTCTATCACTTACTATCTGCAGAATTGGGCTTAGCACGCTTCAGCTTCTCGAGGCGGACCTGTGATTCCATGAAAACTTTCATCCTCTCAAGCTCCAAATCCTTAGCGAACTGCATTCTTTGTTTCTCCAATTCAACCATTTGTCGTTGCTTTGCGTCTTCCACTTTCTCATAAATTTGTCCTAATCTTAGAATGGCTTCTGCCAGTTGTCTGTAACCATCAGCCAATTTTGCCTGTTCCTCTATCGCCGGAAGTTTCCTTTTTCTTTCCGTCTGAGAAGGCCGGCGGCCGGACCATGCTCCAGAATCCTCATCCTCGTCATCGTCATCGTCATAATTGCCGCAATCATCTTCTTCAGCCTCCATGGCCGCCGCCGCCGCCGCCATTACCGAAAAGTTCCGCTCCGTAACGCTACCGGGGCCGGACCGCTTGGACCGAGGACCCACTGGAACCGACCAGGTAAGTCGCGGGAGAGGATTCGAAGCCGGATCCTTATCGCGGGGATTAGTCGCCGGATAATTTTTCCGGCGGTGAGCGACAGATTCCGGCAGCGGCGATGGAGACGAGGAAAGCTCCGGCGATATGGAAACCCTCCGGCGAAGGTTCTTGGTGTGGCCATCGGCGGCGGCGGCGTTGTTGTTAGGTTTGGAGAAGGAATCGCCGATGAGGGAGTCCAGGCTCTCGAAGTGGGGCCACGTGGAGTCGTACCGGCCGTTGGATTCGATGACCTTGGACTTCTCGATCTTGTACTTCTTCTTCGTGGTGTCGATGCGATTTTTGCACTGAACGTCGGTGCGCCGATGCTTGGCGGAGGCGGCGTGGACGGCGTTGACGGCGTCGGCGACCTCCTGCCAGTGTTTCTGGCGTAGGTTGCCGCGATTGAGTTGAAGGTAGTGAGTCCCCCAGGCATCAATCAGCGTTCGCGTTGCCTCTTCAGACCAGCAGTCTTCGCGACTGGGGAACGCCGGATTCCGGGCGGCCGGCGTCGGAGCCGGCTCCGACGGTTTCGCTGGAGAGGCAGGGGATTGAGGAACCTGTTTGTCGTCATCGGATGGGGGGCGAGGGGATGAGGGAGAAGAAGGGAGTGAAGGGGACGATTGGGAAGACATGTCGGCGGAGGACGGCGGGACGGCGGCGGCGACGATCTGGAAGGGGGAGCGAAGAGGTGTGTGGGTGTGTGGTTTTTAGCTTTTTGAATCTTGGAGGACCGGTTCGATGCTTTACTACTCCGACCCGACCGATCAATAATAATAATATTTTATTATGTTATTTGTGTAAAATAGTAGGAATATATAAATTTTGAATTTATAAATATTGTTCAGCGGTGTTAATATTTAAGAATTGTCAAGGCATATAATAAAAAAATAATTTGTTTTTTATATAAATTATAGTTATCCGTCATTTGTCACATTACTTTTTATTTTAATCTTTTTTATAATTGTTGTCGATAGATTTTTATTATTTTAATAAATTTATGAATATTAAGTATATTTAATACATAAAAATTAATTAAACTATTATTATGTTATATATTGAATCACTCAAATTCTTTTATTTTTATTTTTATTTTTAAATAAAAAGTAAATTTATTTACTTTTAAAAAATTTGTATAAAATTATTTTAGATTAATTATAAATAAATTTTTTTATTTAATTATATTATATATTTTTCTTTTTTTACAAAATATTCATATTATATATTTTTTCTGTCTTAAATATTGGGCACCATGTAGGTTGGTAATTTAAGTAAGTAGTATTAAGTTGAATAATTTGAGATAATTTGAAAATTAAACAATGTGATTTGAGACATATTTATTTTATTTATTTGGATAATATAATTGGAAAAAGTGAAGTGTATATATATAAATATATTTAATAATTTAAAAATATTGTAGTGAATTTGAAAAAACAAAAAAATAAAATATTAGAGAATATTTGAAAATGACATAGTATATTTTATTGAGATATAATATTTATAATATTTAAATATATTTTTTAAAAAAAAATTAATTATATATATATTGATTTTTAGGTAAAATTGCTTATAATGTACCTTTTGCTTGAAAAGTCCGTAGTATACTCCCTCTTATTTAGAAATGGCCCTCTTATTTAGAAATGGCATAAGGTTACCTTTTGGTGTGTTCGTCAAATAATTTAAAGGAATATTTTTTATAAAAAAATTTGTACGTAACATCAAAATAATGAAGATATATAATATATTAATTTGTTCTTAAAAAATATGTGCTAATTTCCACATAATGAACACACTATTTGTGTTTTGTAAAATATATGTTAATTTTCACAAAAATAAAAAATAAAAAAAATACATTATTTGTGTTTTATAAAATATTGTATAAAATCTCCTAAAAATATTGGAAGACTTTCTTATATTTTCTAAAATATTATATAAAATCTTCTAAAAAGATATTTTGTGTAATATTATGTAAACATAACAAAGTCTCGTCAAGGTTTCACAAGATATTTCAAACACCGGATAGCTTAGCGAGCTTAAACGAGCTAAACCGAGTAAAGGTCGCAAACTGTTTGTTTATTTTACAACTTTAGATACCTCTAAATTTACCTGTCATAGATAGTTTATCCAGAGTAACTGTTTATCGAAGTAATTTTTTCTAATTTTTATTTTAAAAATACTAACACCACCACTATTATAATAAATAATATTATAAATATTGGGTCAAGTCGGGGATGGTCTGGTGGTGTAGCCGTTGGACGTGTGACCAAACCCCGACGCTTCAGATCACACCTGCTACACATGGTTTGCCTGGTGTGTCTTGTCTGTCGAGCTTAGTTTGCAGGGTATCACAATTAAAAAATTGTGCTAGAATAATAAAGCGGACTATTATTAATTTATTGGAAGCAATATATTAGGGTGTGTGTTTTGTGATATGATATTTTTTTATGTGAGGTACGAGAACTTGTGTAGGTAATATGTAAATAAAATTTGTGTGTAATATATTATTTTTTGGAATAAATATGTTAAAACATTTTATTAAAAGAATATAGCCTTAATTCTAATCCTATATATATATATATATAAATATGTATAATTCAATCAAAATTTTTTATAGTTATTTAAAAAATATCATATTTTAATATTTTAAAAATAAAAAAAATAATAAATCAATATATATTTTTAATAATCATAATTCTATAAAATTTTCAAAATTTTTTGTAATTTTTTAAAAAATAATTTAATTCAATTTATCATTTGAAAAATATAGAGTATATATCGTTAAAAAATTATACAGTGAAACAATATTAATAATTTAATTTTAATTATTAGATTTTCTAGTTAAAATACTATATATTTATATGTATATATTCTAAGATTTTAAAATGATGAATTAAACGTATTTATAAAATTTTACTAATTTTTTAAAAATAGACTTATATAATTACAATTATTAAAAGTATATATTGATTTATTATTATTGGTATTTTGTAATTGCTTTGTAAAATATTAAAATGTGATAATTACTTATATTTTTAAATAATTATAAAAAAAAATTATTTTAATTGAATCATAAATATATATTAAATAATTTGAACAAAACGTAAAAATAGTCTTAGAATTTAATAATAACATTACATAAAATATAACAATGTTTAGAATTAGACAATAAACATAGTTGCATTTGATTCAATATGGTCTATTCAAACATGACTATATTCAAATATAGCATTGTTAAATGTTTGTAAAATTTAATTAGTTTTTTAAGTCAATAAAACATTACTATTTTCAAGTTAATATGATCATGTTCAGTTTAGGTCGGCTACCATTAAGTTAAAATTGATTCATTTTATAGTTTGAATATGACCAAATTCAGCGGCGGAACTAGAATATATTTTGAGAAGAACAATTATTTTTTAAATTTTAAAAATAATTTAATTTATTACAAAACAACAAATTTAAAAAAAATATCAATAACTATATATTATGACTATATATATTGTAAATATTTGTTTTTTTTTATATTTTTAAATAAAAATAATACAATTTTTTTATTAAAAAAATAATTTAACATTGAATATTATTATTATTATTATTTATTTATTTATTTTAAATATCACTTATATAGAATAGTATATACATATATATGTCTTTTTAAAAAAATAAATAAATAAATAAGGAAATAAGGGGTGGGGTGGCCAAAGAATGCAGCCACCCTTGCCCCTGAGGCCATCTCCAACCCATCAACTCCATTTATTCAGTTTTATCTTCAAATATGCAATTGTATAGTAATTTTACTTCGATCATAACTCTATTTTTCCTTATTATTATTATTCAAATATTTAATTTTTCATATTATTTTAAACAACTTTTTATTTTTATAATTTTAAATAAATTTTTTTAAAAATTTAAAAAACTAAAAATTAAATTTATAATTTTAAATTTTTTTTAAAAAAAATACAACATAAATGGCGTTTGCTACCGTTGCACTATAGCAAACACCAAAAATAGTGTAGCAAATGGCGTTGGGTTGGAGTTTGATGGCGGTAGAAATGGAGTTGAGACGGCATAAATGGGTGTGGTTGGAGATGGTCTGAATAAATTCGCTCATGAACAAACCAATTATTGTTATTTCTAAATATTTTTTCCCCATAACAATATATATATTCATTCTGTTCATTTCTCTGTTATATAAGAAGAAATGTAAAGAATTCTACATTGATGCACTATATATATTTTTTAAATTTTTTATATTATTTAATTTTTATATTTATTAAATTATATTACTTCAATCTATTATTTAAATATTTATTTTTTTACTATTTTTAAAAAAATTATACTAAAATTTAATTTTACAACACATCATATCTAATTTATTATTTAACAAAATTAATTAATTAATTTTTTTTTTTTATGGATTCTCACTCGTTCAAAATTTTTATTGCCCGATTAATTTTTTATTCTTGATCGATTAATTCAAATACTTGTATTTTTTATATTTTTTTAATTGAATTCTCTGTTTTACTGTACAAGAGAATTAATTCTAATTTTTCTAAAATTTCATTTTCTATACGACCCATTACTTTTTACTTGTCCACTCTTTTTATTTTTGTCTGTCCAACTTAATTTGCCTTTTTCATTTTTTGGAAATTTAATTATTCACTTTAATTACATTTTAAAATTAATCATTTATAAATTTTTTCAATTTAAAATAAATTGTTTAGTCATTTTTATTTTTATTTATAATTATTTTTATTAATATATTTTTTAATTACTTATTAATTTTTTAATATCTAAAACTCTGTGTCTAAGCAAAAATGAAGTATATAATTGTACTTCATATTAAAAATAATAGATACTAATAAAAATATTTTTATTATTTTCTATTGATTTTAGAGATGGACCGGGACACTATGTATATATATATATAAGATACAAAACTTTTGAGTTTTTTGATTTTTTTAAAAATTATATTTTAATACTCCCTCCGTCCCGTTGGAAGGGTGGTGTTTGCTTTTTGCACGTGAATTTTTTAATATTAGTATTATATTAGATTGTAATAAAAAAGACAAAAATATCCCTATTAGTATGGTATAATATAAAAGTAATGGCATTTGTGTAATATATTGTAAGTTAAATGAGTATTTATTATATTAAGTAGGTGTACAATTACTAAATTAGAAAATTGTAACCTTGTTTTGGAACAAATAAAAATGAAAAATGATAACCTTTCAATGGGACGGAAAGAGTATAATATTTTATAAAAAAGAAATATTGTATTTTTGTCCATACGGATAGAATAATATTGATTTGTGTTTGAAATTCAAACCAAACACACTCAACTCCATTTATATAAAAGTTTTTGATGTTTAAAAAAATATGAAATAGTAATATATAGTATATAATTCCTTTGACTAAGAGTAAGATTCTCATTTACTTTTACTTTTTTGCATGTCCATATCAATTATGACAAAAATATTGAGTGTTTTATGATAATTGTATAAAAAATTATACAAATATAAGAATATGTTAATGTTAAAAATAATGACGTCAAATATAAATAAAAAATTTACTTACGGACGAAGGGAATATATAATACGTTATTTTATAAGCAAAAATATTTGATGTGATATTTTTTTAAAAAATAAATATTATTAATAAATAATACCAAAATTAAAACAAAAAAAAAAAAAGATCTATGTAATGAAAGTCAAATTTCTATTTTAATTTATCTTTTGTAATTTTAGATTATTTTAGAATTAACACTCTCTCCATTCATCCAATAGTAGGTTGTGGCTACTTCTTCATATAATAATAATAATAATAATAATAATTATTATTATTTTTGTACTTTGTGATTTAATTTGACATAATTATGTGTGAAATAGTATGTATTTTATGTACAGACAAATACAAAATAATCAGAAGTCAAAATAAAAAGAAGCAGTTATTTTGTATTTGAATTAATCATTTTAATAGCAGTTTTTTTATAAAAAACTGAAAAATTGTTTGAATGTAAGAGAGTTGAAAGTGCTTTTTTTTTTAAACTGTTAAAATTATTAAAATGAACATGTTGTTAATATAATTGTATTTTTTTTATAAAAATTATATATATTTTTAAAAAAATTTTTAATTATATTTAAATATTTTAAATAAAAGTATAGAAAAAAATATTTTTAAAATTAAATTATTTATATTTTAAAATTTTAATTTAAAGAAAATATATATATTTAAAATAAAATTACAATATAATAGGAGTATTAAATTATTTGTATTTTCTAATTTATTTTAAAATTTTATGACTTATATTTAATAATTTTTAGTATAATTAAAAAAAGTATATACTACTATTTAAATTTCTTATCTCAATTATAATTTTAAACTTTAATTCAAGTATAATATATAAATTAAAAATAATAATATAGTTTTATTTTTTATTTTTTTCAAAAAAATTTAATATATAAATTAATTATTTTTATAATATATTTATAGTATTGTATTTATTATTATTATTAAAGATAAAATAGTAATTTTAGCTGAAAAGTGGTTAGAAGCTACCCCTCAACGTACTTGTGAAAAAAAAATATTTTTCAACCTAAAAAATTGCTTTTACTTTTGAGCAGAAATCAATACAAACATGTACAAAATATTTTTAAAAATAGAAGCCAAAAGCAGTTGCTAGAAGTCAATCCAAACGAAGTCTTTGTATTTAGTTCCCATTGCAAATTTATAACATTGCAATACTTAATTTTATTGTCCATTTACAGATGACTGGTTACTCTCCATTTTGGAATTTTTTTTTATAATTCATCTCTAATTTGAAAAGTCTATAGTATTTTTTCAGTAACATAAAAATTGCATAAAGTTTTTTATGTTTTGACAAATTACATAAAATCTTTTAAAAACTATATAAAATTTTTTGTATTTTAAAAAATATTGAATTAAAATTCTTAAAAATTGAATTTGTATAATTTTTTCTAGAATATAAGGAAATTTCATAAAATTTTAAAATCATAATAAAAAATAATATAATTTTCAAACTAGAAATGAATATAAATATTTTTGCCTTGTATTTTTTTTATTTTTAGGACGTAAAAATCTGCAGCCGCTATCCGAAAATGCACACTGGGTAAACTTCCGGCCGCACCTAATACCCTGCAAACTAGGCGAACATGCCTGTTAATAGTACATTGGTGTTGTGAAAAGTCATTCATACCTTCAATCCGTTCATTTTCTTCCATCCCCCTATGTTTGGAGAAACACTATCTAACATCATGTTTCTTTCGAATGAAAAAATGGTCAAACGAGAGTGGTAAGATTGAAAGACTATTACAACCATAGAGTAATTAAAAATAATAAATAAGTCTTATAATTTATATAAAAATTAAAAATAATTTAGTATTAAATCCTATTATTTTATGGGCCAGTGAAACAGACAAAAATGATAAAATAAACTTTGGATTAATCATGGAAAATCAAAATCTATTTCTAGAACAGATGATGTTTTCAGGCAACCTTCATGAGCCGGTTAGGTGTTCTAATATAGAACTTTTTCATATTAAACAAAATACCAAAATCCACCATTACAACTTTATTCCAAAGCCAGCTCTGATCAAGTCTCTATTATTATTATTAAGAAGTATTACAATATATATTACCTCGTAGTTTGCAGGCAGCAGTAGTAGAGCACTTTGTAAACCTGATCTGTTCTGCCCTCATAAGTTAAAGTTGCTCAGCCAGCCAGCCAGCCACCAACATAAACACTCATGCTCATACTCATACTAATACATATATAAACCATAAACAAGCAAACAAACATGTCTCTACCTCCCTCACTCAACCGGTGTTCTGCAGTCCAGCTGCAATGCCCTTCATTGTCAAGATAAGTGTGTCTTCCAGCCCTGGAGCATACTCACTCTTAGGATTGAGCTTCACAAGTTCATCTGCCGGTTTGCTCGCATTGATCTCCATTATCTCTTTTGAAAGATGCGGTCCCACTGTCACATTGTAGCCCGGGTCGCGAATGCGCTTCAACGTATAAATTTGGCACACATTCAGCACTGTTATGTATGGATCTCTCAGTCTCAGCCTTTGCCGCAAGTAGGGGTCGCCTTCAAGGAGTTCTTTGTGCCCGGCAACCTAAAACCACCCAAACAGTAGTAATTAAATCCTTCCTTCAACTTCCAGTCAGAGTGAAAAATGCAGCTAATAAAAATTGTAAAATGACAGCTTTTCATCCAAGAGACCGAGCCGAGCCAATTACCTGAAGGATGATGTTCTGAGTTGCCTCGTATTTAGTGCGCAGCTGCTCTCCGAACGACCACAGATCTTCTGAGACAAGAAGCTTGTCGTATAAAGCAGCAATATCCGGATCCCCTTTAGCCAACACCATTTCAATCAAGTCGATTGTGACTCTAAAGAAAGGCCATTCGTTGTACATATCCCTCAGCATTTGAAAATTTCTTATATCCTTCTCAATCACATGATTCATTGCAGCCCCAAATCCAAGCCAGACTGGAAGATGAAACCTCGTTTGCGTCCATGCAAATATCCATGGGATTGCCCGAAGTGATTCTATTCCACCACTAGGTTTTCTCTTAGATGGTCGACTACCAATGTTCATCCGACCATACTCCAACTCCGGTGTGGCCTGAAAAGTAACAGAAACACAATTTTAAATGTAAAGATAAGATGTTCAATTCTATTTCAACATGACTTTTAAAATATAGGGAGTAGAAACTTCTTACAAGGCGGAAGTATTCAACAAATCGAGGTTCTTGGAACACTATAGAGCGATATTCTTTTGTGGCAAAAACTGCCATCTCATCCATGAGCGCACGCCACTCCGGTTTTGGTGCCCCTGGAGGGTTCATGCCATGCTCGAGTGTAGCAGCAGAAAAACGCTGGAGGGTTCTGAAGCACAAGTGTTCCTCTCCGAATGACTGTTCTATAACCTCCCCCTGAACAGTGACGCGAAGTGAACCATGTATGGTGTCTGGTGGTTGAGACAGAATAGCAAGATGGGTTGGGCCACCTCCTCGGCCAACTGTCCCACCTCGGCCGTGAAACATTGTCAGCTTCACACCATACTCCTTTGCCACCTTCACGAGTTCCTCTTGAGCCTTGTATAGCTGCCAAGCTGCAGATAGACGACCAGCGTCTTTTCCTGAATCTGAATAACCAATCATGACTTCTTGTTTTCCATTAATCCGGTTACGGTACCAATCAATAGAGAAGAGTCTAGCAACAGCGGCTGGAGCAGCCTCCAGATCAGCAAGCTTTTCAAACAGTGGAACGACTCTCAAAGGTGTTTTGACCCCGCATTCCCGTTGCAGAAGCTCAACAGCAAGCACATCAGATGTGGCAGTTGCCATTGATATTATATAGGCACCAAAATTATCAGCCGGGAGTTCCGCAATGACATGAAATGTGTCTAAAACATCAGCAATTTCCTCAGTTTTAGGAAGATCGGGCCCAAACAGGGGACGCTTGCCTCTAAGTTCAGATAAAAGCCACTCTTGTCGCTGCTCCTCAGACCATTCTTTGTAGGATCCAATATCCAAGTGCTTAGTGATAGCATCTAGAACATCAGTGTGTCGGTCAGACTCTTGCCGGATATCAAGTCTCACAAGTGAAAGTCCAAATGTGGATACTTGTCGTAGGAAGTCTAGAAGGCTCCCATCAGCAATTGGGCGGTCACCGCACGCACAAAGTGATCTATAGCACAGCTCAAGTGGCTCAAGAAACTGAAGGCAATACACAAGCTCTCTCATATGAGTTTATGGTTAAAGATCAATCATAATACAAAACTAGATAAATAAAAATACGGTACGACAACTTTCTTTAATTCATTTAGGGGAGATTGCATTAACTGCAAAGCACAACACATCATGATCACAAGCCGCAGTGAGTAGCACCCTCCAGCATGTTTCTGACATTTTCAGTTCTAGAAAGGACTAAAAAATTGAGCTATGACTACTCCGAATAGTATCTCTTAATCTAATCCACTTAATTTAGAGACTGCCAATATGCTCATATGAAAGCTGGAGAACACCTATGGACCTAAAAATCATCATTTGAATGCATCATTTTGTCTGCACAATGCTGAAGCTTACATATTAGTCCATATTAACACATAAAGCTTGAGTGACTTAAACAATTGCTGTATCTAAAAGCTCTGAGCAACACAGTAAGACAAAAACTTAAAAGAGGTTTCTTGTATAGTAAAATCACTGTATGTCTTGCTATTCACAAATGATTCCCTATAAGGGGATAAATAACTAAAATAAGCATGAAACAAACCTCGTCAACATTGGTGAAAGTTGACTCCTCAGGTATATCAGATATGCCATTTGCTAGCAACTGGCGGGCACGTTCGCGTGTATTATAGAGCTTGTCCCTTACATCTCCAAGAATGACACGGTAAGGCTCATTTGGAGGTACTTGCTTCCAAAATTCTGAGAGAAAAGCAAATGAATATATTATTTGTGAGTCTTTAATTTTCTGTTAAGATGGAAGCATAACCACAGCCCTACTTACGAAAGAGCAAAAACATAGAATGCTTTGAAACAGGGTGGACTATTACTCAAGTTGGTAGTGTCAGCTTGGTGAAACTAATTAAGACAGAGATAATTGAAATAACTACAACAGCATAATCCTTAGTGGACGGCCACTAAATACTACACTAAAAGCAAATTCAACATATTAGCATACCAATGTAATGTTTAGCATCTCTTTTTGAGGACATGTGCAGCTGATCAGCCCGTCCACGAAGTTCATCACTGCAGCGCCACATCGATAGCTACCATCGACAATGCAACATAAAACAATGTAAAGGCAGAAAATGAAAAACTTTCAAAATGTTAGTCAATTGAAATTTAAAGGGCAAGTTAACAATCAAAGTCTTACCTCAAACATGAGATCCTCTATCTGGGAGAAATACAAATTAGCAGCCATCATCCTAGCAAGCAGGCAAACATCTCTGGTGACTTCAGGAGTTACCCTAGGATTGCCTAGATTATTTAGAATACATGTTAATTATAATTAAGACATACTGAAAACACTGAAATCAAACTGATGCATATTATCGTTCATGTGACTGAGAATCATGATAATTATTCAAGGCATGGTGCAACTTCATGATCAAAGTTACTCAATTAGTAAATGAGATGTTTCCCATGGTTAAAATATTAAAATATAGTGGTAATATTATTTGTAAGAAAGCCCAACAGAACCTAAGATCATAGAAGAACACATATTCAAGTATCATTATAGTATATATGAAAAATTCCGAGAGAGCAAAAGTAGTAGTAGTAGTAGAAGATGCATTGAAATAGTCAAGTCTTGCCATTGTTCTTCACTGCCATCCATTAAAATTACTTGCAAATACCGCATTCCTAGTTTTATAGACATCGAAGGTTATAGGATAGATTTCATTTAAGTAACAGAAGGCAATACCATCACGGTCTCCACCCATCCAAGAAGAGAACTGTATAAGAGGGGCATTGTAAGGAACCCGCTCATTTATCCCAATGTTTTTCAAAGCAGTGTCAACACGACGTAAGAACTTTGGCACCCCTTTCCATATAGTCTCATGGAAATAACTCATGCCAGCTCTCATCTCATCTTGAGGTGTTGGAGGATTTCTCCTAATTTCATCCGTGCGGAATGCAGCTTGGATCTGAAAATTTCAGATAATGAGATCCAGATATATTTGGTTATGCTTTCTGACATTATGTATTGACATAAACAACTTTTGCATATATATATATATATATCCAATATAGAAGAATAAAACATTTCTTCATGAGAAATCCATTTGCAAACATGAATTATTGTCCAAAGAATATTAAAATAGTGAAATATTTCCATAACATGACCAAGATCTATATTTCACACATCATGGACAAAAGACAGTTTTGATTTTTAAAAAAAGCATATCATGTAGTTCTTTCACTATTTTATCCATTCAAACCGTAACAAACTTGAAATTCCTATTCATCTAGGTAGTTGATTGACCAAGAAAAGAAACCCATTTTTATCACAACAAAATTTCAATTGGATTCAGGTGGTCATTCATCTAAGAGACTGTCCAGCTGGAGCAAATTCTCAGGTAAAAACCAGTCATAACAGAGACCCATAATCCACTGCTTTACAAGATCTCAGGCTACATATGAATCATAAGTAATGTCTTATTCTTGTTAATATACAGCCATGTATGTGTATGCATACACACATGTAAATACCATAGAATTCAACATTGTATATCACCACGTAAATATTTTTAGATGTCATGAAAGTCCAACATGCCCAACTCAAATTGGTATACATCCGAATGTAGTATAAATAACTAATAAATGTTAGTAATTGTCACTTGATAAATATTCGTAGTGTAACTTTGATCGCAAGCAGAATAGTTGAATCTGATAATTGCGTACCTCTCTTTGTAATGCCTCATCCAGTTCCTGCTTGTCATCAGGAGTAATGTCCTTGGCATTTAGTTGAGTCAGACAGTCTCGGATTCTACAAAAACTCAAGTGGAAGGTGTAAGAAGCCCACTATTTGACCAAGCAAATTTATTAAGTGTATAAAAAACAATATAAATATTCATGACATCGCTGATCCAACCATAAGACAGTACTGTATTGACACTATTATTAATTCATAGAATTATTGGAGTATATTCAAAACCTTGCATGTTTCTGAAGCAAAGATCTACGGACAGATTGGGTAGGATGAGCTGTCAGTACTAAGTCCACAGTCTGATTCTTCAGAGCATCAAAAACTTCTTCTGGGGACTTTTTCAGTTGTCCAACCAGCCTCTTCAGGGTCTCCTCAATGTCCGATTCAGTTGTTGCTGAAGCCTCATCTGAAAAGTCGCGCTTTTTTAACTTAATCCTGCGTCTGTATGCAATCTGAACTTCCTCAGCAAGGTTGGCTAAGTTAAGCATGTTGGAGAATGATTTCGCAACCACAATAGAGTCACCAGCATCTAGACTAGTGAGAACTTTCCCAAGCTCTTCCAGTTTCTGAGGGTCGCGCTTCCTTTCGTATTCTGCACAGATCTCATAACAGTCTTGAACCTAGTCCATATTCAAGCACTCCATGTAAGTTTCACAAAATATGGTACACATCTGCTACAATTAGTTTTCATCATCTTCCACTAAAGACAATGATAATTGCAACAATTACCAAAAACATTTAAAAAAACGAATCAAAACACCATGAAAGGCAATGGGAAGAACACCTTGTGACTTAAATTCACTCAATTAGAAAACAAAACTACAAATGGAAAAAACAAACCCTTTCAACCACCACAAAATTCGATGTGAGACTACTCAAATTTGGTACAAACAAGTGGCTGCTATCATTAAATGACCACGAATCAACAAACATGTTTGTGGATGATAAGAGACCATGAAATCAGCAATATTATCACCCAAATCAAAAGATTATATAAGATGTCTGAGAGTAAACTACCTGCTGATAAACATCAGGCACACTAGTTTCTTTCATTGATTTAATTTATTAATTCTTAAACAGCATAAATACACGAAAAAAGGTATTAATGACTTTACAAAATAGGTACTGGAATTCCTCATTTAGGATAACCTAAGGAAACAATTTCACAAACCCGAATGCTATTCCAATGTCTAAATACCATCAAGAAAGCAACTATACATATATATATATATATATATATTCAGCTCAAAACCAGGATCTGAAACCAAAAAGGACTGCTAGACAGAAGTCAAAAGGATAAAATAAATATAGCTACCGTTTCTCTGATTTCTTCGCCATGCAAATCCTGGAGAATATCGAGGAAGCGATCCAGAAGCAGGGCATCATACTCAACAAGCTTATCGTCCTCGGAAACCTTCCCGGGAGCTAACAACCTCAACTGCGCATCAATTGATGCCATTTTCTCCAACTTCCGACTCATTTTCTTCCCCTTTCCTCTTCACACTCTATATAGCCTGCAAATTTCCAAAAACAGAAGGCAAAAAGCACAAACAAATCAGCCCTTTTCTCCTCTTCCTTGCCTTTCCACCTGTCCCCTGCACAAATCAAGGGAAACAAATTAAAACACCACGGGGTTTCTGCGCACTTCAATTCAACCAAATCACGGACGAAAGTGAACCTGTAGACGAACCCAGACAGAGGGAAACAAAGGGAGAGGGGGGGGGGGATGGAGGAGACACGAGGCGAGAGAGGAGACGAAAATGCTAGCGAGTGAGGACTCGTGGTTGAGTTCAAGGACTCTTTCCACTGGGTTTATATAGACAAAATCGCCCATCCAAATCCCCAGCCATTAGTGATGGATAGTAGGATAGTCCAGCCATGGCTCACTTCATTCGTAGGTCTGTTCTGGTAAAAGTTATTAAGAGTCCCGGGACTTCAACGCCAAATAGATCTACACCGTTAGAGTAGTCAAAACCGAAAGTACAGATTTTTTATACGGCATTTAGAATACCGTTCGAATTTTTCTGTTTTCTTTTTATTTTATTTTATTTTACTTTTTGAATACAAATAAAAATCAATATTATTTCATTAGCATGTCAATAAAAATAAGGTTTTTTTTTATTTTTTTTATTTACAATATTATCATAGTAATATTATTTAAATTTAAATTCAAATCAAGATAAAACAAATCATTATTTTATATGATATACATGGTAATAACTGATATTGTTATATTTATTGACAAAATAATGCTTATCTTTTATTTTATTTACAGAGCTGGATATTTAATTGGAATATTCGCTGTTTAACAGTTTACATATGAATACAACAAAAGCTTTTTATATGTGGTGGTGGTGGACTATCATTTTAATATAATAGATTATAGATCTACTACTTATGTTCTATTTAAATATATAATATTTATTATATAATTTTATTTAAAAGAATATATATTAATAAATTTTCTATGTATTAGCACTTTTTTTATTTTTATTTTTAATTTGTTTATTCAATTCTTGATGTATTTTATTAGTTAAATTTTAAGTTCGTTCAATTGATTTTGTGTGCATTTTAGATTTTAATATTTTTTTGGTGAAGTTGAAACTTCATTTATATAATTAACTTTTACTCATTTGGTATTGTTTTATATTTAAAAAATATTAAATTAAATATATTTTTTTTTACAAAATATCAAATTAAGTACTAATTTTTTATAATTTTTTAATTAGAAAAATTTCAAGTCTTAAAAACATATCTAAACAGAACAGTGTGAATTTTTTTAATTTATATGAAAATATTGATGATAAATGTAATATTAGTTTTATATGATAAATAAAAATTATTGAATAATAAAATATATATACTTTTTATTTGATAAGTATATATTTTGTTATTTTTTATCGTTTAAGTACAAAATATTTATTTAATCTTTTAGTATGTATAGACACATTACATATTACAAATATCATCAGTAATTTATTAATCTACAATATTTAAAATACAGTGTCGCTAACCAAATATATTTATATAAGATTTGCATGTTAAGTAGTAATTTTAACAAATATGCTGTTGATATGGACAAAACAAAATTCAGAGTAAAGTAAATTTGACATATTTCAATTTGACATATAAGTATATAAGATCATCTTCAACCCTCTACTCTATTTTTGCAGTTTCTACAGTAAAAATGCAGTTGATCTACGATAATTTTACTCCAACCATAAACTTCAATTTTTACTCTAAAAAGTATATTCTCTGTATATTCCTCTTTTATATTATTTTATATAACTTTTCATATTTATAAATTACACTCCAACTTTAATTTATTTTTACATTAGATCCATACATATATAATTTGTAAATTATTTAAAAATTATATATTACTTTCCAAAAACTAAAATTATATCACTTTTAAAAAATAAAATTATACATTATTTTTTTTAAAAAAAATAAAATTACATACAACTTTTTAAAATATAAAATTATATATCATCTACTAAAATATTAAAATTACACAATACACCAAAAAAATACCAAAACCGCTGCAAAATGCAGTGGTTTGGAGATGGTCTAAGAATAACATTCTCATCAAAAAAATGCTGTTATCTCCATCAAAATTTATGTTAATTTGATTGGACATGAATTTTAAGAAATTGATAAAAATAATTTTTTTTTTCTTTTAATAGTAAAGAAGTAGTAGAAAAATAATAAGTTTTTTTACTAAAAAAATATATAAGAATATTTTTTGATTGAACACGAACATAAAAAATAAAATAAAATAAAAATATAGTGATATTTTAATATTAAAGTGAAATAGATAAAAAATCTAGTAAAATGTTATAAAAATTTTATTAAAAATTCATAATATATATATATATATTGTTGGGATATGAAGCCTGATTATATCCTAAAATCTAGGGATATGATTTGGATATTATATTTTAGATTTTAGAGATATGATTTGGATATTATTGTCAAAGGCTTAGGCTATAAATATCCATGCATTCTCACTTTAACATGTGCCTGCGTACTTTATAGTAAAATTCCTGGCTTGGCAGCGCCCCCAGACGTAGATCTTTGTGATCGAACTGGGTTACCAAATTCTTGTGTTCTTTTGTCTTTGTTTTCTCATCTTGATTTCCTGAAAGTTTCTACTGATTCCTTTGTGTATCTGCTGTTGTATGTGGATGATATGTTAATTGCAGCTAAAAATATGGCTGTAATTAATGACTTGAAGGCTCTACTAAAGGGTGAGTTTGAGATGAAGGATTTGGGTACGGCAAAGAAAATACTTGGTATGGAGATCTGGCGTGATAGAGAAGCAAGACGGTTATGGGTTTCTCAAGAAAAGTATATTGAGAAAGTTTTGCAAGCATTCTCTGTTGAGCAGTCCAAACCGGTAAGTACCCCTTTGGCGGCACACTTTAAACTTGATCGAAGCACTATACCGGCTACAGATGAAGAGGTTAGTTACATGAAGACGGTTCCATATTCAAGTGCAGTTGGAAGTCTTATGTATGCGATGGTATGTACGAGACCGGATCTCGCTTATGCGGTTAGTGTGGTGAGCAGGTTTATGGCTAATCCGGGTAAAGCTCACTGGGGAGCTGTAAAGTGGATCTTGCGATATTTGAAAGGAGCGTCTGATATTTGTCTGGTATATGATGATAAAGGCCATGGTGATGGTCTTGTTGGCTATGCAGACTCTGATTACGGGGGTGACTTGGTGAAACGAAGATCACTAACTTGTTTTATCTTCACTTTGTTTGGATGTGCAGTCAGTTGGAAGTCTACTTTACAACCTACGGTTGCATTGTCGACGACTGAGGCGGAATACATGTCAATGACTGAAGGTATTAAGGAGGGTATCTGGTTACATGGTCTGGTGCAGAGTTTGGGCCTGAAGGTGGAGAAACCGGTGTTATTCTGTGATAGTCAAAGTGCTTTGAGTTTGGCTAAAAATCCAGTGTATCATGAGAGAACCAAACACATTGATGTAAGGTTGAATTTTATCCGTGATGTTCTGGAGGAAGACAAGTTTTCTATTCAGAAAATAGCTACAGAGCACAATCCAGCTGATATGTTGACAAAGGCGCTACCGACGGAGAAGTTTGAGCACTGCTTGAACTTGGTGAATATTCGTAGGAGGTAAAGCCCTCTCGGGGCATCTGGCAGGAAGGAGACGATTAAGAGATACTGACGAACCTTTGGCGGTTGGAGAAACTCCAAGTCAAGGTGGAGATTGTTGAAACGTGACTTGGATTTAGCGGTCTACCCGACCCTAAACCAAAGCGAAAGGGTTGTTTCAATTGGCAGGGTTCCTTTTGGGCTTATCCTAATCGATAACAAATATGTTTACGGTTTAGGGTGTTTTGGGGTGCTTATAAATAGACAACTATGGTTCTTAGTCGGATGACACATTGTAAATCTCTGAATCAGTATAATAAAATCTCTCCGGTTCCTGCCCGTGGACGTAGGTTGACACACCGTCACCGAACCACGTAAAACCTCTGTGTTCTTTATTTGCTTTCTTTCTCGTTTTCTCATAACAAGTGGTATCAGAGCCTAGTTCGTTGATAGGGTGGATTGAGAGGAATCGGACGTTGGATCGTTGTGGGAATCCCTTGTGACCTGCGGAGGTGCCTTGTGTCGAAAGTCTCCTGGCGGTGTTGGGTCGGTCCCGACTGGTAGGTCAGGCAGCGAGTCCCTTTGTGATAGGCGGTGCAAGGTTGGTAGGGAAGGATAAGGGTTTCGGCAAACGCAGCGGAATATCCGATGTGCTCTCATATCAAGTGAACCTTAGGTTTGTTTGTGGAAGTCAAGATGGGTGATCGTCATGTTGTCAAGGTATTCGATGGTATGAACTTCGGTTTCTAAAATATGCATATAGAAGATTACATGAATGGTAAAGATCTAGATGCGGTAGTGAAGGAGAAATCCGAAGACATGGATGAAGCCGAATACAAGAAGATCAACAGGAAGACGATGAGTGCGGTTCGACTAACCCTTTGGGAGAATGTCTCGACTGAATTTAGATTTGAGGCAAAAGGAAAGGGTGAAGATCAAGAATGGTCAAAGTTGAAGCCGAAGAATAAGGACAAGGAAGATGCAAGTCAGGTGGTATATTGGAACTGCAAGGGGCACTTGAAACGACAGTGCAGGGCGCCGGAGAAGGATCAGGGTTCAGCAAACGCAACGGAGGAGATATCCGATGCGCTGATTCTGAGCGTCAGCAGTCCAATGGAGTCATGGATTTTGGTCGAACGTCATTCCACTCATGCAGTGATTCGAGAATCATGGAATCCTATACCACAGGTAATTTTGGTGTTGTCTATCTTGGAGATGATGAGACACTGAAAATTGTAGGTAAAGGAATGATTCGAATCAGAACACCGAATTGTGGGGAGTGGAGATTGGATGAGGTATGTTGAAGTGGAAGATGAAATCAGTCTTCAAGTGGGAGATTGTTGGGATATGAAGCCTGATTATATCCTAAAATCTAGGGATATGATTTGGATATTATATTTTAGATTTTAGAGATATGATTTGGATATTATTGTCAAAGGCTTAGGCTATAAATATCCATGCATTCTCACTTTAACATGTGCCTGCGTACTTTATAGTAAAATTCCTGGCTTGGCAGCGCCCCCAGACGTAGATCTTTGTGATCGAACTGGGTTACCAAATTCTTGTGTTCTTTTGTCTTTGTTTTCTCATCTTGATTTCCTGAAATTTTCATAACATATATATATAATAGATCAAGCTAGAAAATAATAGTATTATTATTTGTTAAAGTAAAGATAATAAAATTATGAATGAAA